AAATATTTAAAAATACACATGTTATTTTGAAAATATATTCATATTTATCATAAAAATGAATCAAACTCTATAAATATATACACATAAATATCATTTTAGAACAAAGAAAAACTCACACTTCATTCTTAAAAAAAAGATGATGAATGTGTTAAAGTTAAATCATATTCTATATTTATGACATGTTAAATTTCAAATAAGATCTTCTAAATATCTTTTTTTTTCTTGTTGTAAATTTTATTCAGATTTTATGGGAATATCCCACACTGAAGTTTATTTTCTTCTTTTTTGTTATATAAAATAAAAATAATTGTTTATAATTATCTTTAGAAGAACATAATTTTTTTTTTACAATTTAAATAATTTTTAAATAAGATAAACGAAATTTTAAAACAATTTTAATATCTAAAAAAATTGAGGGTATTTTAGTAATTTTAAATATTAGAAAGATTAGTTTACCAACATTTTAAAAAGTGGGTTAGTTTTCAAAATATGATTAATTTATGTAATATTGGTCCAAATTTCTTCTATATATATATATATATATATATACAGGGCCGGCCCTGAAATTTAGGGGGCTCGAGCTAATTAAGAAGAGTTTTTAGATGTTTAAATATTTGGAGGCTATTTAATGAAAATAAAATAAAATTGGGGGCCTATTTTCAGTACTATTAAAGCAAAAAAAAATTGGGGTTAAAACAAATGTTTCATTTCGTTGTGTCTAGGGCCGGCCCTATATATATATAATTCTCATGGTTAAGTTTGGTCTTTTTCATAGGGATGAGATTTACCTTGATTTAACAAACAAATATATATATGAAGTTGCATATTTTGTTGTAGGGTTTGAGGAGGACCATAGAGTTACTCATACCAACCGATATTGGTTCAAAGAGGTAAGCAATCTCATCCCTAAATAAAATGCTTATTTTTTCATAGATTTCATATTTTTCCAACGAGTTTTTAGAAATCAAAGTATATATGTTAAGAAAAAAAAATTATGGAAAACCACAAGTAATTATTGGTGAAGTAACATAAAATGTAATATAGGTTGAAGATTTCCAGAACCTTATGGAGGATTATAAGCAACCAGGCAAACACCCGTCACATCACCACCCGGTAGAATCCGGTGACCCAAGAGATCTTCCACCAACGCCACAGTAGAAAGGGAAATCATGTTGAACCAAAAATATGTAATAAAGCTTTAGTTCAATAAAATAAATAAACTAAAATAATATGACTCACATTTCTTTTGGTAAAATGATTGTATTTATAACTTTATACAATCACCAATTAATGAGATTTCGATTTATTTGGATATCTACTGACGTTCTTAAAAATAAGTGAGATTTGAGATTTGGGTAATCATGCAGAATTTTTGTTCCAAATCTTAGGGTGATGTTTGTTTTTTTAATTGGTCAAACTTTTTTCTTGGTTTTAATGTTAGTTATCTTTGGTCAAACTTTAGGATGATGTTTACAATCACACATTGGGTAATATATACGAATTCTCCAATCACTACAATCAATTTTGTTTATAGCCATATATTGGATCATAAATAGTTTGACCCAAAATATGTCCAATTTATAGCCTCTGAACACATTAGTACGGACATTAAGAGGATATAAATTAGACATATTCTCCTTGTCAAAACTCTAAAAAAAAATTCCTCCAAAATCAGTAAACAAGCATTTTCACCCCTTTTTCTATTATACCTCTGATTATATACTTCATAAAATAAATTTTGGTCCCAAATACATTTCCTTCAAACCCGATTCAAAAACGATCGTCGCATTCACAAGAATGAAGTTGGTGGTTTTGATCTCGTTCTTGCTTCTGTCTCCACTGTGTTCTTCAGGTAATTACAAATCAAATTAATAAAATCCATAACATCTTCGCATAGTGGTAAGCATTTAATTCCGAAGATATAGTTTGATTCTAATATTATACCTTGTATTGATATATATGTATATACATCTTCCCATTTTCTTTCTTAGGGTTTGAGGAGGACCATGCACTTACTTATCCTGATCAACATTCCTCAGACAAGGTAAATCAATAACATACAAAATGTTAAGTTTTCATAACTTCATACATTTCATCTACTTATAGCTAGAGAATATGCAGTCGATGACTATTATTTTGGTCAAAACGACTGGCAATTCTTTTCTTTTCTTTTCTGCAAAACATTCACATCTGGCCAAATTAAAAATATGTCCTGTTTTATTTTTTTCTTTTGAATTTCATGCTACTCTTTCCGATATCACTTCACACATTATTACTTATATCAGATGACAGACTATTTTTACATTATCATTGCTATTCCCTAAAGAGATCGACGGAAAAAACAACACGTTTACTCATTTTTGTGTGCCAATTTTGAATCAGGATTTGGCTAACTATCTAGTTAACCCTAATACCTACTGCCATTGTTTAAAAAATTAAGTCATAGTAATTGTTTGTGTGGCACAAATTTGTAATACAGATTGAAGAGACTAGTGAAGGGTTGATGGACTATCCACCTACGGGTCCCAACGTACCTGGTGGGTCACGTTTCCGACGACGTCCTGGACATCCTCCGCATGCTTGAAGAAGAACCCATATAGATAAGAAAATAAAACTATATGTAATATAAGATCAATTAATACATCCTTATAATTACTACGCTATCACTAACATCTAGTATCCGTGACTAGAATGTCTAAACTTATCTTGATACATAAGGAATAATATATTTCCTTATGTATTTGATCGATTTTATCAAGTCAAGGAATAATATATGTCCTTATGCATTTGATCGATGTTAGTAAGTTTTTTCTTAAAAAAAATGTTAGTAAGTCATAAGTATTATATATTTCCTGATGTATTTGATCGGTTTTATTAAGTCAAAGAATAATGTATTTCCTTATGAGTTTGGTTTGCGATTGATTTGTTGGAGTCTTGGAGACAAATCTCACGCAGATTCAGTCTACAGAAGACACAGAAACCTTAAGCTTGTCCACGAAAGTGATGGACCGCAGTGCATGCCCGCCTCTCACTGTCGCCTACAGTTCAAATCTTAATCAGAAAAAACATAATTACCCTTCTCTTCTAGTTTTGATTTAGACCATTTGCTTGCAACACCAGATCTCTCAAGGCTTTCAATTAAGATCAGTTTGGTTCTTAGCTATGTGAGGAATTTTACTGAACTGGTTCAAATCTGACACCAAACTCAATCCCAATTAGAAATGTCAAATCCGGTTTAAGATTTTGCGGTCGTAGAAACCGAATATAAATCAAATATCATTCGGTTTGTTTTGGTACGTTTTAAAACTTTTACTCATTATCTATCTTTTTGTTTATTAATGGGGTCATGTCGAAAGAAGCAGAACGTGAAGTGTGTGAGGTTTGACGTAAATGGAGAAGCAAGAGTTCTTCTGGTAGCGAACAAGGAGATCTTTCAAAAGGAGAGCAGTTGTAGTATATGATTACAACCGAGATGTGAACATGAAATATCCCACATATGATGTATAAACCTAAGGTTAATTTTAATACAAAAAGAGCTCGAAAATGAAAGTAATCAAACAACATCCAGGTAAAGGTTTAGCGTTGATAATATCAATCATTCAACTATTCAGTTCCTGATATAAAAGAACCGTTAAAGATGGACAAAACTAACTAACTAAGCCAAAAGGATAATGGTTTTAAGAACCTTTGTTCTTGTTTCTTTGCTACTCCTGGTTTCTAACCACAAATGTAATACTCAGACGTTATAAGATAAATCAAAAAGGATATATAAATCTACGCGTATCCCAGTTTTTTATAACATTTATAAGATTTCTATATATTATTGTGATTGATTAAAGATAATTGGTAAGTTATACTATCTATAAAGATACTTGACCCCCAAAAAAAGATACTAACAAAATTTGTATACATACATATGTTATTACATGTATAATTTGTTATATATATAGAGGCATGGGTTAGTATCTAAACAACAACAAAATTACTCATTTTGTGTTATCGAACAAAAAAAACTCTCTAAGGATGAAGCTGGTGGTTCTCATGTCGTTCTTGCTTCTGCTTGTATTGTGTTCTTCAGGTAATTATTTTTGTATATTTAAAAACTTTAGAACATCTAAGTAGAGCAGAGATTACATAGTATGACATAACAAATCTGTAAAAATCCTGTTGTTTGATTTCCAAAAAGGTTTTGTAAAATAGTTTTACATTTTAAATTTTTAGTATTAAGATCTAGTCTTTTTGCTACGAATTTCACACCTGACATCGATATAAATATTCATACATATAAACTCACATATGCTTTTAGGGTTTGAGGAGGACCATGGAGTTACACGTACCGGCCAATATTCTTTGGACAAGGTAAGCAATCTCAAAAAATGAAATGCTTATTTTCAGAGATTTTTTTTATTTTCTACCAAGTTATCAATGATTAGTTACTATTTACAGTCAATTAAAACACCACCATGTAATTACTATGAAAATTTTCAAAACAAAAAGTAATGGTTGGTGCAAGGAAAATATATAATAATCGTATGTGAATATAGGTTGACGAGTCTATTCCAAAGATGATGGATTATTTGGAACCAGGACCAAACCCAAGACATGACCCTTTACAACCCGGTTATGGATATGCTCCGCCGCCGCCGAAGAAGAACTAATAGTGATGATGAAGCAAAAATTTGTAATATGGACGCTGTATCATATCGTTTTGTCGAAAGAATTATTCAATGACCATTTACATCGAACTGAAATGCATAATAATATAGCAGACTGAGCATTTTTCTTGAGGAAAATGGTACTTTATACAATGATCATATCAATCAAAATGTTGAATTTGAGCTGAAAAAAAAAAAAAAAAAGAGACAAATCTGCTCACAATGTTTTAACCTGCATCGATCCACTAACTCCTTGTATAGTTTTTGACTTAGACCCAAGATTCACGTTTCTAAAGTTTTGCATATACATCAATCCCTTTGCTACATCACTGAAAAAATCTTGTATTAGTCTTTAGATCCTTCCCCGAAGGTCCCAAGCTCAGTATTCCCCAAAATCTGACTCCTTCCCATAACCTGAGAAGTGAGACCACACACAACAATAAGAAAAAGGAAAAGATAAGGAAAACCACGGTTTGCAGTCAAAGGCGCTTACATTTTCATAAAACAGAATCGTTGGTCGAATCTTTTGTGCAGCAAAAACGCTAACAACATTATTCCAGTCTCCAATAACCTGTTACAAACCAACACACCTCACTTAGTTTAACTTCCCAAAACCCAAGAACAGAGAAGTCAAAGATGGAGTGTATTACAAGAAAAAATGTCAAAGCTTTTTACCTCTTGCTCATTACCAAAACGTATGAACCAACTATTCGTTTCAAAAGCTACACAACTGTATTGATCTTCATGCATGCAAACCTGAATATAAGCATTGGATTTGTTTCTGCCTTCCTGGTAACATAATCTTCAATAGAAAAACCAAAAATGGAACTTCAAGATGTAGATTCTTGGCCTTACCATTGAGACAAGATGGTATTTTGTGAATGCAGAGCCACCTTCGTATAGGTATATCTGACTAATATCAATTTCAGTCTTGAGAACAGAAGTTGTATCCATTATCTCTCCTTCAGTCTCATTCTCCTCCCACTCAAGCCCTAAAATACACAAAAACCAAAAATGCTCAAAACTACTGTATTATATGTTTTATTCATGTCTAATAATAAACCAATAAGCTTAGTGATATATATAGACTTACCAATTGCAAAAACAGATGGAAGATTATTTATTATCATACGTGGAACATAGTTTTGTTTCTCACATCCTTCTTTGTCACAAGTCTGCTTCAAGCTGATGGCCTTAAGGATCTCCTCAAACGAAAAATACTTGGCTAGCGACTGTGATGATGATGTATCAAAAAACGTCAAGAATTTATTCTCGTTTAATAGACAAATAATAAAATCTAAAAAAATGTCTTGCCTTGGTTTCTCTGAGTGAATCAGCAGCCACAATTAGACCGTGATTAGGTCCATCCGGATAATCCGTATCCAGTTTGCATCTGTTGCATGATCTTTTCTTCGCAGTTTCGTATACTTCAAACTTAGAATGCAGAGTTCCTTCTTCCTCACTTCTCCAGCGAGGCAGAAGTTCCAAGACTGATACAAACAATTCATGAACATCGTTTCCTTCCTGAACAAGAAACACATGAAGATTGGAGAAAGAGTATATTTAACGATGTAGAAAGATAATAAATAAAGGTTTAAGAGATGAGAACAGAGGCCAGAGGAGAGACCAGAGGATGATTGAGATTTAGATTGCTGACGAGGAAATCACGAAACTGGCGTTGTGGTGGAACAACATATTCACCGTCTTCTCTGAGGCTGTAACCTGGTTGTCGAATAAAACCCAGCAGAAAATCGCTAAAGAAAACGCTGATTTTCCATAGAGCCTGAAGACAGAAAATCACGTTCTTTGAAAACGTTAATTCATCAACTAAACTAGATCGCGAGAGGGAAAGAAAAAAGAAGAGATTTTGTAGAACCTCGAGTATCATATCAAGAGCTGAAACGCGAGTGGCGTTTGGTTTCTGTTCAGATTCCTCTGTTTTCATTCTAGATAAGAACCAAGCAAGCAGGCGAGTTTTTCAGAGAAAATGTATGGAAAAAGCAGAGATATGTAATCGGAGGAGAAGAATTTAACAACTCACGGATCGATTTCTTTGTCTTTCTCCATGTCAATGATCGGCGTAGAATCGGGGATGAAACTTGGAGAAAACAGCAATGGCGATTTTCTTTTCGGATTCTCAGACTTTCTCTCTCGAGAAAAAAAATGCGAGAGAACGCGAGAGAAGAAAAAAAAAACGGATCAAGTGAGGTTAGTTAAGAAGAGCGCGAAAACTGAAGAAGAGGGAAGGACGAGTCGGTTAGTTAGTTAGTTCACGTGAAGGTCACGTGACTTGTTAAGAAGAGCGCGAAAAATCAATACTATGAGTAGTCTATGAGAGCGAGAGAGAGAGAGAAAGGTCGGTTACTTAAAAATTCTTGTGGTTGAGGACTGTTTGGTGAATGAGGAAATGAGGATAGACTATTGAGATTTTTAATAACTTTTAAAATGAATAATAGCTCTCTATGACTCTATATATACCAATACCATATATAGAAGCATGGTTAGTTTCGAAACAAAATTATTATAAAGAAGAAAAAACAATCAGAATAAGGTCTTCAATTCAAGGATGAAGCTTGTGGTTTTCATGTCGTTCTTGCTCATGCTTTCATTGTGTTCTTCGGGTAATCAAAATTCTATTCACAAAACAATTGTAGTAACTGTTTATTTCATTTTTGAAAATATTCTGTAAATAGTCTCAACCTGAATTAGTATGTATTTAGGATTTGATCAGGGTCATCATGGAGTTACTGATCATAGCGACCCATATTCTTCGAACAAGGTATGCAATCTCAATAACAAAAACAAAATTATGCTTTGTTTAAAGTAACTGCTTGTGTAACTGTAAAATTACGAAAACATAAAATAATTGTTGGTGACGAAGAATAATTGTATTGTTAAGGTTGAAGAGACTATTTATAGAACGATGGATTATCCAGATCCAGGCCCAAATCCAGGACATGACCCGAAAATTCCTCCGCCTTCACCTCCGACGAAGAAGGCATGACGGAGCAAAAATTATGTGAAATGAGTGACCATTTTGAAATCATTCCGCCTTGTATAATTTTAGTATTGTATTGTCAAACACTCAAACTAAATAAAACACAGTCGTGAGTTATATAGCTTTATCATTTACTTTAGGAGAGAACCCGCGCTACGCACGGATGGATGGCTTTTATATGTTGATTTTAGTTGTTATTTAGTTATGATCACTTCCATGTTTTTCCACCTCTGTTCTAAATTATTGTTGTTGTATCTTGGTTATAGAAAAGTCAGTCGTATTTGAGTCGACGTTGTTTCCCTCCAACCATGTTATGAACTTATGAATGGCTATATTTTTTAAATATAACTATATTTATGGATATTTCGTAAATGGCGTAATTTACTGTAATTAACTGTAAATGCTTCATCTTGTGAAGGTTGAATATTATGTCCCTGATATTGTTCAGACGAGTTTGGGTTTGCTGTTTCGGCGCCAAATTTGTTTGGTGATATTGAATCATGTATTATAGGTCCTTCACTATGGTGGTATTGTATATTTGTTTATTCCATTTTCGTTTGGAAAAGGTATTCTTGTAAACGTATCTCACAATCGTCGCTGTAATATAGTATGAATGTGCTTTAACAAAAAAAAATATAGTATGAATGTGTTAAGTAAATTCAGGATGATGAATGAAGTAGCCATCAGTAGGCACATATACAATATTTATTTTAAATTAGTGTGTGGATTTTTTGGAGGCACAATCTCAAACAAACAAATGTAAATAGCAGAAGACAAATGGGTTGTGTATACGTACAATGAAATAATAACTCATAAGAAATCATTAAGAAACAGATTTTCACTGTTTAACTTGCTTGCGATGTTGTTTCTTGCATTTTATTTCTTCTCTTCCTTATTTCATTGTTTAACTTGCTTGCGTGTTGTTTCTTGCATTTCTTGCTTGCTTGAACATGCCTAACTTGTTTACTTGCGTTGTTGTTTACTTACTGAATTTTTACTCTTCCTTATTTCTTTGTTTAACTTGGTTGCATTGTTCTTTCTTGCATTGGTTGCCAACATGCTTAACTTGTTTAGATGATTCCTTCTTTGATTATTTGCTTATTCCATTGTTTTTCGTGTTTTGCTTGATTGACCTCTTTACTCCTTTTTTGCTTGATTATTTCATTTTTTTCTCTTTCAGGCATAAGAAGTAAGAAGAACATGAGACTCAGTTATAACGAAAAAGAAGCCATGGATGGATATAAAAAGCTTACCTTGGTGCCTTAAGTAGTACGGTAACCAGTAGAGGAATGTGTAAACGACGAGTTTCGAGAAGAACAAACAGAAAGCAAAAGGCGTAACACCTGGCAATCTCCACGCTTCAAGAAACCCAATAGCTGACAAAGAATCATCATCAAAATCTTACAGTTTGAAGAAGCTCTGCATTTTCAGTTTCTGTTTTCCTCAAGCTTTCCTCAACATTCTCAGCTAAACCCATCTCAATCTCTTTTCCAGGTTCTTCAAACCCCAAATCATTAGGGGTCACAACTAAACAGCAAAACACAAGCAATCCAGATACAATCACAACAACACCAGGCAGAGCAAAAGACAATCCCCACCCGAAATCAAGAACCGACGAAGCGATCACGAGCCAACGATGTTCCCAACAGACGTGTGAGAGTTCCACACACCCATGATCAATCCACGTTACAACAGAGACAACACAAGGCCATCCAATAGACTGGAAAAACCCACAAACAATCTGTACACTCATGTAAAACCAGAGCACATGCACATCCATCCAATACCCTAACCCGAATACAACAGTGAGAATCCCACTCGCCATCATACCAAACACGAGAAAGTATCTCAAATCGATTCTATCACCTAAATGCCCAACGAAATACATACCAATCGCGTACGACGAGAGGAAAGCCAGATCGAGCTCGCAGAGTCTCTGGGTTCCTTTATCTCCGTTAAACGGAGCCCATCCATCATCAACCGATGTCGCTGAAGGTCCGAGGACGCTCTCGACGATGCTTGGAGGTTTACGAAAGGCGTGAAAGGAAGCGTAGGCTATGAAGGTGATGATAAGAACAGAGATTTAATGGAAAGTGAAGGTTTTGTGAGGTGTGTTTAAGCTCAGGAAGAGGGTAAACACCGGAGCATAACCGACGATTCTTGACTGCATCTTTTTGCTTAGATCAAATTGCAAAGCATACGCATCGTGATTCGGAGGATCTCTACGTGTGAATCGGCTAAAGAGAAGTGGGGAAGCTGGGTTCACGTATTTATTTGTAGGGTAATCGGGCAATTAAAGGGGAGCCATTGATTACCGGAATAAGAGAAGCTCTGTAACGGCTGGGAGAAGGAAGTCAGATCGTTAAACGACGGGAAACTCACGGTCTCGACGGGGAAGAGAAGGAGGCGAGAAGACAGGATTTTGTGGGAAAAAAAAAAAAAATTGGCAGAAAATGACTATCCAAAACGATGTCGTTTTGGGGCCAGTTGGAAGGGGCCAAAAACGACGTCGTTTTGGAGCCATTCGGAAAAGGTTAAAAAAATCCGGCTTACGTGGCACTCTTTGGGGACGCTGAAGTGTCATCAGCTGGAGAGTGTCACAAGTCCTTTCAATTATATAGATTAGAATTAGATATTCAAGAAGTGAAAGTTCAATTGTATTTTCCATGGTGTCAAAAACAAAACAATAGCACAATTCATAATCACAAGTGACAATCACATCACTTGATCACGGTTTCAAGATCATTTTGGCTCCGGTTCAACCTTTTACAAGCCGGTTTAAGTGTTATTTTGTTGGGCTCTACTATTTACCGGTACAGTTCGTAAGCTGTATGTCCAAAATGGGACTGTCATTTTTGTGTTCATATTGGTTATATAACTCATAAAAATTTGAAAAAAACTGCATTCACATTTTTAATAGTAGTTTGGTTTACATATTCGATTTTCGCAATAACATTAAAATAGATATATTTTCTCTATAATTTTCCCGGTTAAGTAAACCAATTGTCCCATCAGTATTCGTCCAAGAAAGTGTACAGAGTGTCATCTTTCTTGGTTTTGCGTCGACTAAGCAAAGCCTTGAGCAGTCTTTTGCTCTTGCTCGGCTGTGGTTGCTCTGTTTCTTTCTGGTTTTCTTTCTCAAACGCGACCCGAACCGAAGCCGATCTTCTTGGTTCCGATGGATACTGGAAACAAAAAAAAAAAATGTAAAACAAGAAGAATCAAGAAGAGAGATAAGTTGATAAAACAAACGCTTTGTGTTCGAAAAGAAGCGTTTAATACCCGTATAGGAGTGATAGCTCTGCTCTTGCTTGGTGTCGTTGGCCGGCTGTTTGATGCTGACTTCCTCGTAGCGACCGATCCTGATCTTAGTAGAGGAAACCGATGCGGTGAAACTGATCTCTTATCTGATTATATCACACACAAAACACAAACATGTAAGAAAAGGATCGGTTTACTAGATTGTTATTTCAAAGAATGAACCAAGCTATTCCGGTTTACTTTACCTTGCTCTTTCTTTGGGATGGTGGAAGTAAACGAAAAGGTTGCTGATCGTTGAGGTGGCTGCCGTGGAGATGGAGTCTGAGAGGTTGATTTCCTGCAAACGCAATTAGATTGGAACACGGTTAAAGATCATCCGGTTTTATATCATTTCTTGAAGCAAACGTTTTAGATTCTTTACCTAGTAGGTGGTGGAGGCGTTTCCCGGATTGTAGCACGAACAGCTTTAAAAGAGTATTCAACGTTAGGAAGAAATCTTGAATTTGCGTACGAAAGAAACAGAGAAGAGATCAGATTACCATTTCGGAATTGGTTCCAATCATCAGCATCCTCTAAGCTGCTTCCAAAGTACTTAAGCTTTTCAAGATTGGTAGCAGTCATAATTTCACCAGCTGATCAAAGAATGTAGCTTTTGCTCATGAGTCCCGGGACTTTTCTAAACCGAGTTCGAGAGAGAAGAGAGAGAGAACTTACCAGGTAAGATGTAACGTTTATGGAACTTTGGAGTGTCAATGACAAGTGATTGCTGAGAACGTCCTTCATGATCCATATACTCTTGGCACATCCTTAGCCTCTATTAACCACCATCCACACGAGAAAGGAAAAAACGTAAAGAAGGAAGCTTTACGCATAAACACAAGTGTGATGAGGAACTTTTAATCTCTACCTGTTCGATGCATGATACTCGTAGTTCGGTTTCTGATACTTCATCGACTTTTTCATCGATGAAGTCGTTCACTTTATAAGTCACAGAGCCTAAATGGTCAACTGTGTTCACCAGAGCCTTTACTGCGTAGTCTTTCAGTGTCTCTACAACTCTGCATTCAACAAAGAGGAAACAAATATTGAGAAAAAAAAAATCACACAATTTGTCTGAAACCTCTGCTGAATAGTAACTCACATCTGCCTTTTATCGTCGTTTGTGTAAGAAAGTTCGAAATACTCAGCTGCTGAATACAACTGCGTACGCAGATTCCTCAAGTCCTGAGAACAAAACAAAGAAGAAACAGAGAGCCTTTCACGAATTAACCTTCATGGACTTGAAAAACAAGATATGATTGGAAAATTGTAACAATTGTAGAGACCATTTTCATTTCACTGATAGCATTTTCTTTCTAGCTCAGATAGAGACTTAAACTGATTATCAGAAACAAATAGTAAAGGAGCAAAAGGATTGCATATTCAGAATCAACCTTAAGACCATCAGAGAAGAGCATGCTTTGCTTCATAGAGACCTCATCGTAATTTGATGCTTCTTGGGACTCAGGCATTGTAGCCGCTGCTCTCTCTTTTTTTTCTCCTCAGCCTGGTTTTACTAGTCAGTAGTCACTGTGTAAAAAAGAAATTACCAAATACGGATGAAGATAGATAAACCACCATTCTTCTCATAACTGTTTCTATCTAGATTTTTCAAGAAGACTTGACATTTGAACAGAATGAAAATCTTATTCAGCTTGCTATATACTCAGACGATGTAAGAAGATGCAAGCAATCTATTGTCTACGAAATATTGAGAAAATAATTTTCCAACTGTAAGATAACAACCATTAATAAGGATAGTGATGTTTAACCTTAGACTGAAAACTCTTGTCAATAAGAGGATGAATCTTCTAAGAAAACATACATTTTGTTGCGCATAAGTTGTTAGCATCAAGAGAACGAGAATCTTCAATAACAAAACCATTACTTTGATCCATATAACTAATCTGATTAAAGAAGAAACAGACAAGAAGTAGAATACACATCTCTATTTAGTAACAAACAGCTTGATCTGAAACAACTAGATCTTCTTTAAAATTTTCATTAGTACTCTTTTTCACTGTAATACATATATTCCTAACGAGAAAACTATGAATTAAACAACAGGAAAATAAAAAAGGGAAACTTTGGGAGTATGTGCAATTGTTTATGGGCAAGAAAGAGAGCAAAATCCCAGTACAAAAAGAAATACTTTTTTTTATAACAGTTTTCAACAACCCCAGATCAATAACAGTTCATACAATATTTGTCTAGTTTACCATGAATTCCTCAAGAACACTAGAAACTACAATTTCCATTTATTAGCATATATAAAAAGAGGCAAGCACAACACAGGTGAAGTTAAGTCCAAAGATTTTTTTCTTTTGTTTAAAATCAAATAGATTTCTCCCTTGTTTCTAAAACCCTCTCAAGAACACTAAAAAAGCTTCAACTTGTTAAACCCTGAGATCAAAACTAGCAAAACCCAATTCAAATTCACAGGTTAAATCCTAAGGAAATCGATAAATTTATTGAAAATGATGAGCCCAGTGGACCAAAAGTTTCGACCTTTAAGCTAATTGCAACTGAAAATTCAGACGATGAGAGTGAAATCAAACCTGAGAACTGTGATTATTCAGCTGAACCCTCTCTGTCTCTCTCTCTCTCACACACACTCTTGTTCTCTTCTGGTGTTTCTGCTCGAAGGACAGATCCAATTCGTCTGAGACAATGAAGAAATGACGACAGTAACAGTTCGAATCGCGGAACGAAGTGGGGCAGTGTCTAGTGATTTGGTGGAGACTTTAAGGAAGGAAACGAAGAGAGCAATGTCTGGTAGTCTATAGAGAACTCGAAACCTCTGACTTAACCCACTTTTGTGTTTGTCCCATCATTTGCGGAGAAACGCCCCCTCTTTTTTGTTTGTTCGCTTGGTTTCTGTTTTCTTTTTCTTTTGCGAATTTTTTCTGTAGATTTTTTCCCCCATCGAAAACAAAGCTAAAAAGTTTTATTAATTTTTTCTCTCTTTTATTAAAGTTTATGAAACAAACAGATAAATAAAGTTTTCACTTTTCACTTTTTTTTGTGTTGACCAGATTGACCATGCACCTATAAACCAAGAAACAATCTCTCTCAATAAATGAGTGGGTTACTCACGGTTAATTATGGATTACAAATTGGGATTTCTGAATACTTTCTATGAATAAAAAGTAAATGATTCACTCTAACCAAAAACATAAGATAATGATAGTTTTATTGTGTTTTTTGAAAACGAAATAAGTACATTAGTTTCTTAGAAAGTAACAAGCTTATGATTATGTCGTGTACAGTATGTGTCTCAAGGATAACAATTTCGTATACGCCCTTTCACAAAATACATTTTAAGAACCAAATTAAATATAAAAAAATTGAAAAACATACAATGATTTAAGGGAAGCACGTCTTTGGACAGCCATGGAATTCTCTGTTTTCTTATTAAAAAAAAATACATTTCCATGAATTTTTTGTTTCCTCTGTGTCATTCTTCTTTAACTCAGGCCTTCTTTTGAGTAGTTGGTGGTTGCTATAATGAGAATGATCATTATTTTGTGCAGATTTATCATAATCATATCACCAACAAAACTTTTTGGTGCAACCAATTTATGTGATTCATTTTCTTTCGATTGCATCATTTTTAGGTAAGTCATTAGATGTGACCAAGTAGAATTCGAACGTGTTCATTCTAGTTAGACTGTGACATTACAAAAAAACTCGAGAAAACAATGTCCATTTATTACTGTCATATACAATTATGTAACAAAGAAATATAATTCAACAAGATAATTAATTAACCACACGCATGTAAGTTTTTATTCAAGGAGAAAAAAATTAAAGATACTTCTTCTAATGATCGTGCCTCCAACCTCTCTTTCCAAACCCGGTAGGACTTTGGCTAGGACTAACCGGTTTACGTCGGATATCTGTTTTCGGGTTAGGACTTTTGGGACCGGGATAACCGGTGGTTACTGCTCCACTCGAAGTTGATGAATCACAACCCGACCCATTAAGCGACCCGTTTTTGGTGGATGAGTTCCAATGCGGCATGAAAGAAGTTCCTTGAAGCTTCACGGCCATGCCTTGGTCTCGGACTTTAGCCTTTGCGGATGCTGTTGAAGCCATGTAGCTTGGTATACGAGTTGGGCTTTTACGTTGCTTATGGGCCTGTCTATATGAGCCTAAGTCTATATGCTCTCGATCAATCATACCGATTATCTTGTCTTTGAGGCTACTTGTAGTTGGTGTCGTCACGTCCATTTCCACAGTCTTCTCCGATACGTCATCGGGTGTGGCGGTCCCGACCGTGGTTGCTGCGGCTGTGGGAAAAGGCGGGTACGGAGGAGGATTGTACTGTCCGGGACCGGAACCCGGGCCGGCTTGACGGCCTGTGTATGGTTGGGAAGACATCCAATGATCAAGCCAATTCCAAGCCCATTGGGTTCTATCAGGCCCATTAACAGAGAGCCCTATTGCCTCGTCTTCGTTTTTGTGTTGCATTTGCCGCTTCAATATGAAAAACAAAACAAAAATCAACGAACATAAACCTATTTGAGGTGGACCAAAAAAAGAAAAGGAAATAGAGATCGGTGACAAACCTGGTAGGTGTATGCATAAGCAAGAGCCCTCTCTCTTTTCATCATTCCTTCACTCTTCTCTATTTCCTGTATACTCAAAAAAACAAAACTAAATTATAAACTTCCAAAATTATAATTAGGCTTGTATGAAAATAGTACGTAAGATATTTCCACATTACCTTTCCGGGAGTTTGGTACAGGCTGGTTCGGTTCACTTCGTGCAATTTCTTAGGTTTCTCTCGTTCAGTTGGGAGTTTCGAAAACCCTACAAAACCCATACGAAATGTTAATGTTCACTATCATAAATGTGTATGTATTGGATGTTTCAATTTGTACTAGGAATCATTTCAAAATGTACCGCTTTTTGGTTTTTCCAACCCGGACCGCTTTTCTTCTTCCTCAAACTGTTTCTTAAACCGGTCATGAGCCACTTGGAGCCTTCTCGCTCTCACTCGGCCTTGGACACGAACCAGAGCTTGCATACATTTCATCGTCATTTGCGCCTGTTTCCGTACGTGGTTGCCTCGGACCAATGCTTGTAGCCTAACTAGTCCTTTTAAAGCTCGAAGTGCTCGTCTTGCCTACAAATAAAGAAAACAAAATCCACAATACCGTTCAAGAATATATATATATATATATATATATATATATATATATATATAGAGAGACTATAGTTGACGAGAGTTGAATATTATTTATTTGGTTGTGAGGATGAAATGTTACCAGATAACCCCTGTAGTGGGATTGGATGAGCACGGCGGCACTATCTTCCTCCGTCTGGCGGTTGTAGCCAGCAAGCCGAACGACTTTAGCAGCGGCTTGCGCGGCTGCGACTGCGGCTTCAGCAGCAGCTGCCGTGGCTATAGCCACAGCCATGGCGTGTTTTCTCTCTCCAACGGTTGTTGCTGGAGTTGAAGCTGTGCTCTCTACGTCATGGGAGATCTCCGGCGAACTTTCTGCTGGAAAATTCTCAAACGACACAACTTCTTGCGTATCATGTTGCTGCTGCCACCTGTCGGCGTTGTTGTTGCTGATGTTGTCTTCTCTCTGCATGTAATTAAATTTATTGCGACAATTATATTTTTGTTAAGGATTAATTCTGCTCGAGCTCACAGTAAGAAACTTTCCCCAAGGTTTCAAGATCCATATTTCAGGTTTTACGGTAACATAATAATCACTAATTGAAATCTTCCATCCTTTTTTTTTTTGACTGTCTTTTTTTTTAACGTCAATCTTCCATCTTTATATGTTGGCTTTTGATTACAACAACATTTGGTTGAATTTAGACAAAATTGATAAAGGGTTACAAAATACACAACTATTCCAGAGTATCCTCTATTGTGGAAACATGAGACACAGGACAATATAGGGAAATTGTCTATTTTATAGTTACAAAATACACAATTATCCTAGAGTATCCTCTATTGTGGAAACATGAGACAAAGGACAATCGATGGTAATTGACTATTTTATAGCTACAAAAGTAACCTCTATATGAAATGTCCCTAATTAACCGATCCCACAACTTTCAGGGTAAACTCTTCGATCACTAAACCACCCTTATATACGTTGTCAACTTAACTAAAGCATCTAGTTATTGCGGTTAGTCTTAGTCCATATTTTAATAAAATGACAATAAATCTTGCATTAGGTTCGTTGATCTGACAAAGAAAAAAGACAATAAATCTTCCGTATCAGTAAGGGTGAGACTTAAGATCCCAAGAAATGATAAAGATTGTGGGGCTAAGACTTTAGATAGTGGTAAAAAAAAGACCTATACTATAGTAATGTTGAGGTATTCCCATGATCCCATCTATAGATACAAGTCGACATAAATATATTTATCTATAGGTGGGGAAATAAATGGGTGGAGTGATGGCGAGGGAACATAGCAATGCACATGAAATTTGGGAGAAGGAAAAAAAAAAGTTTTTTTAGGTGTCATGAAAATCATATTTCAATGCTCTTATAAGGAGCCTCCTTAGTCCATCTCTTTCACGAGGGGACCAATCTTTTTCGGCTTTTAATTAATAAATACGGTCTACACATTTATTTTTTTGTAATTCAACTTGTCATAATACATTTACAAGATGAAATATCGTATTATGTTTTTCCCCTTTAAGCTATAGTAAACATAAATATATCTTACGAACACTCATTAAATAGTGCATATTAAGATATACAAAATGTACATATTACAAATACAAAATAACAGACATTTCTGTCTATCTCTATATATTGTACATCATGTAATGAGTTAATTTGTTTTGTAATTTATCCACGTTAGTAAAACTGAGTTGAGAAAAGGTAACGGAACCTTATGCATATATATATATATATATATATGTATATACATATCTAATATGCATATTGCTTAATTTAAGAGGAAAAAGACATTAAACCAAAATTGCTTATTTATTAAGAAATAGTTATGCGGTCATATATATAGTAGTTTAACTTATTTATTAAGTTATATTTGTAATTAGATCCCAATACATCTAACATTCTAAATAAGCCGCTTAATGGCTTTTTATATGTTGTTGGGGAAACAAAATCAGTTAAAGAAAATTGCAGAACGCATGAACATATATCTCTTGGATCGTATGTTCAATACATAAGTACAGTAATGCTGTTGTAATTAATGATTAATGCACAAATGTAATAATTCAAGGTATAGTTAGATTACCTTTGCGTCTTTAGGAGAGGATTTAAAGACTTTCTTCTTCACCGTTGAGAACCACCCACCACTCCCTTTCTTCCCCATTTCCGGCAAAACTCTTTGATCATAAGCTTTATTATGACTGAAATACAAAATTTAAAAATGCTTATACGATTAGAATTCAAGCAAAACTAATATGTATAACATTGTAAAATACAAGCGTTTGTGTTTATATATAGGATAACACATTGCCATATACGGTACCTCAACATGCAACCAAAATATGATTAAAATTAGACATGCTTATGTATGCGAGAATTCAGGACCTTACATGTTTCTGCAATGTGATCAAGCCATTGGAGCTATTTTTGGAGTATAGAGAGAGAGAGAATGAAAAAGATAAGAAAGAGGCGAGAGAGAAGTCATAGAGAGTTAAGTTGTGAAGGAGGAAGTGTCTCATTTCACCACCGATAATGAAAATCATTAACGGAGTCACGTGGGGTTCGGTTAAACGCCGTTAAGTGTTTTTACGAAGTTCACGAGGTTTCTAGTTTTGTCTTTTCCTTTTATTTTTAACGCCGATCACTTTTCTTTTCTTTGGTATAAAGTCTTCTGACATTTCTGAATTGTGATGATCGAAAACAAAAACAAAAATTGAAATAAGACAATTGAGCTCATAAAAAACTATTTGACTTTTCTTAAATTTGTGGACTTGTGGACCTAATTCATTATTTACATATTTCTGATAATAAGATGTATATTCGGACGTAAATATTTTATCATAGTAGTTTCATAATGAAGCTGAGGTAAATTCTTATAATGAAAAAGATACAGATATCGTATACAATCTATTTCATCACATCCAAATTCAAAAATATTTTACTTTGTATGTTTTTTTTTGGTTTTAATGTTAGATTACTTTGTATGTTGGTAAAACGGAAATTTATTTAGATGAGAACTCATGACGAAATTCTTTAACAGAAATATAACTCATGCGGGCATATTTAAATGAAACATATATGATATATGTTTGTGAGTTTATTAGTTTTTTTTAGCTTATTATTCAAAAAACGTTGGTCCCATACTTAAAGTTTGCATTTTACACAAATTTACGGGTTGTGTGTCTACAATTGGTGACATGAGTAGTGTAATCTATAGATTTTTGTAGGAACTCCAAGATTTGATATCTCTATGTATTACAGTATAAAATATCAAACGTTGCCGTTAGTTTTTTTTTTCTGTTTAGATGCAAACTTAACAAGAATGGAAAAACCAAATACGATAGTGTGCAGTTGTTTTAATAACGGCGACCTAACTTCTTAATGCGGACCCAAGACCTATACACCACATTCATGTTGGACCACCTTTCGATTTCACTACTCATTAAGTCTCTCATACAACCACACGAGTAGCTAAAGTCTTATTTTATGCATCAGATACTGTTAGACCATTATATTAGATCAGTAGATCACGGAAGTTGTAGTCTTGTAGAGGTATGAGATCGGTACTGATAAAAAAAAAAAAAAAAAAAAACAAACAAATTGTATGGGTAGTGTTTAAAGAACAATCGTTTGAAAAATGTTACAAATATATTTATTTTTTTTCTTTGCTTCCTATTTTTATTGTTCATGCAAAATTTGGATGGTGATTAAACATATCCTCCCTGATTATAAGCGAAAGACCTATACACCATCTTGAGAATTTTTATATTAATGAAGATCCTTTAACAAAACGTTTTGAGTTTTAAAAGCCTTAAAAGCCTCTACGGACTTTCCTAGACCTTAACCAAAAACCATATTTGAACCTGATTTGAACCAATCTTCAAGGTTCAGACTACGAATGAGAGAAAAGATTTTGAAAACAAATTGAAGTGTTCAAATAAGAACTACTACATAATACACAAATATGGTCCATGGTTCAATCAGACGCATTAGTGAGAGAGGGAGAAAGAAATGAGCACATCTTAAACATATAGCAAAAAAATTATCAATTTGAATCAAACTACATAATTACATAAACCCCCACCCCCCCCCCCCCCCCAAAAAGACTAAAATAATGTAAAGTAAAATGCTTGCTCACTTGTTTGGGCCCAAAAAAGAGAGGAGAGAACATTTGGGATTTGGCATTTCTTTACCAGAAGAAGACCTCCAAAAATTAAACCCTCAGAGAGAGAGAAGAAGCCGAATCGGGGAGAGCGAGAGTGAGAGAGAGATTGTCCATTGGAGCTGAGGAGCAATGTATCCGGCCAGTCAACAGGTCAGTTTAAGAATCAAATCATTTTAGCTACCGGCAAAATTGCAAAGGAAAGCAGATTATTCGGAGAACCAAAAATTACACTATAATCTTGTAATCCGATCAATTCTCTCTGAAATCTCTGGAATTCTGGTGATAACAAGTTTATTCCTGTATCAATTATTGCATTTTCTTCCCTCGATTTCGTTTCTATTAACTTGCATGCGACCACATTGGCTGAGTTTTGTTCTTCGCTTGAATGCAATTGCTTATTTGTTCAATTCTCAAGCTTTTCTCTACTACTTCATGATAAAATTAGCTGAGATTGAAAAAAAAAAGGTTTTTTGTTCATGTTCGTCTAGCTTCAGTCTTGAGAGTTGCAAAAAGGGGTTAAGATTTTGGCGAATTTGAGAATCAGGGCTTGAGAAAGAATGGATTTTTAACTCAGACTCTTGCTTGCATCCCAATTGTAGGTTTCGTTTCAGGATTCATCAACGATGATGATTGTGGATTCTAAAGAATCAGCTTCACCGGTTTGCAAAGAAGAAACTCAGAATGGAGGAGGACAATCTCACGCCGAGTTTGCTTTGTTCAATTCCAAGAAGCTTCAGTCTGATCTTGAAGTCATGGGTACCAAACTCAAACACCACGAAGACAATCTGAAGTTTCTCAAGGCTCAGAAGAACAAATTGGACGAATCAATCGTCGACTTGCAAGGTCTGCCTAATATCACACTTGTTGCAATTTGGATTACTGTGAATGAGAGGTTTTACAAACGTCTCTTTGTTTCATTTTCTTGTGTAGTTCGTATGAGCAAACTTCATTCGTCCGACACTCCTAGAAGCGAAAACAGTGATGCCAATCTTCAGGGTGAAGACATCAATGAACAGATCCTTCGCCACAAAAACTCAGCTGCTGGAGTTTTTGGTCTGCTTCAGTCTCGCCATGGCACACAGGCTTCTCAGTTGGCGTTAACAAAAGGTGTCGTTGGAGTCGTAGCCAAACTCGGGAAGATCAGTGATGAAAACCTCAGCCAGTTAGTTCCATTTCCTCACTGTCATTTCTTCAGATTACTTAAGATCCGCATTCCACAACTTCTTGTTTACAAAGCTTTCTCGTGGCATTGCAGGGTTTTATCAGATTATTTAGGGACTCGATCCATGTTGGCACTGGTGTGCAAGAGTTACGATAGTGTTATGGCTTTGGAGTCTTATGATAACCAAGGCAACATTGATATCAACGCTGGCCTTCACGGGCTTGGCTCTTCGATTGGCAGAGCCATTGAAGGCCATTTTGATGTCATCTGCCTTGAAAATCTGAGGTACTAGTTTCTTGTTTTCTGTATTAACCAGACTTTCATATGAAATACTGTGCTAATGAACTTTATCTGATGATTTTCAGAGCGTATGTTGGGCAGCACAAAGCTGATGATCCACAAAGGAGGCTCGATCTTCTGAAACCAAAGTTGCCCAACGGCGAGTATCCTCCAGGGTTTCTGGGATTTGCTGTCAACATGATACAGATCGATCCAGCTAACCTGTTCTGTGTCATAGCAAACGGATGTGGTCTTCGTGAGACCTTGTTCTACAGTCTCTTCTCTCGCCTTCAGGTTTACAGAACAAGGGTTGAAATGATTAGTGCCCTCCCCTGCATAAGTGATGGTGCAGTCTCTTTGGATGGAGGAATCATCAGAACAGGCGGGATCTTCACTCTTGGAAGCCGGTAAAATTATGATAACCTGAAAAACTTATTTTCCTCATTGTTCACTGTTCTTCTCCAGGTTCTCCTTTTCTTCTTACTATTGTTCACTGTTCTGAAACCAATGGAAATTTCAGTGATGAGGTTAAGGTGATATTTGCAAAGCCAACTGCTTCACGGACGATGGACAACTACAGTGAGGCGGAGAAGCAAATGAAAGAGCTGAAATGGAAGAAGGAGAGAGCGCTGGATGACATAAAGCGTGAGCAAGTGCTCCGTGACCATGCGGTGTTCAACTTTGGCAAGAAGAAAGAGGAGTTTGTTAAATTCTTGGCTCAGAGCTCATCCGCTAACCAGGTAGTAAATCTTATAAATGTCTCACTGCACCAAATCAGAGAATCATCTATGATAGTGTCTTTGTTTCGGTTTCAATTCAAAGCTTTGATTTCTACGGCTAACATTTCTCTTTATGTGTTGTGATGCTCCAGCAAATGATGTCACCCAGATGAAAAGAGAGCAAGGTGAGGAAGCGTGGAGCTCTGAGTAACAGTGACTTTTGCTTCTAAAGAAAAATTATATTTTGACTATAAGAACCTTTTTCAGCTTAGTTTTTGATAAATTGCTTCCATGGAACCAGATAGATTTGGATAAATTTCCTGGAAAGCTAGTAGACCGACTTGGTTTAGATCGGTTAGCTTCGGTTCTGTATTTTCAAGGCTTGACTTGTTTTGGTTTGACTTAACAGTGTACATTTAGTGCATATGAAGGGATATTTGTTATCTTAACCTCTTCTAGACTTTCTGTTTCCTCAACATCTCTCACTCACTAGCCTATACTCAATTCAAGTCAATGTCACAAATGGACAAATGGTTACAAAATTCTAATTTGTTGTTGCATTTATATGCACCGGGCTGTGCTAAAGAAAACTATACACAGACCAAAAAGTAACCGAGTCATATGATCAATCTTTCAATCTTGCTACTTGCTAGCAGCTACAGAACAGCAAGTATTGAATCCAAAAGCAAACCTGAGAAAAAGATTTTGCAAAAACATTCATTCTACCAAAAGATTTGATCATAGCTTATTGTCCCAACCAAATTCCTAATTACATAAAAGTTAAATAATAGGAATAAAAAATATAGAAAGACTCTAATAAAACTTAAGCAAACGACAATCAGCAGGACGGCGGATCCTGACCGTTGGATCCACCGGCTTCTTCCTCTCCATGAGGCACCACCACATCGGCGTCGTCTTCTCTATGAGGCACCACCACATCAAACACCTCGGCTTCTTCAACAACACCGTTTTCCAAAAGCATCTTTCCATTTCCATCCCTTTTTATTTTAGGAATGATTGAATTAATGCTCAGCTGTTGACTCCTCTTCTTCGCTTCTTGCGCTTCTCTCTCTTTCGCTATCGCCTCTGCTTTCAATCTCCTTTTCTCATCCACAAGATTCTTCAGATCATCCTCTCTTCCTTCTTTCCTCAGCTCTCCTCTCACAAACTCCTGCAACTCCTCACTCACCCTCACCGATTCATCATCCAGCATCTCGTCCACAATCTTGAGCATCTCATCAAGCCTACCAGCTTCACTCAACGCCCTCATGATGAACTTGTAAGCCTCATCGTCCATCCTGAGCTTGTTCACCATCATATCGAAGAAAGACTTCGCATCGTCGAGTCTCCCGGATTTAACCAACTGATCTTGCAGCCGGTTATACACTGCCAAGTTTGGTCTCAGACTAGACTCAACCATCGTCTTGTAATACGCAGCTCCTTCGTCTATCTTACCTTCCTTGAAACAAGCATCCATCAACAAACCAAAAGTGTACTCATCAGGCTTCACCTTCTTCTCCTCCATTTCACCGTAAAGCTTCTCAGCCTCTGCCAACAATCCGTTCTCACACAGCTGATCCATCAGATTGTTGAACGACAAAGCATCAGGACTACACCTAAAATCACCCATTTGCCTGAAAACCTCCACAGCTTCACCAAACTTCCCTTCTGCACAATAACCATTCACCATCACATTAAAACTTCCCAAATTCAAAGCCAAACGCCTCGGTGGATTATGTTCCTTCTTCATCGCATCAAACAACTTCAAAGCCTCATCGAACTTCCCATTCAAGCTCAAAGCCTCCAGCACGTAATTATAAGCCATAGCACTCATCTTAACCTTTGAGTTCTCTCCAACAGCTTCCTCATAACATTCCATGGCTTCTTTCTCCATCTCTTTCATGAAATATCCTTTCATCAATTGCCCATACACAACACCATCATCAACAAACCCACCAAGCTTCTCCATTACCTCCTCATAAAGCTTCAAAACACCATCGGCATCAGATTTCTTCACACAGCCTATCATCAGATAGCTATAAACAACAGGGTCTGCAACGAAACCTCTAACACCCATATCTTCCTTAATCTCCATCGCCTTCTCAAGACTGTCATTATCAACTAAACCCTTAACCAGAATCCTAAACGTAGCAATGGAAGGATTCATCGGCGCACCATCTATAAACAGCTTGTAATTTTCCAGAGCGTCTTCGGGCTTTCTAACATCAAGATAAGCCTGGAAAAGTAAGTTGTATGTGATGATGTTAGCGGCGATACCAGATTGAGTGATGAATCTGTGCAATTGCAGAAATTCCCTGTGCTTTGCTTGCCGGATCTGCGCCGCTAAAACGGCGTTCACGGTGAAGATCGTAGGCCGGCAATTGGAATACACGGAGTGACGCGTGTACAGGGCAGCTTCTTCCAGGTCGTTCTCCCGAATCAATTTCAGGATGTGGTTGTGGAGATCGAGGCGTTTCCCGGTGAGAGCTGCGACGGATTCTGGCAATTTCGGGACATTTGGGTTCTGGATAGGTCTAGAGAATTGAGGTTGCTGCTGCTGTTGCTGGGGTCTGTTGAACGAGTTGAGCGGCGGCTCCATGCGAAGACGACGCTTGCGACGGCGGCGTTCCGCAGCGGCTTCTTCCTGCGTCGCGAAAGACATGTACCGGACGGCGAAAAATGGCGGCGGGACGCGTGGGCGGTAGGCTCTCGCGATTGTTTGCAGGTGGTTCAAAAAGGCAGCTTTAGCAATCGACATGGTGGGAAAATGTTGTTACCGGAGATTTTTCTCAGTGGGAGTGGAGGAAAAATGTTTCCTTGAGAGAAGATGGAAGGTAGGGTTCTTAGGGTTTTAGAAGAATTTGGGTTTGGCGATGATGAAGTTGTGGGCTTGTTTGGAAACTGGGATAAGTATGTTATAGCGTGAGAATAGAGAAAGCCTTTAACTAATTTACGTGCTCTAACAATATGGGCTTCTTTTGGGCCACGGGTTATTTTCTAGCAAAGTGAGTATTGTTGATTGAGAGAATTTTACAGCATCTCTCACTCCTTGTTAGGTGGAAATTGGAATATATGTGACTGTGCTAAGTACTATGCTAAATGTGACTTTTTTCAAAGTTACAACATGTCACCGACCAAGTCACGATGAGAAAAACATTTCCATTATTTTTTCACATGCATAGTTTTTTTCCTTTTGAGAAAAGAGTCATTTCACATGCATACTTTCATCAAAAAATTATATGTATAGTCTTTGGAATCGAGGGAACAGTGATTTTTTGCAAAGAGCACTCTGTTTTTCTCTAACCGATAAGGGAAAATGTGTTTGTGGTTATTATCTGATCACTCTTAACAGATTCAAATTATTGTCGAGCAGCAAAAATGAATGATGAAAGTTATTTAACTCATAGTTCTCGGTGGAAGTCAAAACAAAAGACAAAAATGAATGATACTGTGTAACGTAAGAGAACATTTTTGGTGTTTCGGTATCATTTGATGAGTCGGACATAAAATTATTGGAAGTTTGGAACCAAAGTTCCCCCAAATCGTGGACCCTACTGTCAGTGTCGGTCGTGGGCCGTGACCTTATTATTGACTTCATTCACATTGGTTCGTCTCCTTCACCGACGCATCCAATTAACTATTTCCAAAATAATAATGTTTGATTTTTTTTTTTTTTTTTTTTTTTTAAAGGCATAATGTTTGAATATGCTAATTGAAATCGTTATAGTTTTCAAAATGATTCAATCGGTTCAAAATCGCTGGAAAACATTAAAGTAAACTTTTACATCTCTTTTTAAACGAGAAAGTAGCCTCTAAAATTTATGTAAAATCAAACGTACGTAACCTCTATAGACAACAGTCAGCGGTTACTTCTGTGTTAGTATTATAAAAAAGAACATTGTAAAATAACATTGTATATTAACATTCATATAAAAAAAACATTGTAAAATAATCCTCGAGTCACAATCTTATTAAATAAAATATCTCCGCAGACCACAATTAAAAAGTTAAAAAAATATAGGATTAATCATATGTCCATTTATATAAGGACGTAAGAATGAAACAATTCATCGGAAACAAAAGTACTTTATTTTCCCTCTACCTAAAGGTTTAATCCAGCCAAGAACGAAACCCCGGTCGAAGGCAACCACGACGAACCGTAAATAAATTCCGCCACCGTAAACCGGTTTGCCTCGTCCGTCGAATTGATGACCCGATACCCCGGCCAATTCACACGTTGCGCAAGAACCGACCCGGGTCCAGTGTTCAAATACTCTCCGTAATACAACGTATCTAACGCAAATGTTGTGTTCCACTCGAGCCAACCTCTCGTGTGTACATGACTACCGATATACGATAACATATAAACCGCCCTAGAGTATAGTTTCCATGGTCGGCCTAGATACGTCTGGACAGTACCGTTCGTCGCTTGGAGATCGGGTGTCGCAAGAACCCTAGACGCATGTATTGATATTCCTGTGTTTTGGTTAGGGTCTTTCCTGTTTTGAGCTGTGATTGTGTTTTTCTGAAGATCCATGGGTTTGCGTGCGTAGATGCTACAGTTTTGTAGCACCACGGCTGCGTTACCGAAGATAAAATCGACCGTACCGTAGATGTCGCATTCACGAAAGAATTGACGGTTTGAGTGGACGTAGAGTGTGTCCTGGTAACCGATTATGTTGCATCGGTAGATCACCGCGTGGTCAGCTCCGACACGGAGAGCGACGGCTTGGTGCTTCTCTGGACCGGCCCAATTTTGGAATGTGATGTCCCTCGCGATAAATCCAGCTCCGGTTGCAGCTGGAATAAAACAAAAACAATAAGAAATCAATATAATTAACTCATCATCAAATGCAGCAATAAATTAATTTAGAGCTGGAGTCATGTTACTTTTCAGATTTTTTTGTTACTATTCCTGTCATTCGTATTTAGAGCTGGAGTATATGTTTTTTTTCGTTTCACACAAAATCATAAAGAAATTTGATTGTTATAAAAACGTACTTGATTGCATTAAATTTATACATAATTATAATCAAATACTACGTGCTAGCATTTGAGAAATCAGAAATGTCTTTACCTAGAAATGTTAGTTCTATGCAACTAGTGGGTCTCTAACGCATCCAAGTCCAGCCACATAATACGCCATGACCCACATCCAACTATATATGTAAATAAATGCTACTCTTCTCTGTCTCCCATCATGCATGTATAAATATATACAAATATGTGGGTCAGTAATGGCGCGGCCTACCTCCAACTTTTGAGATACGGTCCATGTGAATGTGTTTATCCTTCTAGATGTGTATGCATATATATTGATATTTCTTAAGTGCGTATACTTCTATGAAGATTTGAATATACTTACATTTACGAAACATGCATGCATTTACTGATGCAGTGATGTAAGTACGTGGATGTGTGGGTATATATGGTAAATGAAATATTAGATGAGTGTAATGTATTTTAACCTTTTTTATCAAAAGAATGTTTTGTTATTTGATTTGATTTTAGTAATTTGCATTTAATGCACATTAAACCACAACAATATGCATGTGACTTTGGTTGAATAAGTGGCAGCATCACATAGGATGTCCGATTCAGTGTAAGACTGTAAGTGTGTTACCTAACCGAATTCAACCGTAATCATATTGAAAAGTCGACCTAAGAAGGAAACATAACAATAATTAAGTTAATCGATTTTATTTATTTTCAAACAAGAACAGAACTAAAAGAGCATTCAACTATCAGATCAAATTTAAATTTATTTTAAAAAGATTCAAATGGGTTACGGAAGAGCCAGAGCCGAGCTGGAGATCAACACTGATCCGAGACCAAAATACTAATGGATTTACGATTGTTTTCGGTTACTACTGCTAAACCAAAACTCAAGCACAACAACCAAGTAAACCTAAGAACTACAACTTCGGTATCAACTGCCATGAGTGAGTAAAAAAGTTGGTTGAAAAATAAATTAAGTTAGTCTGCATTATGGGAGGTTTGTGAATTGTGAGCCGAACTAGTAGAAAGTGGGTGAATGACGTTTGTTTAGTTATAGCATTGCTATTGCTAGTGTATTGGCAAATAAAGTTTGAAACATACGAAAACAGAGAATAGTTAAAAAATTCACTATTATACAAAATTTAGTGGTCCATATAATTGACTTTATTTACTGGTTGCCTGGTGCGGAGTACATATTACTATTTACATCTTTTTACTTAAAATTAGCTTATCTTTAGTGGTCCATAATCCATATGAAGAATAAACCACAAGTGGTAAAAGCCAACTAATATTAGTAAATGATTCTGACTTCAAGAGAATCAATGGACACTTTAAACTCTATCCATCCGAAATCTATACAGCTAGCTCATGGCCCCCGTCACGTATCTGATTCCAAGAACTTTCCTTTTATATACTTTTTCTTCCTAAATTATTTATATACCCTATATTCGGTCAAGAAATATACTATTTTTTTTATCTAACAATATATATCAAATCAATGGCTAAAAGAAAACCGGAATATATTATATCATATAATGTTGACCACCATTAAGCTCTTTTTCATGCTTTTATTCTGTAATTACCACAAAAAGGATCTTTAAAATTTTCGATTATGGCACTAAAAAGAGCTTCCGATTGTCGACTTCCAAATATTAGGGTCTCAATTTTATAACTCTTGTATTTGTTTAATACCAACAGTAATGTTGATTTTACGTGTTTTACTTTTAACTATTTTTCATTATTTTTGTATTATTATTTCCAAAAAGTTCAGAAAGTGAAAAAGGGATAGTAAAAAGGAGAATGGAATAAGAGGAAAAAGAAATCTTACCAAACGTCGCCGTGTGGAAAGTGGTAATGTTGTCAAATATGCTTTTCCCTCCAGAAATGACAGTTTTACCCTTCCCATCGCCAACGAACATCAAATTAATTTTTTTTCTACCGACCTTGAGGTTGTTCTCTTCGTACCTTCCAAAAGGTAAAAACACACAGAAGATTCACTGAGATAACGCAATTATTAACCCACTTTCCGTACAATGCCACTCTCAGTCATATATATTATTCACGGACGTAACAGTTAAAAAAAAAACATCGATTAACGCGAAAATATAAAGGGTAAAACCGTAAATATTTACCTTCCGGCCTTGACGTAGATAATCGTCCGGCGAGTACTGTTCTGAGGAGCTTTCTTGATAGCTTCCGATATAGTTTTGCACGTGCCGTTGCCGTCTTTCGAGACGATGATGTCAGCTTGTATCTGAGACACCGGCATTTCCAATAACTCGCGCTCTCTTCTCTTCCTCATCCATCTCGGGAATTTCTCGTCTCCTTCTTCTACTTCCAGCAGCCTCCTGTTCTGTATCGGAATTCCGGCGAAATCGTTTCCGCCGCTGTTACCGCTCGCCGCGAAGATCGCTAAACAGTTGCTGACGAGCTCCGAGAGGTTCTTCAGCGCCGCCGTCATCTGATCCTTCACTCCGCCGTCGTTGACGCTGTCGAACCCCTCGGCGCACGTGTCATGATTCGTCAGAGCAGCGCTCAGCCACGTCATCACGTCCTGAGGTTTCGTTTGGCCGGCGGAGACGGATACGACGGAGGAGAGAGCGCGTGAGAGAGCGTCGACGGAATCGTCTAGCAGCTCGATGCATGAGTCGTAGGCGGAGCGGACACGTGGCGGCATGTCGAGGAAGTTGATGGAGGAGGAGGAGTAGAGAGCTTGGCTGAAGTGGTGGAGCGTCATGTTCACCGTCACGTGGATCAGATCTTTGGCGGAGGAAGCGGCGAGCGAGCCGGGGAAATCCATGAGTGAGTCAACGCATAACTCGGGGAAACGAGTCAACTCGCAGGCTTTTGAGATTGCTTGACTTGGTTTACGAGCTAGGCCTGGGACGTGTTGGTTCGATTTGACTTGTGTTCGAATTCCGGCGAAGATCGCCGCGGCGAGGATTAGTGCGAAAGCTACAATGATTGACGATACTAGAAGCTTCTTTCTTCTCCGGTTGGTATTCTCCGGTTGTGCTGGCGTGGACACATGGTGGAGGTTCGGAGACGGAGCAGTGGCGGTGGTGACCGAACCACTTGGTTTGGAATGTCCGAGCTTTTCGTACCCCATTATTTGTTCTCTTCTCGTTATAGTTTCTATTGAATTTTTTTACATTCCTATTGTTGGCATATATATGAGTGAGTGAGTGAGAGAGAGTCTTGTGAAGTAGTCTTGTAAAAGGAGAGTGGTGGTGGTGATAATTTGTGGGACACGCGTCAATGAGTCATTCATATAACATAAGAATAAAAGTTGCTTTATTTGATTTTTTGTGTTATAGATTTAATTGCTTGTGTTAGTCATCGTTTGGTAGTGAGCTCTTTTTGTTCTGCATTGATGTTTGTTAGTGAACTTTTTGTTACTGGTCGACATGAGTTTAAAAGATCGATTGAAAACAACAAAAATGTATCACTTTTATTATTATAATGTTACAAAATAAGTTCATACATGTTTGTGTGTGTCATTCGTCGTTTGATAGTGAGCTTTTTGTTATGACCAGATCGTCGACATGAATAGAAAAAAAAAAATCTATCTTCAATGATTAGTCTATTATCTTCCTACATTGTAATACTAACTTTATATTTCAGCAATTCATTTGAATAAAGTTTTGGTTTTCTTACTCCATGAACTTGAAACATACATCATTTAAAACGTGAAGAAGAAGGTAATAAAAACAATGTTGATAGGAAATTATTGGTTATGAATATTACAATAAATTGTTTCGGCTCGAAACGTATTAGTACAATTTTAAACATTTACATATCAATCTTGAAACTAACTGATGTAGTATATGTGTGCAATGTGTCTAATAAAGAGCATGAGCTGGCATCTACCAACCATGATTAAAAATCTTGATGAAATGATAGTGAAACAGACTATAAACTATAATCGTTTATGATTCTTTTGGGTAATATTAAGACTGTTTCGAAACAGTTAAGCACATATACAGTTAACATGCATTAATTAAATCTCTATACTGTTTCAACATCAACCAAACAAAACAAAACAAAACAAAAGAAAAAGAAACAATCACGACTCAGCTAATGCCAGAATGCGACTAGAAAAGACCCCCATTGTTTCTGATTACATAGACATCTCACGTTGTTCTTTTTATCCGTTTTCAATGATTTATATTAAATCTAGCTAAATTATTCTAATCGATATACCTACAATTCCATTAATGGCTAGTCAGTACGTTTGTTCAATTTTTTCTTAATTAATTTCGTGATGATATATATAACTAGCTCGTTGTTATATAACCTAGCTATTACTCGTAACTAATCAGGCTTAAAAGCATAGAAATTAAATGACAATGACATACCATGTGTGTCTGACTTTATATAAATTCGATTATGAAAATATGTAATTGTCTATTAAGAATGTATTAAAAATTGTTCTCCTTAGCACTTTTTATGCAGTTAGACTGGGACGCACATAATTTAGCAAGTATCCTTGAAAAATATATAAAATATTATACAGTAGAAACTCTATAAATTAATACTCGATAAATTAATAAACACGATAAATTAATAAATTTCTCCGGTCCCGAGTTGGGCCGGTGTAAAATATGACATAATTCGATAAGATAATAAGATAATAACTTTTTTTAAACTCCTATGTAAAATATGGTCCCAATAATATCATAAATTAATAATTATTATATAAAAACTTATATATATCTAAAATATCTAGCTACTAAAATATGAATCTCTCACACACCAAACATATATGGAAACTAAAAGAAAAGAAATTTAAAACAATATGGCAAGTATGAAAAATGTAAACAATAAAGTAAATATAGAAATATCAAAGAAAAAGTTAAGAAAATATACATATAAAGGAAAATTCTTATTTAATTTGAAGGAAATTTAAAAATATAATTGAATTTTTTTTTTGAAAATATTTTTAGTCAAAATCTATATATTAATAACTCTATAAATTAATAAAATATCAAAGTCCCGACATTATTAATTTATAGAGTTTCTACTAGACGCTAAAAATAAAAGATTAGTAGATAAGATGTGTGTGACGTTAGATAATTAAAGTGATTATGCTATCTTTTTCAATATGGTTAGTGAAGTATCAGAACATGCTCAATAATGTTTGGAAAGTTCAATGTCTCTTTTCTCTTTAATTTTAAAAAGTTGCTAGCTTAAGGAGTAAGTTATATATATATATCAGTTCAAAATCTTAATTTTATTTTAAAAATCCAAACTAAACTGCAATTGGTTTTTATCAAAAAACCAAACACATCTCTCAGAACCAGCGGGAGTATATGACAATTTTTTTTTGTTCAATTGTCACATGGATTTTATATACTTCAGTTTGATTTAGTATGCCATAGCTAGTAGCTAGCCTAGTAGCCTATTTCTGCAATAATAATATGCTTGCTGATTATACATGAGTATATTACTGAACTTTAAAATCAAAGTATGTCACTGAAAATATGTATTATTATGAGTGAATCAATGTGTCTTCGTCTATTTTTTATCATCTAATAAGCATTTGTTAAGCTAAACTTCCCGAACAGATAAAATAAAGTTGTATTTTTTAAATTAAATATATATTGATAAAAAGTTGATCCAAAAGAAATGATAAAGGGTAACATACATAAAAGGCTGTTGCTTGAGAGGAAAGATTCATAAGATCTCTCTAATTTTCTATACCTCTCTAGTCAAATAGTTTATACTTCATGATGTAAAAACTAAATAGTAATGTGTTTCATATATAATATATATCTCTATACAAACCAAATGTGTTTCTATTGTTTTAAGTATTGTAGTCTGATCACAGATGATCGTCTGCAAATTTGTTAACAGAGTTTTCATTCTTTGCAATGGTTACAACTTACAAGTTCCAGTTAATAGCTTCTCTACAGTTCTTATTATTTATTTTCGCTTTAAATTATTATATACTATTTTTGAGTTGTTAACACATTTTGTATTGAGGAGTCTCCTATTAATTCGAGTTTGATTTTCTACTATATAGTTTTATGTAAGAGATATTATTGGTGTTAGATCACTTGCATTTTTTTCTTTTCAAAATATATTTCCGTATCTGAAACTAATATATATATATATATATATATATTTTTTTTTTGGATAACCGTGGGATCCTAAAAGCCTTCTAGGCCCAAAGACTAATCCTACGAAGCCCATGGCAATCCGCGTATTGGCAGCCCGAGTGGTCAAGGGGACTCGAACCCAAATGGCGGAAATCACAGTTGTGACCTCTTTACCACTGGGCCACGAGACCTTGGTTTGAAACTAATATTATTATCTCTGATTAAGATCTTTAAAAATCGTAAACACAGTACGACTTCTATGAATCTTTAGTTTTGAGAATGATGAACTTGAACGAGTAAATATCGCAAAACTAATTACTCGTGTTGTAGCCTTGTAGGTATATTATACATGATTGCAAAAGGGCCAGTTACTATAAGTAGACAAATTACGGGTGCATATGTAGACTACTATAACTCTATAAAGAGTAAAGACCTACCAAAATGATCTTCTCTATATTTACATCTAAAGCAACCATTAACAAAATGACGTATTAGCTTAGTGCCTTCTAGAACAACCAACCCTTGCTTAAACTTTTTCTTTATTTTACGTCCATAAGCAGACGTTTACATATACGAATTTTACTGGATGACGTAGCAATTTGTATAATAACTGGAAACATATGTTGTTTCAAGACCATTCTTATAGTTTGCAATTGCAACTACATATATTGACTGACAGCCATAACAATATTTGACTATAGAGTTACCCAAAAAATTGTATATATGACATATTTTGTGCTTATTCAAAAATCTTTCTAAATGAAGTTTAGTGTATAAGAAGTTGATGCTGTGTCATCAATCAAAACTTATCACCAAAGTGTTGTTGGATCCTCACTTTATTGCGACCTAATATCATACTCTTTTAAAAAAGAAACTCCATTATAGTGATTAATTAAAAAATCCTTCGATATAATTAGGTGACTCTATAGTTGATACTGATCTAGATTTTTTTTTTATCGACTACAATTATTCTATCTATAGATATGTTATCAACTTATCATGGTCTCATGGGATCATGGATATGTTAATATTTTGTTGATAGTGCATGGTTTTCGTATAAATGAATGCACTAGTTTTCGTTTTTCAATAAAAGTCATAAAACAATGGATGTAGTAGATGTTTTATTCAATTTTGTTTTCTTACACTACTTTTAAACTTATGACTCGGGGTTAAGCAAACGAAAAGTAGTCATCGTCGTCTTTTTAAAAACAGAAAGTCGATACTTTAGAAAATAGAGCTACAAATCATTCACATATCGAATATAACTTATTCGGACAAAAAGAAAACTTATTCGGAATACTTGATATACCGAATAAATTAAACTTTCATTTAATATACCGAATAAATCAAACTTCCATGAAGGGCACTATACTTTTACCATACCTTTATGCATGCATATATATATACACAGTATATAAGGGACATATCAAGGGATGGATGCAGCATAAATGCATAATAGCCAGCTAGATTATATATTTATATATATGTTTCGTTCTAATCTTTATATTATGTCATGTTATGTAGTAGTAATACAAGTGATCTTTTTATATTTTTGGTAACATAATATCAATAACGAAGAAAACGTATAATGGAAAGACGTTGTTTAACGAAACAATGATAATAATGTTGGCGAAAATGATGATAACAATAATGATGATGGAAAGACATACCATGTGGTTTGGTTGTGGTGATATGAAAACATAACAACCTACATCTCACAACTTGTGAGAACAAAGACAAGATTTGATAAAAAGAAGAAGAAGAAGAAAAACACACACAAAGACAAAAATAGTACTTTACAAAATGAGCTCTGTCAGTAAATTTGTGATTCTTTTACCAAAAGTAGTATCAAATCGATCGATATCTCTTATATACTTAAGTCTAAAACAGGATCCACAAACAAGTTGTGATGTGTGTCGTATTTAGATCATTAAAGTATGTAGGACAGTGCTTGGTTACAATCACTCTTCAGTCTTCACAAGACTATGGGCTAGAATATTAAATGGGCCCAGCCCAACTCTAATTACTGCCATTGCTACAAAACCAGCAAGACTATTAAAAAAACAATTTAGTTTTGTGATTTTGTCCATCGAGTTAAGAGTGGAACTATATAAGCTTTTGAGCTTCTTCACTTCTGTTCGCACTATCCTATGTTTCCCTGTGTTTCATCGGCCGCCACATAACTTATCGCCGACGAAATTTTTAAGAATCTCGTTTGAACTTTGGAAAGACATATATATAGATTTAGTATTAAAGAAAGAGGTTGATCCACTTATTTAAGGTTACTACGAAGTGCGAACCATCTGTTTACTCTTCTACCCCTGCTGTTTTCAACCGCTTCGTCCAATAACATTTTTTTTTTAAAATTTGAAATTAAAAACGCTTTATTGATTGGTAACCTCTATAACGGTTTAACATTAATAGTCATAATTGGGGTTACCATTTACCAACCAGTGCTGATATATCATATGATTAAAAAGCGGTTAGACACTCAATCTTGTTGTTGTTGTTGTTGTTGTTTCAAACACTGCGTTTATATATACAATAACCATTCCATTTCATGAAGTTAGGTGTCTAACATGTTTTTTTCATATATACATAAGATTTCTTCGCAATATACATTTATCCCATCATTAAATATTAGTTGTTTCATTGATCATCTCTAACTCGTAGGGATAAGTACGTAAGAGCATATATTACACGAATTTGCAAAGAAATTACAGAAGCTTTGTATGGAAATGGAAAAACTCAAACATTCAAACGTATAATTTTCAAAATTTAGCCATGCAGTTACAACTTTTTCAAATAAAAAACAATTGAAAACAGAAACACATTATTATTATAATATGTAAATGTAAATACAAACGAGTCAATATAACTATAAGCGGAATATAAGAATATAAATATATAATAGCTTGGAGTTTCAATGTCAACGGATATAACAAAATGGGAACATTGGACTAACTCGGTCTGGCTCCTAAAAATTGGTAGATAGTGTTATGACAATGACTTGTATGACCGAGTATTAACTGAGTTTAATGACCGTATGTTACTATATTTTTTGATAAAGGATTAATCGTATATTACTATATTATTGTACCCTAATATAAGAAGTTAGTAATGTATACAGCTATATAATAAGACTGTAAAACCGTGATTATCTTTGAAAAGAATTATATATTACTATAAATAAATGTAAAGCAAAGATATATGGTTGTGAAATATAAATGCGGTATGGTACCATGAACCCATTTATATGGCCGATGTTACTATCGGTTTCAATGGTTTAGGTCGTCGTCACTATCGTCGTGCCGTGTTAGACCATTATTTGTATTGTTGTTGTTATTATTGTACGTGCATAGCCAGACTGCAAACACTTGTCCATTTATTTGGTCACTCGGAAAATTTCATAATATCTATTAAAAATAGAAAACTTTATTATTGACGTGGTCAAATTTGTGTTTTTTTTCTTTCTGTGTAACGGTCATATTGTTACTAATCTTATTGATTTTGATTTATAAATGTCGTGCAGTAGCTGTAAGAGTATAGTCATATAATATAAGACTATTCAACTGCAGGAAGGTACCAAAACACGTTGTAATACTTATTGGATTTTAAAGTTAATTTCATAATTTAGCTGTTAAAAGAACGAGTGTCAGACAACCAGAACCACAAGTTTAATCGATCAGTAAAGAATTATTAAATATTTGCATGAACATGTATACATGAAAGTGAAACTGCTACCAAATCACAACTGATCTCTCTCTAAAATTGCTACCAATCACATAGTAAACGTTTTTGTGGCCTCTGGAGTCTGGAGAACATACTTTCAAACAAGATTTCATCTTGAGACTGACTTCGAAGATACATCAAATGTTCATGCTTGGTTTTTAAGATGACGCAGTTTCTTTTAAAGTGGTCTGCTTTTCTCATCCTATTGACGAATTATGCCTACTCCAAAAAAGTCTACTAGTCTGTTTATTTATTTATTTATTTTGTTTATCTTTGATTTCACGTATTTTTTCGTATTTTTCTAGAACGTTTTGTTTGGTCCGAATTCTAAATATTATTTAGTAATATTTATTTTGCTATCTCTTCTCTCTCATATTGGATAACCAAACACAAGTTAATGGAGTATAAAAAAACAATAATTTAAATTTAAATTATTTAGTTAATTTTTTGTTAATGAACGATTCTCTTGATTTCCAGACCACATATTAATTTTGGTAACGATAAGCTCAGTTTTTTGTTCGTACTATCCTATTTATTTCACAAAAGAATATAGTATATATTACTAGTAACTAGTAAGTATCACCTGTACATAGCAAGGCAATGAGAATTGAGACCATTAAATTCCTTACTGTTAATAAAAAGTTTATCTCCAAAAAGGCATTAACTTCCATTGCTCTTTTTTAGAGTATCTAGACGTTTAGAGAAAGAGTTAAAATAATTTGTCATTTTAAATAATCTAATATTTTAGATAAGTGCAGTTTGTTTATTTTTGTACCAAGTTTACAAAAAAACAAATAGCTTTATGAATACAGCCACAAATATTATTAAAGTCGGGTATGTATGTTTGTGGGGTCCAAGTGACTAAATATTTTGGTTAGAAAATAATTAAAGTTTTCAAAACTTATATAAAGAGAAAAGTGGCATAGCACAATTGGAGGCTATATTGGGAGAGATAATATTTAAAGCTAAGAGAGAAAGAGAGAGAAGCGGTGAGATCAAACAGCAAAACTATGGAGATTAAGATACGACGAGACACATCAAAGACAACGACGATGAAAGAGGGGGAAGAAGGAGAGGAGCAACCGCTTAGTCCGGCGGCACGTGTGTTCCACGCGCCAGAGTTTAATTGTTACGTCATCACGGTGATTGGTATTAAGAGGAAGCTCGAGCCAGATGTGATTATGGAAGGATTAGAGCAATCTTTGATCCGACATCCTCGTTTCTCCAGTAAATTGGTGAGTCCAACACTTTTACATACATAAGCTCTAGTTTTATGGTGAAGATAAACTTATATGTTTGTGTGTGTATATATACACATATATATATATATGCGTATTTGAACTTGTATATATAAATGTTTTCTACGGCCAAAATACTTTCAACTCTTTTTGATGGATATATAAACCTTTTCAACTATTTTTGATGGATTTATTATTGTTCATTGACTTTTCTCCTAGTGTTGCGTGATATCGTCGAGTCTGATACTGTTTCTTGACCAATAATCTTTTGGAGGCGGTTAGTTTTTAAGGTTTGTAAATGTGCACTCGAAAATGGGAGTATATTATTTCATTTTGGTTATTAAAATAAACCTAGCAGAAAAGACATTTTCATAGTACGAACTACGAAGGATACCCAAATGATTATGTTTTTGAGTAAGTTAAAACTTTTAGTAGTACAAAGTTTCCTAAAGCTATTCTTACAAAATCTAATGGTTTTCATGTTAAAGCTTTTTAATATTTCTCAGTATCATTTAAAAAAATTAGTTCAAGTCATTACCTTTTAACTGTGGGAACTTTAGCTGATAATTAAAATACTGTAAATTAATAAAAATATTTTGCTTTATAAAAATCATGTGTTAATATGATAATATTTTATATATATATATATATTTCTAGTGTTATTAAATTTAATTTTCTCTTTTAGTTAGAGTAAACAAATCTATTAAAGTCGATCATTTTTCCCTTTTTCTTTCCCCAGATTTGAACGTTAATTTAAAATTTTATTTAAATGATTACTTCAAGGTGAACAATGGGAACAAGAAAAGACAAACACAAAAATGGGTACGGACAAATGTGGTCGTTAACGATCACGTCGTCATAGCCGACATCCAAACGCAAAACAAGAATGCAAACGCTGACGCGTTTCTTGAGAGCTACGTCTCCGACCTCACGACAATCCCATTAGACACCTCGAAGCCATTATGGGAGCTTCACTTACTCGATTTGAAAACCTCCGACGCAGAAAACGTCGCGGTTTTGAAGTTTCACCACTCTTTAGGAGACGGTATGTCTCTCATGGCCCTTGTCCTCGCTTGTATGCGCAAAACGTCGAACCCCAATGAGCTCCCGACTCTACCATACAAAAACCGGTCCTCGTCTAAATCTACCCGGTTACCGGCTGGTTCAAGGGGTGATTTCCGGTTCTTGTGGTTGATCATGGTTCTATGGTCAGCAATTAAGTTGGTTTTCAATACGGTTTGTGATGCTTTTGAGTTTATTGCCACGGCAATGTTCCTCAAGGACACTGAAACACCGATCAAAGGCGATTTCCGGTTAAGTAAGAGTAAACGGATGAGTTTGGTTCATCGTACCGTAAGCTTAGACGACATAAAGCTAATCAAGAATACCATGAAGATGGTAAGATTTTTCAATGTGTTAAGTTTGGGTCTAACGATATTTTTGTTTGGTTTCCTAACAATATGTTTGTGTTTATTATCGACGGTTGATTTATATTTTTTTTTGGTTTACTAGACTGTCAACGATGTAGTACTTGGAGTAACTCAGGCTGGTCTCTCGCAATACTTGGAGAGAAGATATGGTAAAACTATGCATACTCTTTAACATATACGTGTTGGTAATTATAATATGAGTGAGTTCTACTAATGTTATGATAAATTGAATTGAATAGGAGAGAAGAAGACGAAACTAGGAGAAGATGAAGAATCTAAAAGGAATTCAAATGAGATGCCAAAAAGAATAAGGCTAAGATCAGCTCTACTTGTAAATTTAAGACCCACCACTGGAATCCAGGCAATTTCATATAACCTCACTTTCACTTTAATGCCCTTTTGATTGACGATTGTATAATATATCTATTTGTAGAAACTTCAAAAATAATGATTATTCTACTAATTAACAACAGGATCTAGCTGATATGATGTCTAAAGGATCCAAGTGTAGATGGGGAAATTGGATCGGGTACATAATCTTCCCGTTTTCGATTGGTTTACGTGATGATCCGTTGGAACATCTCCAAAGTGCCAAAAGGATCATCGACCGGAAAAAGAACTCATTCGAGGCTGCTCTAACGTTCATCGCCGGTAAATTCATGATCAAATCATTAGGAGTTCAGGTTAGTTCGTATAATAGTTAGGCACATTTTGATGTCATCAAACCAAAACCTAACTCACCATTTAATTCTTTTTTGTTAGTTGGTCGTTTTGTCCATTCTTGTGAATCAAATTGAATGCAGGTAACAGCTAAGATAATTCACAAAGCATTGTCAAACACAACGATGTCGTTTTCAAACTTGATTGGTCCTATTGAAGAAATTAGCTTCTATGGCCATCCCATCACTTACATGGCCCCTAGCGTTTATGGCCATCCCCATGTAAGATTTTAGACCATTCTATTTTTATATTGTTATTTCCCTCTTTTTAGTTTTGTGACCAAGATTTGACGGATGTCATTGGTCTTTGATTAGGCTTTGACGATGCATTTCCAGAGCTACATGGATAAGATGACGATTTCTTTGACTGTTGATCCAACGGTCATAAGTGATCCCCATCGGCTTCTTGACGACTGGGAGGAATCTCTTGGAAAAATTCAAGCAGCTGTTCAAGAAAGAAGCTCCGCTAAGTAGATTGAGCTATATTTTATTCTTTTCTGTTTATTCAAAGATCAAAGCTGCTGTTGAATATGTGCTAATCTGAGTAATTTTCTTTAATATAAAAAGGAGATAAAGAGAAAGGGATGCACCACTTTAATTTGTCACCTTTCAAGACATACTAATTAGAAGAGCTGATATAGATTACAATTGCACTCGCAAAGCAATTCTCAATAATTGAAAGGTGACAACGAAAAAAAGATTACAATTGCACTCACAAAATAATTCTCAAGCTATTTGAATGTATTGAGAACCTTTTTTTTTTCAGGCTTGAAAACATTTATTTGACGTCTTATCTAAACATTAGAACTGTTAGGCATCCATTATATGTAAACATATATGATCAAAGTTTTCATATAGTAATTTCATTAAATTGGACTCTTGTTTGAATGCACCAATTACACTTTTTGTTGTTGTTGTTAAAGGGCCGGTGCGTTACACATGACAAAAGACGGTTTTGTTCTTAGGTATGTCTTTGAGTGACCAGAATTGTGATGGTAGTACCATACGCGTATAAGGTAATCATGAAAAATAAAAATTGTTATAAAACTATGCACGCGCAAAATAATTCTCAAAGTATTTGAATGTATTGAACACATTTTTTACAGTATAGATTTGATGTCAAGCATAAGAATGATAGGCATCAAATGCGAAAAAGAATAATAAAAGTTTCCGAACATAAGAAAAGTTACTCATATGGTAACGAAAAGAATAATACGATAACGGAAAGTTTCTAACAGTTTATAGAAAGGAAAACTGGCACAACACTGGCATAGCACGACTAGAGAGACGATCGACCATAAAGAGGAGAAAATATTTGAATAGAATTCCAAAGAGAGAGAGAGAGAGAGAGAGAGAGAGAGAGAGAGAGAGAGAGAGAGAGAGAGAGAGAGAGAGAGAGAGAGAGAGAGAGAGAGAACCAAAATATGGAGATTAAGATACGGCGACGAGGTCGGGACATAGTGGAGAAAACGGTGGCAAAGAATGAAGAAGAGGAGGAGCAACCCCTGAGCCCCACTGCGCGTCTGTTTCACGCGCCTGAGTTTAACTGCAACATCATATCGGTGATTGGTTTGAAGGGTAAGATCGAGCCAGATATGATTATCGAAGGAATAAAACAGACCTTGATTAAACATCCTCGTTTCTCCAGTACATTGGTGAGTTCCACACTTGCAGACATAATAGTCACACGACTTCTTTTACGTGGATGATTAATATGTTTTTCAACCTTTGTTTTTATGGATTTAGTTTTCATTTTGGTGTGTGTGTGATTGATTAGTGTGTTTCTCTTTGTTTACAACTACATGAAATTTTATTGTAAAGAATATAAATTGTTGAAAAGAAAGTTATAAAGTTGAAGATTATATTCCAAAACAGGGAGGATATTGTTCCATTTTCGTGACAAAAAAATAAATTTTACTAGAAACACCTAGCGGAAGAATCACTTTGGTTATAGAAGTTTATTCCACCAAATATCTGAAAATATATAGTTAATAAAATTGTCGATTTCATCTTTTACAAAAAAATCATGTATTGACATTGACATGAGTCACATAACTGGTAAATAAGAGAATAACTGGTTATAGAAGTTTATTCCACTACATCCGTTTTTTTAACTCGGAATTCTCGTATCTTAATAAGAGAATACTTGAAAATTTAACAATTTTTTTGTTTAAATAAATTCTATTGAAGGTGAACAGTGGGAGCAATAGTAGTCAAGAACCAAAATGGGTCCGGACAAACGTGGTGGTCGAGGATCACGTCGTCATTCCCAAAATAGAAACGCAGAACGTAAACGCAGACGCTTTTCTCGAGAGCTACGTCTCCGACCTCACTACGATCCCATTAGACACCTCGAAACCATTATGGGAAGTCCACTTACTCGACTTGAAAACCTCAGACGCTGAAAACATTGCCATTCTAAAGATCCATCACTCGGTCGGCGACGGTATGTCTCTAATGTCTCTAGTCCTCGCGTGTACGCGTAAAACATCAAATCCCGATGAGATCCCAAGACTACCATACAAGAACCCGTCGTCGTCTGGATCAACGTATGGTTCAAGAGGTGGTTCCCGGTTATTGTTGCTGGTTATGGTTATATGGTCGGCGATTATGATGGTTTTCAATACGGTTTGTGATGCTTTGGAGTTTATTGCTACGATATTGTTCCTTAAGGACACCGAAACACCGATCAAAGGCGATTTTCAGTTAACTAAGAGTAAACGGATGTGTATAGTTCATCGCACCGTGAGTTTTGACGACATAAAGCTAATCAAGAACGTCATGAAAATGGTAAGTGATTTGCGAATTATTTGTCTTGGTAATCCGTAGTTGTTACCTTGAAAAGTATAGAAATATCAACTATCACAAGAGATGTGACATGATTTTTCCATTGATCTTGCTTGTAGACTGTCAACGATGTTATACTTGGAGTATCTCAGGCTGGTCTCTCGCAATATATAAAGAGAAGATACGGTAAGACTATCTATGAATTTTGTGTTAGTGAACATTGGATTTTAATATTTACGTAGAATTTTATGATAAATCATAATAGGAGAACAAGAAGAATCGATGCCTAAAGGAATAAGGCTAAGGGCAGCTGTGCTTGTAAACATAAGACCAACTACTGGAATTCAGGCAAAACTAATTACCATGATTTATGCTTGCATGATTATATGAAAACTATAAAATTCATTTTTTTTTTTACTGATTTTTTGATAAAACAATAGGATCTAGCTGATATGATGGCTAAAGGATCCACATGTAGATGGGGAAATTGGTTCGCCTACATAGTCTTTCCGTTTTCTATTGCATTACGCGATGACCCATTGGAACATCTCCAAAGAGCTAAGTCCATCATCGACCGGAAGAAGAAGTCATTAGAAGCCGTGCTAACGTTCATCGTCGGTAATTTCCTTATCAAATTCATTGGGGTTCAGGTCAGTCTAACACACTGCTCTTATAAATCATTAAATTTAGCAAGAAACTACATCAAACAAAAAATTAAAGCTGACCATTGTTAGCTATAAATTTGTAATCCAGTCTTGTGAATATAAATGAATGCAGAGGTCAGCAAATGTAATAAAGAGAGCATTGTCGAACACAACGATGTCGTTTTCAAACTTGGTTGGACCTATTGAAGAAATCAGCTTCTATGGACATCCGGTCACTTACATGGCCCCAAGTGTTTATGGTCACCCCCATGTAAGATATTAGAACACTCTATTTCATATTGTTAATATTTATTCAGTGATTAGAGAATTAACGATCTCGCTGGTGTTTTGATCAGGCGTTGACGATGCATTTTCAAAGTTATAACAACAAGATGACTATTTCTTTAACCGTCGATCCAACGGTCATTAATGATCCTCATCGGCTATGTGATGACTGGGAGGACTCTCTGAGAATCATCAAAGCTGCTGTCCAGGAAAGAGGTTCCCATTCAGTAGGTTAAGCTTTTCCCGTATTTGTCATATTAATTTTGTATCATAACTTTCCTTTATTAAAAAACAAGAAAAGACTATAAAGCGTAGCATCACAGTGCTTGAATTTGAAGATTTAATTAGAAGTTTAGAACAGTACTGTTGGAGTAAGCTTGAAAGAAGCTTGAGCTGCAAGTTAACCTAATCCTATTTGGTTATGGATTTCTAGAGAGATTAGGATTGGAATATATTTAGGAGTTATCTAAATATATTTCATATAGAATTAGGAGATATACTTGCTTATATAAGGAGATATCAAAGTTGTGGTATAACTTATGAGTTTAGAGTTGAGAGTTTAAGAGCTTAAGTTTTGAGAGATTTTCTTAAGCTATTAATAAAGAGAGATATTCTTTAATCTTTGGTTTCATATCATCTCTAGATTCTACACGTGGTATCAGAGCAAACTAAGATCTAGGGAACATGGCAGGAGATGAGAGCGATTTGACCGTGGCCGTAGCAAAACCTAAAGAGGGAGGAGGATCCTCCTCTATCATTTGCCCTATGCTGACCGCTACAAACTACACGTTTTGGGCGATGAGGATGAGGATGGCTCTCAGGGTTCACAAGGTCTGGGATGTAGTGGAGAAAGAGACGATACCACACATACCGGATGGAGAGAAGAACGACATGGCGATAGCTCTTATTTGTCAATCCATACCGGAAGCATTAGTACTTCAAGTTGGAGAACTTGATAGTGCTAAGAAGATTTGGAACACAATCCAAGCTAAATATGTGGGAGCTGAGAGAGTTAGGGAAGCTAGACTTCAAACTTTGATGTCCGAGTTTGAGCGTTTGACGATGAAGGACTCAGAAAGTATCGATGATTTCTCCGGAAAGCTTTCTGAAATCTCTTCAAAGACAGCCGCTCTAGGAACTACCATTGAAGAAATCTCTTCAAAGACAGCCGAAGCTAGTCAAGAAATTTCTCACAAGTTTACCTTGGAACAAATACATACATATTGTAGCTTCCTTGGAACAAGTTCTGGATCTTAACAAAACAAGCTTCGAAGATATTGTGGGACGCCTCAAGGCGTATGAGGAACGAATTGCAGAGAGAGAAGGAGCTCAAGAGGAGCAGAACAAGCTGATGTATGCGAATATGGAAGCAAAACAGGACAAAGAAACCGGTGGAGGAGGAAGAGGTCAAGGAGGAAAATTTACGCCGCGAGGAAGAGGTCGCAGACGCTATGGTGGAAGAAACATATCGGAGATCACCTGTTTCCGATGTGATCAGCTAGGTCACTTTGCCTCCCACTGTCCTGACAGACTGCTCAAGCTTCAAGAAGCACAAGAAGCTGAGAAACAAGATACAGAAGAAGCAGATAAGCTAATGATGTATGAGGTACCAGACATTCTCTCCGTCCAAGTTTGTCTCAAACTTGCTAGGCACGCAGTGCTTCTCATTCAGATAAACTACCTCATGCATCATTAGCTTATCTGCTTCTTCTGTATCTTGTTTCTCAGCTTCTTGTGCTTCTTGAAGCTTGAGCAGTCTGTCAGGACAGTGGGAGGCAAAGTGACCTAGCTGATCACATCGGAAACAGGTGATCTCCGATATGCCAGATTATTTGTGGGGTGAAGCCATAAGACACGCTACTTATCTCATAAATCGTGTGGCGACAAGGGCTCTTGAAGATAAGACCCCATATGAATGTCTTCGAGACAAACGACCGAGCATCGAGCATATTAGAGTTTTTGGGTGCATTGCATATACAAAAGTTGATAAGCCACATCTAAAGAAGCTGGACGACAGATCGCGAATGCTGGTTCACCTTGGAACGGAACCAAGTTCAAAGGCTTATCGACTCCTTGACCCCTAAACAAGAAAGATTGTAGTGAGTCGTGATGTTGTGTTCGACGAGACAAAGGGGTGGAATTGGTCAAACAAGAATCAAGCTGATGAAGATAGTACTTTTGAGACGATGAGTGATTTTTTCTTTGATCATGGACTCCAAGAAAGAGAAGAACAGAAAGAAGAAGAGAAAAACGTGGAGATCAAAGAAGAATCTGATAACGAGGAGCATCAAAGGGAAAACGAGGAGGAAGAAGTGAGAGAAGAAACTCAAGTGCTAAGACGTAGTGACAGACCGAGGGTTAAGCCAAGATATCTCGAGGATTATATTCTCCTTACGATCGAAGGAGAGATGTTACTTGTATGTCTTAACAACGAGCCACAAAATTACAGGGAAGCAAAAGAATCCAGAGAGTGGACACGTGCGTGTGAAGAGGAGATTAGCTCGATTGAGAGGTTCAAAGTATGGGATCTTGTTGATCTACTTATCGGAGTAAAACCGATTGGGCTAAAGTGGGTATTCAAACTGAAAAGAAACTGAGACGGAAGCATTAACAAGCACAAGGCTCGGCTCATTGCAAAAGGATATGTACAAAAATATGGAGTGGATTTTGAAGAGGTTTTTGCTCCAGTAGCAAGACTTGAGACGATAAGGCTTCTTATTGATCTTGCAGCTTCTCACGGTTGGGAGATATACCATCTTGACGTCAAGACAGCCTTTCTCCATGGAGAGTTAAAGGAAACTGTATACGTATGCCAACCAGAAGGATTTGAGAAAGAGGGAAGCGGAAGTAAAGTTTACAAGCTCAATAAGGCGCTTTATGGATTGAGACAAGCACCAAGGGCGTGGAACAATAAGTTGAATCAGATTCTTGTTGAGCTTCAGTTCGTTAAGTGCTCGAAGGAACCATCTGTCTACAGGAAGCAAGTGAAGGAACATCTCCTCGTTGTAGGTGTGTACGTAGATGATTTGTTTGTGACAGGAACAAGTCTTGAACTCATCACGAGTTTTAAACGGGAGATGGCCTTGAACTTTGAGATGAGTGATCTCGGGAAATTGACGTACTATCTTGGTATCGAAGTTCTCCAACATCAGAACGGGATAACTTTGAACCAAACACGGTATGCTCAAAGGATCTTGGAGGAAGCCGGGATGAAAGACTGCAACATGGTGCACACTCCTATGGAGACCGGACTAAATTTCTCGAAAGCTGAGAATGAAAAGGAGATTGATGCATCCCTCTTTCGGAAACATGTGGGATGTTTACGATACTTACTCCACACAAGACCAGATTTGTCTTATGCAGTTGGGATCTTGAGTAGGTATATGCAAAGTCCGAGGGAATCATATGGTGCAGCTATGAAGCAGTGCTTAAGATACTTAAAAGGAACTACAACTTATGGTTTGACGTTCGTGAGAACAAGTGTGCCAAAGCTCATAGGCTACAGCGACAGTAGTCATAATGTTGATGAAGATGATGGGAAGAGTACTGCAGGTCATATGTTTTATCTTGGAGAAGGTCCGATCTCATGGTGTTCCCACAAACAAGATGTCGTTGCCTTGTCTTCGTGTGAAGCAGAATTCATGGCAGGAACAGAAGCTGCAAAGCAAGCAATATGGTTAGAAGAGCTACTTTGTGAGATTATGGGTTCGTCTAGTGAGAAGGTAACCATTCGTATCGACAATCGTTATGCAATTGCCCTTACAAAGAACCCAGTCTTTCATGGTAGAAGTAAGCATATATATAGGCGATACCACTTCATTCGAGAATGTGTAGAGAATGGGCAGATTGAGGTCGAGCATGTTCCCGGAAGCAACCAGAAGGCAGACATCTTGACAAAGGCACTTGGGAAGATCAAGTTTAGAGAAATGAGAGAACTCATTGGAGTTCAAGACCTAGAGAAAATGAGATTCAAGCTTAAGGGGGAGAATATTCGAGTAAGCTTGAAAGAAGCTTGAACTGCATTTTAACCTAATCCTATCTGGTTATGGATTCCTAGAGAGATTAGGATTGGAATATATTTAGGAGTTATCTAAATATATTTCATATAGGATTAGGAGATATACTTGTTTATATAAAGAGATACCAAGTTGTGGTATAACTTATGAGTTTAGAGTTGAGAGTTTGAGAGCTTAAGTTTTGAGAGATTTTCTTAAGCTATTAATAAAGAGAGATATTCTTTAATCTTTGGTTTCATATCATCTCTAGATTCTACAAGTACTTCAGCAAGATAATGAAGAATTGATGAGAACAACCACAAAATAGCTTCTTGTTTCCCCCCTAAATACCACGAAAATAGCTGTTGTTTCTTGCCTTATTGGCGACACGTTTCTTTTCGGTCAGATACATATGTCACATGTCTTCATTGACTTTTCGATCAAAAACTTATGCAAATTTCTGTACAGTCGTGATTTGAAAGTCAAAATGCATTATGGTTTACGATATTTGTAGATCTTTATTTAAAATCTATCTCCTATCTAACTAGTTGAAATAATAGATATAAGTTGCGTATGTATTTCCTCGAATAGACTAATTCTCAAGAGATGAGCATTCATGTAAGTTAACGTTTATTCTTTCTTCACATATATGCACCCAAAATTATTATTTTTGTTCTCTTAGGAGACCAGCGTTAACAATATTCTTTCTTAAAGAACAACTCATCACTGTATCTAAAAAAATAAGCGATGCATTATTTTTCGGTCTATTTTGGAATACTTAACCCAATAAATTTGGTCTATTAAGTTCTACCGTAACTAAGAAGTAAACAATAGTGTGTACGTACATTTTTTTATAAAAAAAATCCGAAGCAATAGAGTAAATTTATATCTTCCACAACTAATGGAGTATGATACACATAAGAAATGGCACCGGACAAGCATGTATGCTATAAAGAGCGAGTGTTAAAAGTTTGAGAGATGTAAACCAGAGTTTAGAAAGAGAAAACAAACATTGAACAGTAAAACATGGAGGTTAAGACTGGACGACACATATCAAATGATGAAGAGGAGGAGAACGAGGAGGAGGCGCAACCACTTAGTCCCTCGGCACGTCTATTTCATGCACCGGAGTTTAACTGCAACATTATAGCGGTGATTGGTTTTAAGAGTAAGCTTGACCCAGCTGTAGTTATGAGAGGGGTTGAGCAAACTTTTATCAGGCACCCTCGTTTCTCCAGTAAATTGGTAAGACGTATATGTTTTATCAAGATTTTTGTTCTAATTCGTTTTGGATTTTTTTTGTTGGTTTCTCGAATTTTCAGTAATATACAACGTATAACATAATATAATATGGATGGTTTTAGTACGGTTCTAATTCTTATTCAGGTTCTAAATTTACTAAAATAATTACTTGAAGGTGAGTGATGGGAACCATAGACAAAACCAAAGATGGGTTCGGACAAACGTGGTCGTCGAGGATCACATCATCGTACCCGAAATCAAACCGCAAAACATAGAGAATGCTGACGCATTTCTCGAAGAGTACGTTTCCGACCTCATGAAGATCCCCTTGGACACCTCGAGACCATTATGGGAACTTCACCTACTCGACTTGAAAACCTCGGACGCTGCAAACGTCGCTGTTTTGAAGATCCACCACTCGGTCGGCGATGGCATGTCAATCATGTCTCTCGTCCTCGCTTGCATGCGTAAAACATCGAACCCTACTGAGCTCCCGAGTCTCCCGTTTCAGAACCGGTCTTCGTCTGGATCATCCCGGTTTATGGTCGGTTCAAGAAGTGACTCCCGGTTATGGAGGCTGGTTAAGACTATTTGGACGGCTATTATCTTGATTTTTAACACGGTTTGTGATGCGTTGGAATTTATTGTTACGACATTGTTCTTTAAGGATACTGAAACACATATCAAAGGTGATTTCCGGACAAGGAAGAGTAAACGGTTGTGTTTGGTTCATCGTACCGTAAGCCTTGACGATATAAAACTAATCAAGAACGCCATGAAAATGGTAAGGTTTCTCTTTAGATTGATATGATCTATAGTATGGGTATGTCACAATTTATCCACGCTCACTTTAGGGCACCGTTATAAGTTATATTAGAGTTATCGTAACTTCATATTGGAACCTATAGTTTCTAGTTTATGTGACATTTAGCTGGTTAATTACTAATTACAAAATGTAATATTATTAAAGTTTGTATATTTTTGTTCTTATTGTTTCTAAACGTAGTTTCAGGTCCGGTATGGCACAAATCCATAAACTAAATGTTCGTTTAAAAAAAAAAAATACTAAATATTTTAATAAACAAAAAAACTTAATTATGACGTATCTTATATTTTGGGTTAAAAGACAGTCAACGATGTTGTACTTGGAGTAACACAAGCTGGTCTCTCGCGATACTTGGAGAGAAGATACGGTAATTAAACTACACTCTCCTATTTTCTTGTATATGTAAAGGAACGTTAATGAATATTTCCTATTGTGATAAACTAATAGGAGAAGAAGAAACCACAAGGAAACAAAACAATCTGCCTAAAAGAATAAGGCTAAGGGCAGCTCTGCTAGTAAATTTAAGACCCACCACTGGAATCCAGGCACATTCACAGAACCTCATTTACTCACTTGATTACATGTTAGATATATGTACTTAGAAACTGATGCATGTTATATTTGATTACATGTTCGTTTGAAAACAGGATCTTGCGGATATGGTGGAGAAAGGCTCCAAATGTAGGTGGGGAAATAAGTTCGGCCACGTAGTATTTCCCTTTTCCATTGCATTACGCGATGACCCTTTAGAACATCTCGAAAGAGCTCACAAGATCATCAACCGAAAGAAGAACTCGTTCGGAGCAATGCTAACTTATATTTACTGTCAAATCATCGTCAGATCACTTGGAATTCAGGTCAGAAATATCCACATTGTATATGAAAATAGAAGTAAATTAGCAAAAGAACGTAGAAGATTAAAGATCAATATATCGAAGAGAAATTAATTAGTGATTAATTTACAGGTGGCAGCTACAATAGTAAAGAGAATGGTGTCAAACACAACCATGACGTTTTCGAACATGATTGGTCCAGTTGAAGAAGTTAGCTTCTATGGACATCCCATCACTTACATTGCCTCAAGTGCTTATGGTCATCCCCATGTAAATAACTATATGCTTCTTTCCTCGTGGAGCTAATTAAGTAAACTCTTTAGGTAATTAATTAACTGGTTTTGTTGAATATTTTGATTAGGCATTGACGATATATTGTCAGAGTTATATGGATAAGATGACAATCACACTGACCGTAGATCCAACGGTTATAAGTGATCCTCATCGGCTCTGTGACGACTTGGAGGAAGCTCTCCAAAGCATCAAAGTTGCTGCTGTCCAGAAAAAGGAGTCCCTCCGTCTATGGGATCGAGTCAGCGATAGAACCATTACAATGGCTTTGCGCCTCTTTTTTCTTTTGGTGAGTAGAATGGCTTTGCGTCTTTATAAAACGCTATGATTACTAAATCTGGCATTAACTAAAACATCTTTTAATCGACACTTTCATAAGTTTATATTTCAATACATTCCCAAAAATGTGTAAAAACAATAATAGTTAATAATAAAAACTTTCAGTTGGAAGCACCGTTTTGTTCTTCCATAACCACTTTAAGCAAGTTCTCGTAATTCTTCTCCCATTGATCATTCATCTGTAATGACTTCTTGTATTCAAGTTTCAGTCTTTCCATTTCGATCTCTGTTGCTGCAGAGCCTTGTTGCTGAAACAACACAATAACAAATAGACAATTGTAACAAAAAAACAAAGTTTTGAAGAGAGAATTAAAAAAGCAAGGATCTTTTGTCTATAAACAGTGAAAACACAAACCTGGAGTTCTCTAACTTGCTCGTTAATAAGGTTAGCACTGAGGTAACGAGCGTAAACAGGAACATCAGAAAATGGCGGCGGCTCAACGGTAACTATACCATCCATAATATCTTCGTCTGATTTTTTACTTTTCTCCAAAAATGGTGGTAACGACGCACCGTTTCTCTTCCAGGAAGATAGCGTTTTGTTCAAATTAGTGACAATGGTTTTTCTAACAACTTGAATATTGCTCACAGGGCCTGCAAGAACAAAGTTTGTAAAGCAAAGATGGGCGTGGCTAAACAATTATTTTGCACAAGTAAAAGCTCAAAACAGAAGAAAATGCTGAAGGAAACAATTTTATTTTTACCTTTTCCATGATCGAAAGTACGAACAGGATGACGTGTCTTGGGATCCCAAACACAAATTTTACCATCTTCTGATCCAGAAATCAAATGGTTTCCCTCTGCGCAATATGCTAAGCAAGTGATAGCTTTGCTGTTCCAAGCATAAATAGTTGAGTCAATAGTGATTAATGAGACCATCAAACAGATTGAAATAATCAGCCATGATAGTTGAAGAAACGGGAAGTACCTTTCCTCGGATATTGAACCAAGAACTTTTGTACAATGGTCACTTGTGGCATTCATGGCACCAATGTAAATCTTGCTGTCTCTGCCACCAGCATAGAACACAGACCCGCAAGGGTCCAATGCCAGTGCATTGATGGCTGAAGGAAAGACGATACTCCTCAGCAATTTCCCCTTCGCCAAGCTCCAAACCTACAGGTTTAGAAATTCAAACAAGGGTCATGAAATAGATTAGATACAATCGCCAAAGATCAACATTATTCATATTCAAACAGCGAACAAAACAGCTATATAAAAATGACTCCCATGAACATTATAGGTTTGTCTACCATCTTATCTTAAATTGCATAATGTTTTCCAAATAAGTACCTTGCAAGTCCGATCTTCCGAAGCAGAAACAATCAAAGCATTGCAGCCTCCATAATCCATGACAATGTCGGTTACAGACATTGTATGCTCTGTAAAATAGTGTTCAGGAGGAGCGTTCCCTTGCTGACTCTGGAGATCATCAAATAGCCTAACTAACCAACAAGAGCAACGGATAAGAATAAAAAGGTAATGCCTTCAACAAAAAAAAAAACATTGAAACTGGGCCAGGAGAAAGACGCAAAGGCTTAACCTTATAAGAGACCAGACTTTAATAGATCCATCTTCAGATCCTGAAACCAACAGAGAATCATCTCCAGAGAACACCAAGCATGTTACTGAACGGTAATGACCGTGCCACTTCTTAAGCAACTTCCCAGTCGCAACCTGATGTCAACAATAGAAGTGAAATCAATATTCTTAAGCAACTTCTTAATCACCAGAAGTGAAATCAAACTATGATGAAATTGTTACCTCCCAAAGATAAATATATCCAGGCTTTCCACCACTACCACCGACTATGTAAGTTCCTTCACTGTTAGCTGCAAGAGCCAATATTGGCTCCAGAAGGAAGCTCCTAACTTCCACTTGAGGCTACAATCAAACATGTTTAAATCCAAAGAGAGTGTTAAGAGAAAACAAAAACTCTGGAATTTACAATCATCATATCAAATTCACTCAGGCATGATTAATTTCTCAGCTGAAATCGGTAAAGTTCCCTAATTTCACTCCCATTGAAGAAGAAAAAAAGTGGGTCAAGTGAGCAAATGAGAAGGACGAACCTTATTCCAAGACCAGAAGAAAATCGAGCCAGAGTTAGAGCCAGAGCCAGAGGAATCGGATGCGTTGCGGTCCTTGCGGAGCTGAGAGGCGGCGAGGAATTTATCTCCGACGGCGGTGAGACCGTGCGCGGGAGAAGCGCACGGCTTGAATTTGAGCAACGCTTTCCCGGTTTTGAGATCCCAACTTCCGATCTCGCCTTCGATAGACGATGAAGCAACAATAGAAATCTCCATCTCTATTTCTCTTTCTTCTTCAGAGAAAGAGGGAAGAAGCAAACTGTTCTCGGAGTGTTTTGTTTGGGTTTTGTGTTATAAATTAGGGTTTATGAAATCGGTATCCGATTGAATAAAAACATTAGTTTTCCGAACAATTCGCATTTTCTTTAAGCCTAAGGGGTTAAAATGTAAATTGCAGATAATTAACATTTTATTTGGATACAACGGTAACGGAATCGTTAGACGGAAACAATGGCGATGATAAGCTTTTCGCTTCCATCTCCCGCCAAACTCCCGATTTCATCTCGACCGTCAATTCCAAACCGGATCAACGTCGCCGACCGTCTGATCCTCCGTCATCTCAATGCCGGCGATCTTCGGGGAGCGATCTCCGCTCTTAATCTCATGGCTCATGATGGGATCCGCCCGACAGACACCGTCACATTCTCCTCACTCCTCAAGTCTTGTATCCGAGCACGCGAATTTCGACTCGGAAAACTCGTTCACGCCCGGTTAACCGAGTTCGAGATTGAGTTTGACTCGGTTCTCTACAATTCACTAATCAGCTTGTACTCGAAATCCGGAGATTTAGCGCGCGCCGTGGATGTGTTTGAGACCATGGGGAGATTTAGTAAGCGAGATGTTGTTTCGTGGAGTGCTATGATGGATTGCTTCGCTAATAGCGGAAGAGAAATCGATGCGATTAAATTGTTTGTTGGGTTTCTTGAAATGGGTTTGGTGCCAAACGATTACTGTTACACGGCGGTGATACGAGCTTGCTCGAATTCGGAATTCGTTTCTGTTGGAAGAATTTTAGGGTTTTTGATGAAAACTGGGCATTTTGAATCCGACGTCTGTGTAGGTTGCTCTTTGATCGACATGTTTGCGAAAGGGGAGAAGAATCTGGAGAATGCGTATAAAGTGTTCGATCAAATGTCTGAGCGAAATGTCGTTACTTGGACGTTGATGATCACTCGGTGTATGCAAATGGGGTTTCCTAAGGAAGCAATCAGGTTTTTCATGGAAATGGTTGTAAGCGGATTTGAGTCAGATAAGTTCACACTAAGCTCTGTTTTCTCTGCTTGTGCTGAGTTGGAGAACCTGTCATTAGGAAAGCAATTGCATTCTTGGGCGATTAGATCGGGGCTCGAGGTCGATGTTGGTTGTAGTTTAGTCGACATGTATGCGAAATGCTCTGTGGATGGTTGTGTAGATGATTGCAGGAAGGTATTTGATAGAATGGAGGATCATAGCGTTATGTCGTGGACGGCATTGATCACAGGTTATGTGCAAAGCTGTAATCTTAATACAGAGGCTATAAATCTCTTCTGCGAAATGATAACGCAAGGTCACGTCCAGCCGAATCATTTCACTTTCTCGAGCGCGTTCAAGGCGTGTGGGAATCTTTCGGATCCGCGAGGAGGTAAACAGGTTCTTGGTCATGCGTTCAAAAGAGGTCTTGCTTCGAATAGCTCCGTTGCAAACTCGGTTATCAGCATGTTTGTCAAGTCTGATGAGATGGAAGACGCTAGGAGAGCTTTTGAATCGCTTTCTGAGAAGAACTTGGTCTCGTATAACACTTTTCTTGATGGAACATGCAGGAGCTTGGAATTTGAGGAAGCTTTTGAGATTTTCCTAGAGATTAGTGAGAGAGGATTAGGTGTTAGTGCTTTTACGTTTGCTAGCTTGTTGAGTGGAGTTGCAAGTATTGGTTCGATAAGAAAAGGCGAGCAAATCCATTCACAGGTGGTGAAACTCGGGCTCTCCTGCAATCAACCGGTTTGCAACGCTTTGATCTCTATGTATTCCAAATGCGGAAGCATTGACACAGCTTCCAGAGTCTTCAATCTAATGGAAGATCGTAATGTCATATCGTGGACGTCAATGATCACAGGTTTCGCGAAACACGGATTGGCTAAAAGAGTACTCGAGACATTCAAGCAAATGACTGAAGATGGGGTGAAGCCAAACGAGGTCACTTACGTTGCGATCTTGTCATCATGCAGCCACGTTGGTTTGGTCTCTGAAGGATGGAGACATTTCAAGTCGATGTACGAAGACCACAAGATCAAACCTAGAATGGAGCATTATGCTTGTATGGTTGATCTCTTATGTCGATCGGGGCTTCTCACAGACGCGTTTGAGTTCATTAACACAATGCCTTTCCAAGCCGATGTTCTTGTGTGGCGTACGTTTCTTGGAGCTTGCAGAGTTCACAGTAACACAGAGCTTGGAGAGATGGCTGCGAGAAAGATCTTGGAACTTGACCCGAATGAGCCTGCCGCTTATATACAGCTCTCAAACATCTACGCCAGTGCAGGTATCTCATACAATTCAAACACAAAACCATATAACTCTTTCTTGTCATGATGAAACTTGTGTGAAGTGAAACTCTGATGAATGTTTTGATGTAGGGAAATGGGAAGAATCTGGAGAGATGAGGAAGAAGATGAAAGAGAGAAACTTGGTTAAAGAAGGAGGTTGCAGCTGGATTGAAGTGGGAGATAAGGTTCATAAGTTCTACGTTGGGGATACGTCTCATCCGAATGCTCATCGAATATACAGTGAATTGGACCGACTGATTAGTGAAATAAAACGTTGTGGGTATGTTCCTGATACGGATCTTGTTCTTCACAAGCTAGAGGAAGAGAATGGTGAGGCAGAGAAGGAGAGGTTATTGTATCAGCACAGCGAGAAAATCGCGGTTGCGTTTGGGCTTATAAGCACGGTGAGAACTAGACCGATTAGGGTGTTTAAGAACCTACGGGTCTGCGGAGATTGCCATAACGCGATGAAGTATATAACGACGGTTTCTGGTAGAGAGATTGTGTTGAGAGATTTGAATCGTTTTCATCATTTTAAAGATGGAAGATGTTCTTGTCATGACTATTGGTGAGTTGTGACTTTGAGAGTTTGACACATGAAGGCAGTTTTGATTATATGGCTATCTTGTAAACAATCAATTCACAAGTTTAAATTGTGCAATAAGACTAAAAATTGAATTGTTGTTGTAAAATATCTGTAGAGGAGATACGTTTCTAAAAATTGAATTGTTGTGGTCAAATATTTTGATTTTTGACCTTTTGCTTATTTTGGCAAATCAATACACAATTAAAATCTATAAACTCTTGAGATTGACTGTCTATGTAGATCAGATTTTACCATCTTCTTCTAGATTTATTTGCCTTTCCACTTATGATATTGACCATCAGTTTCTATATATACTTCCATGGAGTTTTTCCTTTAACCCTCAAATTGCAAGGTAACTTTTCTTGATTCACTTTTTTTGTTTCCCAGACAAAAAGTGATCGTTTATTCGTCTCATTTTTTAGTAAATAAAGGGAGATATAATTTTTGTTTTTTTTTTTACATTTTATTACAGATGAAGATGACTCAGACAAGTTTTTGGATACTAGTGGTACTCACAATGTTTGGTTTCGCGATGATGGAATCTCGGATTGAAAGCAGCTATAAAGGTATTGAATACGAGGCGTTGAATTGCCGGAAACACAGAGCGATTTTGCCGGACTTTGGAGCCATCGGTGATGGAAAAACCTCAAACACAAAAGCGTTCAGAGAAGCCGTAAGCAAGCTTACTCCGTTGGCTGCTGACGGTGGAGTCCAACTCATTGTTCCCCCGGGGAAATGGCTCACCGGAAGTTTCAACCTCACCAGCCATTTCACTTTGTTTATCCAGCAAGGTGCAACTATTCTTGCTTCTCAGGTAAAATCTACACACGTTCAAAATTTTATTAGTGTCACGCGAATGTGTAGATTAATCATATTTTAAGTTTTAATTTTGGTTTAAACAAACAGGATGAGTCTGAATATCCAATGCTTCCACGTTTGCCGTCATATCCAGATGCAAGGTTTGCTAGTTTAATCTACGGAAGTAACCTAACTGATGTTGTTATCACTGGTAAGCAAACGAATAAAAAATCATCCAAATTGTATATTGGTAATATGGTTTAATTATAAGATCGAATGCTGTATTATTAATTAGGTGACAAAGGGACGATCAATGGGCAAGGGAAGTCATGGTGGTTGAAATATCGAAGTGGTGGTTTCGCTAACATATCGAGACCATTGTTGATCGAAATCGTCTTCTCCAAAAACATCCAAATCTCTGATATCAATTTGATTGATTCTCCGATGTGGAATATTCATCCCGTGTATTGCAAGAACGTCATTATTAAAAATATTAAAATCGATGCTCCTATCGATTCTCCTAACACCGATGGAATCAACCCTGGTATGTTACTTATACATTATGTTACATTAATTTCTATATGATATAGTAACGATTTTCTTAATGATTTTTGTCTAGTTAAGAAAAAAACATGGTTTTCATTTGGTTTAACATGCATGCATGTTCTTGATTTGGTTACGTAGATTCTTGCACGAACACACTAATAGAGGACTGCAACATAACCTCCGGAGACGATTGCATCGCCGTCAAAAGTGGAATCGACCAATACGGAATCTCCACCGGAATCCCAACACAACAACTCTCCATCCGACGTCTCACATGCGTTTCTCCCCACAGCGCAGGAGTAGCATTAGGAAGCGAGATGTCCGGAGGGATCAAAGACGTGAGGATCGAAGACGTGACGCTAATCAACACAGAGTCAGCCATCCGAATCAAAACCGGCATCGGCCGTGGCGGTTACGTCAAAGACATTTTCGCACGTAGGTTCACGATGAAGACGATGAAATTCGTTTTCTGGATGACCGGTTCGTATGCACTGCACCCGACAGGCAAGGCGTTGCCGGAGGTTAGCAATATCAATTACCGTGACATGACGGCGGAGAACGTTACGATCTCGGCGCAGCTGGAAGGGATCGAGAACCATCCTTTCAAGGGGATATGCATGTCGAATGTGACTATAGCTTTGTCGCCGATCACGAAGAAGATGCAGTGGAACTGTACTGATGTGGCCGGAGTTACGAGCAGGGTTAAGCCGGAGCCGTGTAGTTTGTTGCCGGATAAGGGAACGAAGCTGGACTGTGATTTTCCGACGGATAAGATTCCTATCGAGAGTGTTGTGCTCAAGAAATGTTATGCTTAGAGATGAGTTTGTATCGCTAATTTTGCATATAATTAAATAATTTAATAAGATCCAAATGAATTGATCGGTTCAACCGAAATTATTTTCTCGGAGAACTGGTTTGGTTAAACCGTATTGATTGAGAAAGCGACGTCGTATTTAACGGACCTTTCATCGTCTTTGTAAGAATGTGGCACGCGCTCGACACACTCCCTTTTTATCCTTAACCACAAATTTATTTTTTCTTCTGGAGAGAATTCAGCATTCTTCGTCTTCTTCGTCGTCTCTGAGTTTGTAAAATCTGACTTGTATTCTTCTTCTTCTTCTCTAAGGACGAGCGAAGAGATTATCCGAATAACCGCTTTCTCCATCCATTTCAAAGGTACCTCTCATTGCTCATCTCCTGTTTCTCTCTCTTCATCACATTCTCCGAATATGAGCTTCCGCTACTTAGAGAAAACCGTTCGTGTGGATTTTTGTTTGATATTTCCTTCGAGAGATATACTCAGATTATCGCAATTCCGTCAGCAGAGAGAATGATTTGCAGCTGTATTAGATAACGAATAAACCACTTCCATGTAAATTTGTTTCTAGGATTTTGATTTCTCCTTGGCTTGATTTTGTTTTACCACAAACTTGAATGTTTTTTGTCTTTCTCTGCGTTTCATCTTTTAATTTCACCTAATATCGAGATTGATTATTCTGCTACATGTTTTTGTTCACTTGACAGATGGCTTTGAATATGAGTCAGTCTACTACTTCAGTCACAAATCTCTTCACAACACAACACAATGTGAGTAAAAATCTCTCCAGTAACAAACCAGTCAAGCTCATAGTTATATTTTCTTGATTCGATTTTGTGCCTCAAGCATTCCATTATTCTTTCTCTTCCGTGATTTAGAAAATTATTTTGGATATTCATTTTTTCCTAGAGTGTTTTACTTTTACGTTTTTATCACAAAAAAGGAATGAGGTTATGTTAGTACCAACTTTGGCTAAGAGAGTGCTTTAGAGGCTCTCTCGCAAAGTGTTAATCTTGTTTCTCTGCTCTACTCTAATCAAAGTTCTGATTTTGAATTCGGTTCTTATAAAAGCAAAATTGGTTGTTATTGTCATCACTTTGTGTTTCGTCTCTTAGGTGATCCAATTGGTCGATATGGTAGCAACCGAAACAAACCACTTGTTGAAGGGCAAGATTCTCTGCTTCTCGAGCAGGAATCATCACATGAACATTCACCACAGCAAGACCTGTTCGTTATCACTACTAAATCAGATGCAAATCAGTGTTCCGAGAACCTTAGTTTTTGCCTCAGCGAACCGGAAAGGCGAAGCTGAGAGTTGCAACAGATTGGAAGCTATCTCTAGTGATAAAGCCTCAACAGATAGTACATGGAGTTTCGACTTTCCAGAGTCTAAACTTGAGTCTTCTCCTCATCTAGACTCAGAATCATACCTCTCTGGAGGAAGCATTACAGACCAAAACGTGGCTACTGTTCTCGATAAACTCAATGCTCTTCGGTCTCATCTATTAGCATCAGAGAAGTGGAACGCTTCTAGACTTCATTCATGTGACAGGTACGTTGAGAGTCGTTATAACAGAGATATATAAAATCTTGCATTGGTATCAGTCTTCGGCTTTGCTATTACCTAATTCTTGATGCTGTTCTGTTTGCAGCAAGTATCTGGAATGTGCAACAAACTTAATTCATTATAAGGCTTTGAGGTCTCTAGACATTGAGCAGCTCAAGAGCCATCTTGCTTCTCTTGGTCTGTCAAGTTTAGACAACAACAATCTTGCTGTCCTCTCCAGCCTTGACGCCGCCATTAATCTCTTGACGAACTCTCCTTATAATAGCAAACAAAATGCTGTGACAGAATCTTTGAGTAATGCATATACCAAGAAGCAAAAGAGCAAGAGTGCTAAGAAGAATGATAAAGAGAGAGTATTGTCATATAAAGAGTTGTTACTCGGTAAACCTCGTGAAGGAAGAAGGACTCATATCATGGTAACTGTTGGCAAAGAAGCAACTGAGAGTGAAACTTTCATTACAGATATTCTCAAAGCCGGAGCTTCTGTGATTCGTATAAACTGCGCACATGGAAACCCGAGCGTTTGGGGTGAGATCATCAAAAGAGTGAGAAGAGCCTCTCAGATGCTAGAGACGCCATGCCGCGTTCTTATGGATTTAGCAGGACCAAAACTTAGAACCGGCACGCTAAAACCTGGTCCCTGCGTGATGAAAGTTTCACCAAAGAAAGATGCTTATGGAAACGTTGTTTCTCCTGCTTTGGTGTGGCTCTCGCTAACAGGAACAGAACCTCCTGCTCACCTTTCTCCTGATGCTACTGTATTCGTGCAAGACCGGGGTTTTCTTGCTGGTCTCCAGATTGGTGACTCTGTAAGATTCTCTGACGTTAGAGGGAAAAAGAAAGTGCTTAGAATCTCAAAAGAGTTTGATGTTTTCTCTAGTACTGGCTTTGTGGCTGAATGTTTTGAGACTGCTTATATCGAGTCTGAAACTGAGTTATGCGTAAAGGGAAAGAAAGGGAGACGTTTGGTTGGAGAAGTAGTTGATGTTCCTCCTAAAGAATCATTTGTAAGGCTCAGAGCTGGAGATTTACTAGTCATAACCAGAGAAGGATCGTTCGATGATGAACGTTCTGTAACTACTCTTACTCCAGGAGCTCATAGGATCACTTGTCCTTCTGGTTACTTGTTTGACTCAGTGAAGCCTGGTGAAACCATTGGTTTTGATGATGGCAAAGTCTGGGGGATAATCAAAGGAACAAGCCCTTCAGAGGTGATTGTCTCCATCACTCATGCTGGTGCAAAAGGGACGAAGCTAGGATCAGAGAAGTCTATCAACATCCCGCAGAGCGATATTCGTTTCAAAGGCCTTACGTCGAAAGATATCAGAGATCTTGAGTATGTTGGCTCACATGCTGATATGGTTGGCGTTTCTTTCATACGTGATGTCAATGATATAACCGTTCTTCGAGAAGAGCTCAAGAAGAGGAAACTGAGTGATCTTGGTGTTGTTCTCAAGATTGAGACGGAGAGCGGGTTTGAGAATTTGTCTTTGATTCTGTTAGAGGCGATGAAGTGTTCGAATCCTTTGGGAGTTATGGTTGCTCGAGGTGATCTTGCAGTGGAATGTGGATGGGAGAGATTGGCTAATATACAGGAAGAGATTGTAGCTACTTGCAAAGTTGCTCGTGTACCGGTGATTTTGGCAACGCAGGTGCTTGAATCACTTGTCAAATCTGGTGTTCCAACTCGAGCTGAGATCACAGATGCTGCAAATGGCAAAAGGTAATACAAAAACCCAAAAAAAGAAAGAAAAACATGATCCTGCTAAAACGTATTGTGTTTATTTATCTAATTTTTTGATTTGGAAATTTTTTTTTGCAGAGTGAGCTGTGTTATGTTGAACAAAGGCAAGAATATTGTTGAAGCTGTTTCGATGTTGGATACTATTCTTCACACCAAGCTTGTCTATAAGAAACAAGATTCTGTAAATCTCCATGGCTCTGCTTCTCACCACAAAGAGATGTTGTAGTTTGCTTTGGCCAGTCCATAAACTGTGTGCGTCCGGTTAAGTCCTGGTTGAATATATTGGGTGTTCTGGAGCTGTGGCAGTTTCAAACCAGGATTTAGATTGGTTCACACACAAAGCCCGGTTTTGCTGTCCTGCATTGGAATTTCTCTAGAGTCTAGACTATTTATATATATGCATCTTGATCATATTCCATACCTCAGATTTTTTACTTGTATTGTCAAATCTCTAATATGATTTCAGCATTACTGAGTATTGACCAAAATAAAAAGCCTGTTCTGGTTAGATATAAGGGTAACCAAATGGTAAAACGAGTTTCATGAAATTAATCTTTGCAACATGAGCAATAAAGGCCATTAATGTTGAAAATTGCAACTAAATGTAATTACAAAGCTCAAAAAAATCTAAAGGAAACGATGTTTCAAACCACGATTAAAATCCATTAACAAACTGCAGTTGATTGTGTGAATACACTATCCAATAATATTTCCTAAGAGATGGAAAAAAAAAACGAAGTATTTTGATGTGTATACAGATCAGTCAATGGTTGTACTCCCATTTCAGGCCTCCCCCTTTTGCTTTCTCAATCTAGTATTGAGAAAAGTCTGACTCTTCCTCAGCATGCAACACACAAAATAATTGAATTGAGATTGGATTTATGTCAAGAGTAATTTGATGACAAAGACTATTTGATGACAAAGACTATTACTTCTGTATTTTCCCAAATGGCTATGTCTTGTTTAGTTCCTAGAGCCACAAACTTCTCATTTGGGTCTTCAACTTTCGACGCCTTTAGGAGATAGTCAGAGATTGAACTTCCATCTCTTGAAAAAGGATGTCTCTTATCATCATAGTCACTATCATCACCATTGCTCTTGTCACCATCACTCTTGTCACCATCACTCTTGCTGAGAACCTCAACTTTATCTCTATGTAGAGAGAGTCTCTTCACAGGCCTATCAAAGCAAGTCCTACTGCTGTGTGTCTCATCTCCACAGCTGAAAAGAATCGTATGAAAAAATAGCATAACATACTTACTGCAAGCTCCCTTCTTGAATCTTTTAGAAACGATCCTTAGGAACCACCAAGGACATACACAATTGCTTGAAATGAGCTCTGGGCTTTGGACTCTGTCAATCTGGTGATTCTTCGGTGATTTGTATAAACTTTTGTAGTTAGATACTAAAAAGCTCATTGTTGGAAATTTGTTAACTTGTACATTCTTTGAGCATCACCATTAAGCTTGTGTAGATATGCATTGTTTCAGAATACTCTATCTAGATCACATTGTTCTGTTGTTATTATATTCATGTTGATTCGCTTTCTTAAATCAGTCTGAAAACATGCTTAATAAATACTTATGTTTTTTTTTAAGCTACTCAAGACTTGGAAGTTTTACTTTTATGCTTAACAATGTTGTGACAACCCTACTCGAACAATCCTATAAGAAAGAGGTTTTACTGGTGATCAACATGGATCTAATTATTCGTATAAATTCTATAAAATAATAACTCTATAAAGTAGAAAAATTATGGGCCATGAAACTGATAGACATTGAATACCTATAGCCAGAGATAATGACATGGAAAGGATATAGCTTCTTCACTCTTATTTTCCCATTGAATCCGGTTAATGATCGAGTTTAAATCTTTTAGACAGTGCTGTAGTAGTAGATAGATTTATTAACGGCCTCTTTAAGTAAAATCATGAGAACAGAGAACAATAAGACAGAAAAATACCATAGTTAAAAGATTAAGGAAATATCCACTACTGACAACAAAAATCTAAAATTGAGAAGTTTAATATTTTTTTTGAATTTCTTCTAATTCAGTCACAATTCCCAATATATCGATGGTTGAGGCTCAAAGAGCACAAGTTTATCTACTGTTTAAATATCTTCATGAGATTCCTCATGTGGGTCATTGTTATGTTCCCATAGAGAGTGAGAAAGAGAGAGAACGAGAGAGTGTATTTTTTAGGATCCTCTGGAATGCCTAAAAGCGTCTTCACTCCTGGACGGCCAATCTCTGCGCATGGAAGCAACATTTAGCAACCCATAAGACTGACCCAAGCACGCAGCAAGATCCGAAACTCACTCACCGTGCATAAACTTAATGGAGAACAACATGCAGGTCATCAAATAGCAATGCACCTCCTGCATATATATCTTACCCAAAATGTTAGTAACGTACGTGTTTTGAGATTAAATCATATTTTCCCATTTGGTGAAAATCATAAACTTCACCTTTGAGAAAAACAATCCTGCAAATACCACAGGGATGACCATTCTCAGGAACAAGTCTCTGTGGGCTATTCTTACGCCTTCAAGTCCTATTACTGCATCATACTGTGACAGCTCGACGTTTAAGAATTTTTTATTCAGAATCAACCACAACAAGTTGTATATCAAAAACAATGCTATATAGATGTTACGTACCTCCACTGTAATCCAGAAAGTAAATCCTGTTACAAGTGAAATCATGATCGTTGAAAGACCAATGGACCAATGCCAACCACCTGCCATGTTATGGATCTGGGAGCAAGAATTAAATTAGTGTAAAGGAAGAAAAACACATGCCTAAACAGTTTCTTGAAGCATATTTAAGTTTCTTACTGTTGTTCCCATGCAAATCAACGCCGGAAAATGTAAACATGGCAACAAGACAGAGACAGAAAATACGCCAAAGTTCCTACATCATCCACACACAATACAGAGATTAGGTCGATATTGGGGATTTGTAATGTTAGGTAGAAGAATAAATCAATTAAATATGTTGTAAAAGAGCAAGTAAAAAAGATTCTTACTCCTTGACCATCTTTTCGATCTCTCTCCTCCTTGTAGCACAAGCATCTGGATCCCTAATCTCTTTACATGGTTTAACGTGTATGAGAAGCATCTGCAGGATCAAGTTTATATAGTTATGAAAAAAGTAAACGGAGTATGTATGTAGCAAAAGAAAGATGCATATTATGCCTGAAAGAAACAAATCCAAAAGCCAACGCATTTAGGTCTGACAATCAATAGATCAAGAAAGAAAGAAGAATCTCTCAAAGAGTTATTTGTGATTTAGAATATACAACTAGGTTGCTAATATGTATACCATGGTTCTTGACCACTCTCTCTCGTGATAAATCATGAGTGGGATTGTCACTCCTCGAATCAAAAGGGTAGCGAGAACAATGGAAGCGCACCTGCAATCACATAAATAATTACATGACTAGCTAACACAATATACAGAGATGATTCAAATTAACATAATATACATTTAAACCGTATGTTATGTTAACAAGAAAGTGATCCAAAGACAAGTGTGCATGGCCATAACTTGCACAAATGTTTAGTTGTTTCGTTATCTCTAATAGTTTCTTACCAGCCGGAGCCTGTGGAAGAATGCACCGTTTCAATAAAACGCTGAACAACATCAGAATGGAATGACCATTCACTAGGGTCATGGCAAACCACATTTTCAAACACCGAATCTATAGGAGTTGCTGCAACTACATCATTTAAATTGCCACTGATCTCGTCTGAGCCTGATGAAGTCGACATAGAGCGATGATAGATAGAGAATCCAAAAGGAGTAGAGCATCGAGAAAAATGTGAGGAGCGTCTCGGGTGCGTAGAGAGAATTGAGCTGCTAAAGGATCTCTGACCAAGAGAAGTTGGCTTCTCTTCACGATGATCATTCTCTTGACGAGTGATAGAGCTATAATAAGATGGCTGATAACGTCGAGCACTAAGCAATGATCTGAGGGACAAAGCGCGTCTTGAAGCCATTAATATACAATCCACTCAAAACCCCTGTCAAACAGTAAGAAGAATGAGATTGGTAATAGTAAGGATAAGCCAATAAATTAAAACAAGGATTAATGAGACAATTTTGGTAATAGAACGAAGCCAAGAAAATTCAAAAGCCTCAATAGAGAGATTCGTAACTGAACATCATTAGTTTGTAATATCACCTTTTGTGACTTGTCAACAACTTAGAGAGATTAGTAGTATACTATCAATCACAATTATTTCTTAACCTATACACAGAGCTTAGTGAAAATCTCTATATATATAATCATTTTTTTTTCTTCTAAATTTGAGAAAGGGAACGAAGAAAGCGAGAAAGCTAGAGCTGATCAGCACTATTAAAATCTCATAATCATGCCCAAAAAAACTGTAAGATGAGAAAAAGAGAGAGATAAACCAGATCGAAAATCTACACGGAACAAAGCTGAGGGCAATTCAGGGTTTTCGTGGGAAAACTTCTCAGTGAGCCTCGGTTTATTGGTAGATTCATGCTCATGCTTTCTGGGTGGGTGTTACAACAAACTGCACTATTGTCATTTGTCATGCATGACTCTTGTCAACATTCGTAGTTTCGTACCATCTCGCGCGCTGAGTAGGATTTCAAAGTGTGGACTGGGCTGTAATATCCAATGATATTAAAAGGCCGGGCCCGTTTCAACAAGAAACCGGGTCTGTTCTGGTTTAGCTAGTTTTCGACGGTTTTATCTTCTATCAATTGATAGACAAACATGAACAAACTCACTAAAGGCTAGTGATTAACACACAAAGTGGTAAAAAGGTACAAACGTCCTGAAATTATATAACTGATGCAAAGAAAACAAAGATAACACTATGTCTTCCACTTCCACAAGCAACATAATTGACTGGTCGAGACACATAAAAGATCTTCTCGAGTCTACTTTTTCATTTTCCTCTTGAAGTATCGTAATTGTAAAGCCAAAGATTCAGGATACTCTAGAATTCCCAAATACGGCTTCACTCCGGGTCGTTTAAGCACTGCATAGAGAGAGAGAGAGCAGCATCAAAAACCAAAAAAAATAGTGGAACAACACAGGTTACATGCGTTGTAATCACTCTGAACAGAGAAAACTCACCTTGCACAAACGCAATGGTGAAGAGCATCGAACTCATCATATAGAAGTGGACTGCCTGTAAAATAAAGGGTAAAAACAAGTAAAAAAAGGGTTTTGATGGGAGATTTAACTGATTGGTTTTTATTTTGATTCTCCTTTTGGTGAAAAAGTGAAAACAATCACCTGCGACAAAGGCATTGTCAACAGGATCACCGGAATGACCATAAACCGGCCAACCTTTCTCACAAAATGAATGGGAGGCCTTCAAAGCCTGAAAGTGGTGCATCACACTGAGATGCTTCAAAAGTTTAGAACTCTGATCATCAACAACAACAAGAAGCCACAAGAATCATGTTTCTTTCAATGTTTTTACCTCCACAGTAATCCAGAAAAGCACTCCCGTGAGAATCGGAAAGATATATAACGCATCTGGCCTTGTAAGATCAGTGAACCAAAGTGCACCACCCGTTGTCAAAGATGGTACCTTCTCTGTCATTTGAGCAACCTGGGGAGAAAGAGAGGATTATTGTTGTGAGAAAAAAAAAATGAAGTAAAACACACAGAGAAAATGGAGCTTTATCAATGCAAACTTACTGCTTTTCCCATGTCAATCACTATCGGAGGGGTAATAAGATTCAGCGATAAAGCCAAGAGTGATGTAAGACTTGACATATGACTGCATCGCCACAACACACAAGCAAAACCAGAATTAGAAGAAAATAAATCAAATTTTTTTTTGTAGAGTCTATCATACACTCGAGAGAAGGTTAACAGATTCCTACTTGTTCACCACTTTGTAAATTTCTTTCTGACTTGTAGCATAAGAAGCTGGAGCTCCTCCATGCTGAAAAATGAGGAAATAAAAGATGTGGGAAGTGTTTGGGTTATTAGACATGGTAGCAAAACAAAATTATACTTTGAGAGAAGCAAAGTTATACCTGATCCTTAATTTCCATCCATGTTTGTTTCCTTTTTTGCCAGCTAAAATACTGAGTAACAGTCATCATTATTTACATAAGTGTGTAACATGGAAACAGAGACCAAAGAGGCCAAAGAGACAAAATTGAACAAATTGCTTTCCTAGCTAATAAGTCTGCACAAGCATTTGATGATCTATTCCGACCTAATTGAGCTGATAATGGAAATCCACACATGCTTTCTCTTGTGAAACTATCATCAAACATAGATGCTACGATAAAAGCTAAGGGAATTGTGTAGTTAGCTCAAGAAAGATGCAATTTTTAAAAAAATTCACAGGTAAGGCTCATAATCATCTAGAGGGTTTAATTTCCTAAAATCTGATAACTATATTCAATGAAAGTGAAAGTTTTCTCCATACCAAAGTCGTGGCAACTGAATAAAATCTGGCCATATGAATCATAGCAGGGATTGTCAGTCCTCGAATCAAAAAGGTTGTAAGAAGAATTGAAGCCCACCTGCAATAATCACACAACAATGACAATATAAGCAAAAAAAATTCTTTGACATCAAGAAATTTTTGGTTATCACCAACGAGACAACGATTTTTTGTTTAGCATATAATTTTATTTTACCAGTTAAAGCCTGTGAGAGAATGCACAGTTTCAAATAACTGTTGCAACGCATCGACAAGTTTTTCTCTTGCGGTGGTTAGTGAAGCCACCACATGCTGCACAACTGAATCGGCATTTCGCGTCTGAGCCAGGAAGACGAGAAGTCGACATGTAGCGATGATGACAGATAGAGACACCAAAAGTTGGGGGTAGAGAGAATCTGAAGAGTGTCTCGGACGATGATAGAGAATCGAGCTGCTGAAGGATCTCTGGCAATCTAGCTTCTCTTCATGACGAGTGATAAAGCTACAAGAAGATGGCTGGTGACGGCGAGGATTGAGTAATGATCTGAGGGACAAAGTGCGTCTTAAGGCCATTTACAAAGTCGTCTACTCAAAAACCTGTAAACAGTAAGATTGAGAAATGCAGAGCACAAATTGGTAATGCGAAAACGAGAAAGAACAATAATTATACAGTAGAGATGATAATCAGCTCAAAATAGGCCGATTATGCTCACAGAAACTGTAAGGTGTGTGTGAGAGAAGAGAGAGAGTCGCACCTAGGGATGTTAATGAAGGGTTTTTACCCGTAGGGTACCCTAAACCCTTGATTTTTTTTATGCCCATTACCCTCCTTTTCGGCCACAAAACGTGATGGATCATTTATGGGCGGGTCCCTTAGTGAAAGGATTCTAATAGCATTATCCTAATGGGCTTAGGGTATCCTAAGGGTTTCTTTTTAATTATCATCTATGTCTAAAACGACGACGTTTTTGTTTTTTTTTCTGTTTAGCTTTTCAATCATCGACATTTACAGAAGACGAACTCGAATTTTATGAAATCCCTAATTCCTCTTCGTTCCTTGATCTTTTTTTCTGGGTTTTGTTGAAGCTACGAGGAGCTTTGTTTCTTCAAATTTTGATTTGGTATTGAGTTTAAGGAAGAAGACATCCTAATTTCACCGGATCGACTTGAAGACCAAAAGGTCCAAAAGACCAAAACCATGGTGAGAAAGTTGTTCATTCGACCTCGTTTTAAAAGATATTTCAGATTCGTCCTTTATAGTAGTACTTGATTTTATTTGAATTTTTTGGCTGAACCCAATATACTAGCTAGCTCAATCACAAAACCCAGTTATCAATTTTTGTGTAATTTTGATCACAGCAAAAGTTGCAGTAGAACTGGCAAAGCAAGGCTTGGTTTGTTGCTCTGCTCCATTGCTCCATTGATCACTAAGGTACGTTGCTCTGCTTCACTTATCTTATTGTTTATAGAATTATCATCTACTGTCTGGTTTGTTACTCTGCTCCATTGATCACTAAGTTAATTTCGTAACTGTTGAGTTTTATCTATGCTTAGTATTTTCTGCTCTGCTCCATTTAGGGTTCAGTATCAGCGAACTTAGCTATAGAGGTCACTGTTTTTCTGCTCTGCTCCACTGTTCTTATTCTCACATTTGTTCTGCAGCTTTTATCCAAAATGCCGTTGGATGAACAGTCTTTGGAATACCTTGCAAGACTTGAGAATGAGGAAATGATTGCTTCAGATGAGGAAGATGAAACGGAAACTCAAGGAGCATCAGAAAGTTCAACTCAACAGACTCAAGCGACTCAAACGGTACCTAATTCTAAGAAACGCAAAACCTCTTTAGTCTGGAAAGAATTTAAAGAGGTAGGAATAGAGGTAGATGGTAAAAGAAGGAGTCGTTGCACACATTGTGATAAGAAGATAGTGACAGAACTGGGTCAAGGAACAACTTCAATGAAACGCCATTTAGATTGTTGCCCAAAAAGGGCTCCAGAGATGAGTGATAAAAGAGAGTGATCACAGAGTAGATCGTAAGATGATGACGGAGATTATCATTTATCATGATCAGCCTTTTAGGTATGTTGAGTATGAGAAAGTCAGAACGAGAGATAGGTATTTGAATCCAAACTTTCAGCATATTTGTAGGCAAACCGCTGGAGCTGATGTGTTTAGGAGGTATGAGTTTGAAAAAGAAAAGCTGAAAAAGGTTTTTGCAGAATACAAAGGAAGATTTTGTTTCACGGCAGATATGTGGACAGCTCGGGCCACTATGAAGGGATATCTTTGTCTTACTGCTCATTATGTTGATGATAGCACCTGAGTCGAGAGAAGGTGAGACGAAGAACAAAGCCCAAGGACAATTTTGGGCATTTACAAACTTAAATGGAAAAATTTGGAAATTAAAGTTAAACTGGGTGGTTTTCGCAATATTATAAACATTTTCAAATTTCGAAAAGGGAGGCAAAGGCAACAATACTTTCCCTATACGAATGCCACGTCACGGATCCCGTCAACTTTATGTTGCATCAGTCACGTGCCGTTTGAGTTGTGCCGTCTGATCCGGTTTAGCTAGCTTTCGACGGTTAATCTTTATTACCGGTTTACCCCGCACTTTGTCACCACCATTACTTTGTCTCTAGATGATGAGGAAGCTCCGATTTCAAAGCTCATGAAACGCGCCAATGTTGTTGGTTTCCGCCTCCGCCATTTTCCGGAACTCAGACTGTTTCAAACTTCTTCAGCACCCAAACCGAAACTTGAACCGAAATCGTCACCAAATGGGACATCTTCTCACGAAAACTTGCTGGGTCAGGTATTGGACACTTACCCAGATCACAAAACCCTTAGAACTCTCCACTCCAGAATCATTCTGGAAGACCTACGCTGCGATTCGTCTCTGGGCGTTAAACTCATGAGAGCTTATGCTTCTCTGAAAGATGTGACGTCAGCACGCAAGGTGTTCGAGGAAATTCCTGAGAGAAACGTGATCATCCTTAACGTCATGATCAGAAGCTATGTGAATAACGGGTTTTACCGCGAAGGTATTCAAGTGTTTGCGACGATGTGTGGCGGTAACGTTAGACCCGATCATTACACTTTCCCGTGCGTTCTAAAGGCGTGTTCTTGCTCTGGGAATGTTGTCATTGGGAAGAAGATCCATGGGTCCGCTACAAGAGTTGGGCTCTCTTCGACTCTGTTTGTTGGGAATGGTTTAGTTTCTATGTATGGAAAGTGTGGATTTTTAGCTGAAGCAAGGCTTGTTCTTGATGAGATGTTTAGGAGAGACGTGGTCTCTTGGAACTCGTTAGTTGCAGGGTATGCGCAAAACCAGAGGTTTGATGATGCTTTGGAGGTTTGTAGAGAGATGGAGTCTGTGAAGATAAGCCACGACGCTGGCACGATGGCTAGTTTGTTACCAGCGGTGACTAACACAGCGATGGATAATGTTATGTATGTTAAAGATATGTTTTTGCAAATGGGGAAAAAGAGTTTGGTTTCATGGAATGTGATGATCGGTGTGTATATGAAGAACGCGATGCCTGTTGAAGCTGTGGAGTTGTATTCTCGCATGGAAGCTGATGGGTTTGAGCCTGATGCAGTCTCGATCACAAGTGTGTTACCTGCTTGTGGTGATACATCTGCTTTAACTCTTGGTAGGAGAATCCATGGATACATCGAGAGGAAGAAGCTGATACCAAATATGCTGCTAGAGAACGCGTTGATCGACATGTACGCGAAGTGTGGATGTCTAGAGAGAGCGAGAGATGTGTTTGAGAAGATGAAGTCCCGTGACGTTGTGTCTTGGACGGCTATGATCTCGGCTTATGGTTCCAGCGGGAAAGGCCGTGACGCCGTGGCGCTGTTTTCGAAAATGCAAGAATCGGGTCTCGTCCCTGATTCGATTGCGTTTGTCACAACGCTCGCTGCTTGTAGCCACTCAGGGTTGCTAGAAGAAGGTCGGAGTTGTTTCAGACTCATGACAGAGCATTACAAGATTACTCCTAGGTTGGAGCATTTTGCTTGTATGGTGGATCTTCTTGGGAGAGCCGGGAAAGTGAAAGAAGCTTATGGATTCATACAGGAGATGTCTATGGAACCGAACGAGAGAGTTTGGGGAGCGTTGTTAGGAGCTTGTCGTGTGCATTCTGAGACAGAGATCGGTCTATTAGCAGCTGATAAGCTTCTTCAGTTAGCACCGGAGAATTCAGGTCACTACGTACTGCTTTCTAACATATTCGCAAAAGCTGGAAAATGGGAAGAGGTTACAAATATTAGGTATTTGATGAAGAGCAAAGGTTTGAAGAAGAATCCAGGAGCGAGCAACGTTGAGGTCAAAGGAGAGATTCATACATTCTTAGTAGGTGACAGGTCACATCCGCAGTCCGATGAGATTTACAGAGAGCTGGATGTTCTAGTAACGAAAATGAAAGAGTTAGGGTATGTTCCTGATTCGGAATCGGCGCTTCACGATGTGGAAGAAGAAGATAAGGAGACGCATTTGGCTGTTCACAGTGAGAAATTAGCCATTGTGTTTGCTCTGATGAACACAGAAGGAGAAGAAGAGAGTAATGCCATAAGAATAACGAAGAACCTAAGGATTTGTGGAGATTGTCATGCTGCAGCAAAGCTTATCTCACAGATAACTTCTCGTGAGATCATCATCAGAGACACTAATAGATTTCATGTGTTCCGGTTTGGTGTTTGCTCTTGTGGTGACTATTGGTGAAATTTAAATGTTTTTATCAACGTCTCAAAACAAACGCAGCGTTTTTGATGACTATGAAAGTACAACTTTTTGGACAGCTTTATAATATCTTCTGGGGTTACAACCAATGAAGACATGACACGTCATTGCTGGTAACGAAACTCCACAAAGAGATAGCCTAATCTGCAAATCCCTTTCCAGCTTGTGAGCTCAGAGTGAGAAAGAGCGAAAGGTTAGAGATAATTCCTTACCGATGATTGAGTCGGTCATGGCCGTTCGTCTCTCTACTGGATTCTGCTCTTCCACGGCTTTACTCCGTAATGTTTTTTCTTCTCTCTGTCCATGATTTTCTTTCTTAAATCGATAATAAAAATTCAAATTAGTAGCAGAAAATCTGTTCTTTCAGTTTCCTTCTTTCTTAATTCCTGAAAATGCTCTCTTATTCATTCGTTTTCATAATTTGCAGAGTATCGTCCTGCACCGAGCACGGAGGAGGGAGTGAGCTGCTTCCATTACGCGTCCCGCCGCGTTTTCCAGCCTCAACGTCTCAACAATAGTGCAGGGTACTGTAGATTTACTTTGTTTCGTCCTCAACTTGCAAAATAGTTCTTACGGTTTCGTCCTCAAATGGAATTTGCCATAAACGTGAAACTTGAATTTAAGAGCTTTCTTGTTCTGTGAGTTTTGGTTTTATCAAGATTTTAGATTCTAGTTTTTGAATAGCTCATCTTTAGTGCATGCGTACTTGGTTCTACTATGCAGTATGTTTCTTGTCAATGTGAAATGTTAAATTTAAGGGAATGTTTCGCTCGATTTTATAGAGCACTTAAGTTATATACTTCGTCAGTGATTCTTGGAACTAGTTGAAGATCTTTTCCTGAAATTATGTCCGGATATCGCAGATTCTGGCTTGTAAACACATGAATTTGGTCCTGCAGTAAAATGCAAAGATGATTTAAGACTTTTTTGGATGAGAATATTTTCTTGTTTGTTTCTTCTTACATACTTGTGTGAATCCTCACTTTCACATTACCTTTAATGGAAAACAGATGAATTGACTTATATACACTTTTCTAGGAGTGGATTTCTGAAGTACAGCAGGGACTGTCTAACAAGAAAACACCCGAGAAAGAATCGAACTCAAGCCACAGCCGAGTACTTAGATTCAGCATCAGATCCAGAAAAACAAACTGGGAAGTCAAGATATCATCCTTCAGAAGAAATCAAAGCCTCTTTACCACAAAATGCTGGAGATTCAAGGCTTTCACCTGCAGAAACTACTAGAACCATCATTGAGGTGTTATATTGCGTCTTTCAATCTGCATAAGCTACCTTTTTTGGTAAACATATTGTTTAGACCAATGCCTTATTTTATATGCATATGCATTGTTGCTGTCACATGTTAGTTTGTTTAGTATTATGGGTTGCATTAGTATATTATGTTCATCCGCTTCCAGTTTTACTGTTTATTTTTTGTCCAGGATTTATTTTGTGCATCTAACATTTCCCGTAGTGTGTCATGTTCAGGTGAACAATAAAGGAACCCTGATGCTTACAGGCTCAATTGGTGATGGAGTTCATGAAAATATTCTCTGGCCGGATATACCTTATATAACAGATCAGAATGGAAGTAAGAGAAAAGTTAATCACCCCTTAGTTCCATGTGATTTATCTAATCTACTTAAAACCGTCAAAAATTAAATTGAATAAACTGAATGCTCTGCAGATTTATACTTTCAAGTAAAGGAGGATGAGGACATCATGAAGTCTGTTACTGCTGATAACAATTATGTGGTATGTAGCACATGACATGCATATTCGATTTACGACATGTGCACCTGAAATTGTTTTTAACGAAATGGTGAATGTTCCAAGCGTTTCAAATCCTAGCTAACACGGAGGAGATCTCTCTTCTTTTATGTTACATTAGCTAAATGTTGCTTCTTGTGATGTTTTCTTATTCTTTTGTTAATAAACCATTCTTCTAAGTCTAAACGCACAAGCATGCATTAATTAGCTGTCATCTAGCTTCGATATGTTACTGTTGATGATAACTGAATACGCTGCGTGACTTACTTTAAAGAAGTTATGGATTCATTGCAGCAAGTAATAGTAGGCTTTGATACAATGGAGATGATCAAGGAAATGGAGCTGATGGGTCTATCTGATAGTGACTTTGAAACTGATGACGATGAAAGTGAAGGAGAAGATGACAGCGAGGATGATGGGGATGAAGATGAAGACGGAGATGAGGAGGTCTAACTAAATTCATTTCACCTTTTTAATTAAGTTACTATGGAACTCTATGAGAGGTATACGGTTGCCATGCTTTAGCATGTTTCACTAGCCTCTGTGTTCTTGGCTTCAGGGATGGGTTGCTGTTCTCGAGGATGAAGATGAAGACGAAGATGATGATGAGGATGACGACGATGATGATGAGGATGACGACGACGATGATGATGAATCGCTTGGAGACTGGGCGAATTTGGAAACAATGAGGAGTTGTCATCCCATGTATTTCGCAAAGAGAATGACCGAGGTGAAATTTTTACTCTCAAGTTTTGAAAAAAAAATGTGTTGTGATTTTGTATAAAAGCTATATGCAACAATCTTGAAAAAACTTCATGTATGTGTCATGTTTAGGTTGCTTCAAATGATCCTGTAGATTGGATGGATCAGCCGTCTGCTGGCCTTGCCATTCAGGGACTGTTGAGTCATATCTTAGTAGAAGACTATTCAGAGATCGAAAAGAAACTTGCTGAACTCAAATCTACAAGTACTAACGGTAACAAGGATGAAGAAAACTTACAGAAGAAGATTGAAGACAGTAATAAGGACGATGGTGATGAATCTGAGAAAAAGAGAAATGCTGTGGCGTTTTACAAGCTGGAGATGATAAGAATTCAGCTTATTACAGCACAAGGGGATCAGGTTTGAGTAAACAAAACTTCTCCATATTTTTTATGTAAATTAATCCAGTTGTGACATGATTGCCCATCTCATGATTCCTGTTCTTGAGTTCCACTTCTTATCTGGACTCTGCTTTTTATTACAAGCTTATGCTTAGTAGTGTCTTTTACTCTTGGAACAGACAGAAGTAGAAGTTGAAGATGTCAGAAAAGCACAACCTGATGCTATTGCTCATGCATCAGCTGGAATCATAAGCCGTTTAGAAGAATCTGGTAACAAACTAGCCGAAGCCCTTAGATCTTTGTGCTGGAGACATAACGGTATTCAAGCAGAGGTAAATAGCTGAAACTTAACTTTAGAAGCTCTAGCTTGTAATTAACTTTCGAAGTATCTGAATTTTGACACAAAGTTTCTTTAGGTTTCATGAATGTTCTTTACATGACCATAAATAAAACTCATACACTGTGAATATACAGAATGCAAGATTGTGTATGAATGATCAGACCAAACTTTTTGTTACAGGAAGTGAAGCTCCTTGGTATAGACTCCCTCGGTTTTGACCTCAGGCTTTGCGCAGGAGCAAAAATCGAGTCATTGCGGTTTGCATTCTCGACAAGGGTAAATCAGTTCTCTACTTTGATCTCTTAAAATCTTGATCCTGACCTATGATGCTAATAGAGTTCTTGATGTTATTATAACATTTCTTTCCATTCAAAACTCTTGCAGGCAACATCTGAAGATGATGCAGAGGGACTAATAAGGGAACTATTATTCCCGACAACAAACCCGTCGGAGCCACAGGAACCGATACAAACAAGTCAGAAGGAGTGTTGATGACGTAGTAATCTTCAATGAAGCTGCGGGGAGGAAACAGTTCCATGAACCAAAATTTAAAGTGCAAAATATATGTCTATGGAACAAACATTTACAAGTTCTTGGAGACTAAGCCCCCAAGGGTAAGATATGTGGCTTCAGGCGATTTTTCAATTGAATTTTGAACGCTGTAAGAGTTTTTTCACAAGTAGTTACAAGTTTGTGGGTTACGCTGCACATTCTTTAGAAAGTTGAGCATTGAAGTTTCGACCCATTATTTAGAAACTGCTTTACTTATGCCTTAATCACCTTTAACTTCTGGTATTGATCTCAAATACTTCATAATCAAATGTCTCTAATCAAGTTATTATTGTATAAACAGAACTGTTACGCGCTTAGCTAGATGCAAAAAGCGAGCAACTTCTTGTCAAGTTCCAACATAAACATGTCTTCTTCCACCAACACAATCTACAGTAGCTAGTGATCATAACGTAATTGATTTGAAAGGATGATCTTTCTCATCTATATGATTTTTAGCACACAGAATACCAATAGGCAATACCATATGATGTGCTCTGGGACCAAAGTCAACAACTTGTCCCTACATAGCTAGGGATAAAAGGAAACCGTGATAAATGTTTCATATAGTTTTGTTTCTTTTTCTTTGTCATAATTTATAATATATACCTAGGAAATAGGAGTATGTTGCAACTTGCACGACGACGAATTGTAACTTGTAAGGTGAAAAAATATTTATTACCTCACAGCTCGCTGTTACCACAAAGGCGGCCTATTAGCGGATTGGTTAATACAAAGTGTTGAGAAAGTGCTTAACCATTCAAACACAAAGTTTGGCTTCAATCCACCATTCCTTAAAATTTCCTATTAATTAATCTGCACGTCACTCACTCAATAATTCACTAATTTTTGTTATGATCATTTCATATGCATATTAAGTCAGATTTTTTACGTCGGGGGATTCTTTTAATAGATTTTTACCCCAAAAAATCATACATTAATAGTAAAATGTATTAGTAAATGTAAATCAATTAATTTACCATTTGTAACGTTTTAGGTTTTAAACAGTACAGAGACGAACTAGTCAGTTTTTCCAATTCTTCTTAATTTTGTTGTTTAGTACCGTGTACAGCACGGGACAACACAGTGTGATACAGTATATGTTTTAGAAAAGTCTAGGAAAGGAGAGATCTATAAAATATTCTCAAGTAAACATCTTGAGAGCGTTTTATTAATTTAACAACATGCATGATTTATTAATTCAACATAGATTTTGCAGCCACATATATATAAGAAATCAATATCCTCACATAGAGCTAACAAAGTCGACGGCTTCAACCACATCATGGAGTAGAGAGTTGGAGTTCACAACCCTACAGTTCAACCTGATCTGTCCTTGTGTTCCTGTAAGAGGTGTAATGTTTCCCATCCTGTTCATCGCCTCCACAAACGCATTGAAGAACGTTTGTGTGCCATCAGCATATGCTCTCACCAATGGGATTGTGTCACTTGCATCAGGGCTAGAGAACAACTCTTGGTCGCTTTGAATAAGACCCTTAAGCTCTTTGAGATTCGCATAGTATTTGTTGTCGAAAACGGTAGGCGTACGCAGATCGAAATCCACCAAGGCGCTTAGGTTACCAGTACGAGGACATAGTCCACGAAGCGTTTGGAGGTAAGTAGTGTTGAGGGTAGGGTCAGGTAAACCGGTGCTCTTGAAATCGTATAATCTGTCTATGATGAATCGGCATTGGTTTTTACCGAATGTGTGACCCCCTAAACCAAAGAAAGACCACAAAGTCAATAACAAACTATATATATAATTACAAATTTACAACTATATATATCAAATGATTTCTGATTTATTCGACTTAATTACCGGAGAGAGCAACGAGATCAGAGGGACGGTCAAGGCCAACATTTCTAAACCTGTCCTTAAGCCGTGTAAGGTTGAAGGATGGACCTGGAAGATTATCATTAGCAAGAGCTAGAAATGCTTGTAAGCTGTCTCTTCTTCCCAAAGGAACCCTCCAAGAAGGACCTCCTGCCTATAATATAAGATCCATATGTATGCTCAAAACATTTTTTTCTAAAGAGAAATAGTTCTTATAATTTGGAAGTTTTAAATGGGTAGAGTAAAAAGACAAGCATGTAATTCACTGATCGTACACCCAAGGTGAAGTTTTACTAATCTCAAAGTATACTTCTTGAAATTATGATTCTTTTCGGTTACCAACAATAACGTAGCATTATCAAACCAATTATTTTCTTGTGATAAGATTTTATTTTTGTCAATGATAACATGTCAAATTTTCTTCACGGGGCCACGCGTTTTGAATATTTCTCGATTAGGTAAGATTCGAAAACTATTCATATAGTTGAAAATTTGTTACTAAATATAGACTGTGCGTTCTCAACCATTTTTATTTATTTTCAAACTTAAGATTATCGTGTGTGATACGTAAAGCGACGACTTGATATGTTAAAGATTGAAAACAACGTTGGCAATGAATTAACGAAAACGGATCAGTACGGAACATACCAAAGTGACAGATTGTTGAGCTGCGATGGTGAGTATATCTGCGCATGAGACGGTTCTTGGGCATGCCCTTTCCACTGCGGCTTTCATTCTATCAATCACAGGAAATCCTCGAGCCGAATTTGCGTTTCCAAATGCATCTTTCTCTGTTTGAAATGATGTCGTGTTGTCTAGCAGGATCGATGCGTCACAACCCTTTCGAAAACACAAAATATATTTAACATATTGTTAGTGTATTACACTCATAGTTAAATCTCTACATACCGTGTTTTGTACGGCACCATGCTCTTTCTAAATATTGTAATACGGATAATTCATGCTCGGTAAATACGAGATCTTTCATACATTTTTCGGCATCATGATTGAAATTAATAAACAACCAGTAACCAATCTTCATTGTCGAAAAAGTTATCCGCCTCATCAACATATAATTAAGTTATAGTAAAAAAACTATGATTTTTTAACCAAAGAAAAAGAAAACCTATGATTGGTTATTTAAACAGGAAGAGAAGTGTTATTTTCTCAGTCAACTAATACGTAATATGCGAGTCTGAATCTTGGTGATGAGACAGTAACAACACTAGCAAAAACTACTAGACTTCTTGGCCGAACGATAAGTGTTTAAAATGAAAAATTAAGGTAATAGTAAAATCTCACATTGACAAAGCAGTCGTGGAAGTGAAGACGAAGGATGCTCGCGGCGATACGAGGGTCCGATCTTAGCTCGTTGACAATAGTTTCTCGTACGATGTTAGTGACGTTCGGACATGAAGTGTCGTAGAAGGTAGGGGTAAGTTGAGCATCGGACAAAGGCGCACGAAGCATAAGACATGCCAGTGTGATTAAGATTGTCCAAGTGGACGAAGTAGAATATGAAGGAGAGAAATGCATTTTTAATGAAAAGAAAATTATCTGATTGGGTTTACCAGAGAAGATGAGAAAAATCCATATCTTAGCGAATCCTTTTTATAGGCAACACGGGTCACAAACGGAGGCTCTTTTATTTACTCGTTTGAAGGCTTTTATCTCTAACAAAAAATGTAGACTTTTCTTTCTGGAAACTATTTCAACTAATCTTGATTAATATCACTAACCAAAAAGATTTAACAGAGGGGATGAATTTCTGATTTATAGAAAAAGTACAAAATAATTAGTTTATATTTATTTTGTTTACAAAAAAACCTATTTAGGTTTAGTTCATTATATTTTTGGATTTGATTTTACTTAACTAAAAGCTCAAATAAAACGCAAAGTTATTTACATAAATATAAAATATGTTAAAATTATGTACTAATAATCCTAATTCTAAGTTAAACTAATTTTAGTATAAAAGATACTCCGTTTCAATAAAGGTGTGATGGCCATTTTGAAGATAAATCCACTCTTTCACCATATACTGTATTTGGTCAATAAAAAAAAGGGAGGTAACGTGAGGGTGGAGAAAACAAGAAAAAGGAAAGGTGGAGTGCCAAAAAAAAAAAAAAAAAAAAAAAAAAAAAAAAAAAGGGAAAAGGAGAAAAAAAAACGAGTATTAGTAAAAGGAAAACAACAACAAAAAAATAGGGGCACCGTGAATTGCCTGAACCATGTGATCCACCGGAGTGTATATCCATACGTGTTACCGATTTTTAGAAATTTGAGATTTAAAAAACCTAACGAAAATGAATGTCCCTGGCTCAAAGTTTGGATCTCCTACGTACCTATGTAAGTTATATAACCGGGAAGAATCGTTATCAATTTAATTATGGCTTCCGGTTAGGTTCCAACTTCCATGCATGGCTGCAGAAACTCATTTACCAAATGGCAAACGATCAAGAACGAGATAGAATATGGACGGCGACGGTGTCATTTTCTGCTGACAAGGCTGTGGCAATCGTCATCGTTGAAAATAATTAAAACTGACTAAATGTTACATGAGAGTTAGTGTACGTGCATGTATATAGCTTAACGACTTACGATACACACTGTACATCAAAAACAATAGCTGTCTTATCTTTCTGAAATATACGTTTCAAACCACATGAATTGAAGTTGTCTCCATTTGCGTTCAATAATGTTGCATTTACAGTCGTTCATACACAATAAGGTCAATATATATATGATTATTTTGTGAAGATAGAAAAGAAAAAACAAACAAAAAGGCCACGCGTGTTTTTGTAAGAGAGTGGGATTGTAAGAACAGAGATCCTCTGAGGACGACTCACGGATCCAACAAAGCAGCCAGGTTGGTCCAAAGAATTTGTACCCAAATCGACAGTGTAAATTGTGATCTTGTCCATTTTTTTCATTAAAGATCTCAAGTTATAATATTATTTATAAAATAAAAATATCTAACTGTCTTAGATATTTCCAAGAAAACAAATCGTTTAAGCAAACTTAGAAAAAAAGTTAGTATTACTTTTGAATTGCATCCTCGTTGACAAATTGTTGAAAGGTCGTTAAGAACAAGATTTATACGAGGGAAAGAAGGAAAGATATGCCTTGAACCGTTTACAACAAAATCTAGAAAATATATATCCGTTGGTCATATAATGACATGTGGATGACGAACCCACAAAGGGTCTTCCGAATAATGATTTTCTCGTGTCCTTCTGTTTGAGAGACTCTAAAACTAGCAAGAGAAGAAGAAGAAAAACGCACCCTACTGCATAGCAAAAAGACACATCACAGCACATATACCTCTCAAAAGTCAAAACAGTACTAAAAAGCCATAAATTTCGTTAGACCATACGATCAATTTTTTTTTTTTTTTTTTTTGATGGCTTGTTCTGGGAGCGCTTAATGCGTTGTACCTACAAACGAGGTGATTCATGCAGAAGACCTACAAAATGGAGACCTGCTTTCTTACCCAAAGCGTTAGCGTTCATTTTCATCCCAAAAAGTATTGATCGATCAACGTTAAAATAAAAAGACATATAATAATGGATTTTTAGCCTTTATTTCTGGTCTAATTATCATCTCTGCTAGAATTCAAAAACGATGTTAAATGCTATTAGCGTCTAGTTACGTATAAGAAAGTAGAACTGTAGAAGGAACCCTAGCTCGCAAGTCCATGGTCTGCGTTACAACTTATCACAGTTTTCGCTTTTGATCGAGCAGACTTCATCATACATTATTACATTCCAAGAGAAGTATCGTGGTTGCTTCGTTATGGCCAGCGTGTCTGCATTGCATACTGCGTGTGCGGTGACACAAGTTTTATTGACGCTCTACCTTTGAGTTCTTTAATCTTGGCGTGACTAAAGACGAATCTCTTTGTCAAAGTGTTCGTTCGTTCCAAAATCATAGAAAATCTAGAAGATTATTTAAAGCACATCACATCTATGACTTTTAGCACACAGCTACCAAATCCATGTGATGTGCTGTGACCAAAGACAGCCACTTGTCTCTAGAGAGCTAGGGACTAGGGTTGCAAAGTAACCGTGATAAACGTGTCATAACTCATAACTCATACTCCCTCCGTTTCAAATTAGTTGTCGTTTTGACAAAATGTATCTGCAAATATTTGGATGTATCTGGACATGTTTTGAATTGCAGATACGTCCAAATATTTGCAGATACATTTTGCCAAAACGACAACTAATTTGAAACGGAGGGAGTACTAATTAGTTTTTTCTCTCTCTCTTTCTCTGTTATGTTGCACGACGGCGAATTGTAAGGTGAATTAATGTTTATTACCTCCTCACAGCTCGCTATTACCTACGACAAAGGCGGCCTATTACCGCATTAGTCAAAAAGAAAAAGAAAAACAAAATGTTGGGAAAGTGCTAAACTATTCAAACATATCTAGTTTGGCTTTAATCCACCATTCCATAATATAGGAGTATCATACTAACACGTCACTTAATAACTCATTAATTTTTGTTAGGATGATTTTTATATGCATAAAGGCTGATATTTTAGGTCGGAGGTTCTTTTAGTAGATTTACAATTTTTAAAGTTTTAGATTTACTATATAATACAGAGTAAAACCATATTCAGTGTTTCCAATTAATTATTTAATAACTTCTTGTTTAATACCGTGTACAGCACGAGACAACACATAGTCACATACTCACATGCATATATTTATATAATGTGTTTAAGAAAAGTATAGAAAAACAGAGATCTAAAATAAATATTCTCAAGTAACATCTTGAGAGCGTTTTATTGATTTACCATGCATGGTTTATCATTTTAACAGATATCTTGGTAGCTAGGCGCCACATAAGAAATCAACTATCCTCCTCACATAAAGCTAATAAAGTCGACGGCTTCAACCACATCATGGAGTAGAGAGTTGGAGTTCACGACCCTACAGTTCAACCTGATCTGTCCTTGAGTTCCTGTAAGAGGTGTTATGTTTCCCATCCTGTTCATCGCCTCCACAAACGCATTGAAGAATGTTTGTGTGCCATCAGCATATGCTCTCACCAAGGGGATTGTGTCAGTGGCATTAGGGCCAGAGAACAACTCTTGGTCGCTTTGGATAAGACCTTTAAGCTCTTTGAGATTCGCATAGTATTTGTTGTCGAATACCGTAGGCGTACGCAGATCGAAATCTACCAAGGCGCTTAGGTTACCAGTACGAGGACATAGTCCACGAAGAGTTTGGAGGTAAGTAGCGTTGAGGGTAGGGTCAGGTAAACCGGTGCTGCTGAAATTGTATAATCTGTCCATGATGAATCGGCATTGGTTTTTACCGAATGTGTGACCCCCTAAACCAAAGAAAGATCACAAGGTGATCAATAACAAACTATTTAGTTGGAATTATTTTTATTTATTTAACTAGTTAGTTACCGGAGAGAGCAACGAGATCAGAGGGACGGTCGAGGCCAACATTTCTGAAACTGGCCTTAAGCTGTGGAAGTGTGAAGAATGGAGCTGGAAGATTTGCATTAGCAAGAGCTAGAAATGCTTGTAAGCTGTCTCTTCTCCCCAAAGGAACCCTCCAAGAAGGACCTCCTGCCTATAATATAAGAGAAATAGTTATAATCTAGAAGTTTCAGATGTGTAAAGTGAAACAGACAAGCATGTAAGTATTCATACACTAGGTGAAGTTTTGAAAATTCCAGTATTCCTTGAAAATATGAAATAATTGTTTTCGGTTACCAACAAACGTAGTCTTATCAAACCAATTATACTCTTGTGATGTGATTTAATTTTTCAATAATGTTAGACATGTAAAATTTTCTTCACAGGGCCACGCGTTTTGAATATTAGATTAGGTACGAATCCTATTCCTATAGTTGAAAACTTGAGAAGTTGATAGTTGATACTACATATAGATTGTGACGTTCTCAACCATTTGTTTCTTTCCAAACTTAAATTTATCGTGTTTTATATGTAAGTGACGTAAAACTTGATATATTAAAGATTCAAACGAAAACGGATCAGTGGAACATACCAAAGTGACAGATTGTTGAGCTGCGATGGTGAGCACATCTGCGCATGAAACAGTTCTTGGGCATGCCCTTTCCACTGCGGCTTTCATTCTATCAATCACAGGAAATCCTCGAGCCGAATTTGCGTTTCCAAATGCATCTTTCTCTGTTCGAAATGATGTCGTGTTGTCTAGCAAGATCGATGCGTCACACCCCTTTGAAAAACCCAAAATATTATTTAACATATTGTTAGTCAACATGGATTACATTTATAGTTAAATCAAAAGTATGTTCCACCAGAAAATTATTAAAATTTTAAGAAAACAACTTTTGGTGATGACATGGTAACGACACTAGCACAAAACAATAGGCTTTTTGGCCGAAAGATAAATGTCTAAAAATAAAAATAAAAATTAGCAAGGTAATAGTAAAATCTTACATTGACGAAGCAGTCGTGGAAGTGAAGACGAAGGATGCTCGCGGCGATACGAGGGTCCGATCTTAGCTCGTTGACAATAGTTTCTCGTACGATGTTAGTGACGTTAGGACATGAAGTGTCGTAGAAAGTAGGGATAAGTTGAGCATCGGACAGAGACGCACGAAGCGTAAGACATGCCAATGTGATTAAGATTGTCCAAGTGAACGAGCTAGAGAAATACATTTTCTAAAGAAAATAAATTTATCTGACTGGGTTTACCAGCGAAGATGAGGAAAGTCCATTTCTTAGGAATCCTTTTATAGGCAGCAAGGGTCTAACTTGGAGGGCCTTTTTTCTAAATTGAAGGCTTTCCTCTCTAACAACAAATGAAGACTTTCTTTTTGTCAACTATTTCAACTAACATTTTTTTTTTTCTGGTTAATACTATTAATCAGAAAGCTTTAACTGAGGGGATGAATTTATGATTTCTGCAGGATCTACAGAAAAAGAGGAATAATATAAGAAGCTAAGAATGAGATAGATTATAAAGATAAATGATGATTTTAAGAGGTTAACCATTACAACTAACCATATACCATGCATGACTTATTTTACGCTGCATTCGGAGATAATTTTTTTGTAGAAAATGGTCTACTAAATTTATGTTTTTGGCGCGCATGTCATTTTTCTCGATAATTGTTCAAATTTTATGCTGCATTTCGGAGAAACATATGTTTTTGGCATATGTCATTTACGCGGCATTCGGAGCATTTTTTCTGTCTTTTTGTCCTTACTCACCTGGTAGTAGAAGTCACCTCCCACTCGATCATCCATCCTAGAATCCTGAAAACATAACTCCATTTTGGCTATATAGATAGTTAATTGATTATTTTAAACCATTAGCAGACATTTTTCCCCCATAAATATGGGTATTTCTTAGCCGCCTCCCTGTTATCATGCACCTAGATTTTAGATAACTAAGAAACTCAAATATAACCCAAAATGTTTTACATAATTTTTTTTTTTGCCTGATAACTCTAATCCTAAGCTAACTAATTTTTAAATTAAAGAAATTTCGTATCAACAAAATGTTGATGTTGGTGGCCAATGTCAAAGATAAAATCGTTTTTTCCACAATATATTTGGTCAATAAAAAGAGAGAGAGAGGTAGCGTGAGGGTAGAGAAAAGAGAAAAATGAAAGGTGGAGTGCTAAAAAAAACAATAAAAAGGGAGAAAAAACGAATATTAGTGACGACAAGTTTCCCTCGGTCTAGGACCGGTTTAGAGGATTAATGAAATTCACATTTTGAACAAAAAAAAAAAGTGACGACAAAAAAAAAGTATATACATAAAAAAAAGAGGGGCACCAGTGAAGTAGGCATGGGCGTTCGGGTTTCGGTTCGGGTTCGGGTCGGTTCTATTCGGGTTGCTAAATTTTAGACCCGTTCGGGTTTAGGAAAATTTCGGTTCGGTTTCGGTTCGGTTCCTGTCGGGTTCGGGTCGGTTCGGGGCTAAATTTTATGGACCCGTTCGGGTTTATACAAATTTTGGTTCTTATTGGGATCTCATTCGGTTCTGATTCGGGTCGGTTTTTATCGGTTTTTTTAACCGAATATCCAAAATCCTACAAAATAACCGATAAAATCTTGTTATAATCCATCTTCTACTAAATATTTTTGGACTTTTCGAATATTTTGGTTATTTTGTTCTAAATATAACTATTATATTAGATTTATAATTGTAATTTTAGTTATTTTTTAGTATTATAAGCTATTATAAGTCTAAAAAATAACTAATATTTTGGATATATAATTATATTTTGGATATTTCGGGTACCCATTCGGTTCTCGGTTCGGTTCGGATTCGGGTTCGGTTTTTCGGGTATAAATTTTTTGGACCCATCGGGTATTTGTCTTGGTTCCGGTTCGGTTCGGTTCCATCTTTTTCGGGTCGGGTTCGGTTCGGGTCTTTCGGGTCCGGGTAAAATGCCCAGGCCTACCGTGAAGTGCTTTGAACCATGTAATTCAGGGTATATTCGTGTGGGATTTTTGGAAATTTTAAATTTGACAATCCTAATGAAAATGAATGTCCCTGGTTCAAAGTCTGGATCTCCTAACGTGTACCTACTAGTTATAGCTATGTGAGTTAGATAACCGGAAAGAATCATCATTTTATGGCTTCCGGTTAGGTTCCAGGCTGCAGAAACTCATTTACCAAAAAAAAAAAAAAAAATTGGCTACAAAAACTCCATAGCTAATAATCATTTTTTTCGTTTCAAATTGGATACAGACAATGGAGCCATGGAGGTGTCGTTTTCTGCTGACAGGGCTGCGCAGCAAACATTATCGTTGAAAATAAAACAGAATATAATAAAACGAGTTAGTATACGTGCATGTATCCACACTGTACATCAAAGACAGTAATTAATGTCTAATCATTCTAAAATATACGTTTCAAACCACATCACGTTGTCTCCATTTGTGTCCAATAATGTTGCATCTACGTTGGCTCGTACACAAATATATAAAGGTCTAGATGATTGTTTTGTCAAAATAGACAAAAGGCCACGTGTGTTTTTCTAAGAACAGAGATCCTCAGTGACAGAGATGACGTCAACATCCTCTGGCGACAACTCACGGATCATCAAATCAGGCCAGGTCAGTCCAAAGATATTGGCATTCAAAGAGAAAATACAAGTTGTGACCTTTTCCATTTTTATCATTAAAATCTCAAATGATATTTATGTATAAAAAATTGAAAACGTAGTTGGCTATGTAACAAAGTTTGTACCGAGGAAATTCTCCAGTGACTCGCATCTGAAGTAGTCAAGTAGACGATTTGAGGACATTGACACTAGAAATATGCAATTTAAATGGAGATAGAGAGAAAGAAGAATCTATGTAGTAGAAGAAGAATCTTGTTTCAGAAGCAATGCATAGAGGAGCTCGTTCCACGTATCAGGAACACCAGGAAGGCACCAGTGGCTACAGTCTTGAAGATGAGGCGGTGCAGGACTATGCGAGCCGGCGTAGTAAAGCGATGGGTGACCGTCTTTTCTTAGAGCAGACATTGCCGTTATGTTCAAAAGTTTCATTCTAATAGTCTCTGATCTGTTTGAGTATTGTGAAAACACATCTCTGAGGATGTTTAACTGTTTCCATGTCTCTGATGAAACCGATGATGTTCCAACCTCAGGCAATATCTCCAAGTGACATTTTCCTCCTGTTTTCCAATCTCCTCCCCTGTTTCAAACAGCCAAAGTGAAACATAAATATGCAGAAAATTCTATAACGTAAGACGCACGCATTCTGATAAAATCGAGTACAAACCTGAAATGAAGAGGAGCGAAAGTGCGGAAAAAGGCTCGAGTCTTGTTTGAATCGACTTCGGTTTGTATCCATTTCACAACGGTCTCGATAGCTCGCTTATACGCATCATCTACACTCATGTCAAGTTTCGCTTCTTCTCCTTCTTGAAAGTAGCATCCCCTGTTAGTCACAGCATTCAAGATTTAGCAAGTGGAACATTTTTTTTTTTGTTCAAAATGTTTAGCAAGTCGCATCTGAAGTGGAACATATGTATGATAAATGAGAGGTATCAAACCCCGAAATTACCTTCTAACAGTTTTGCCTTCGTTCCACCAATGTCCGGTATTGAGAACTAAAACATCTGCGTCTCTCCATATGCTTGAAGTCCATTCCATAGTATCCACTTTCAGACTTGTCTTAACTTTCTCTGGTGATCCAATCGGTGATCTGCCTTGGGGAACCAAAAAGGCAGATTTGTAGTATTCAACTGTGCAATTGTAGTCCTCAAATTTGAACACCAAGAACCCTGTGTGCTTTGTGATGGGACTCCCATTTACTTCATAAATCGAGCTCTCGTTCTTGATTGATGAAGACAACAGACAAAGAAGAGACTCCCACTGGTTTCTTCCAATTGAGTCTCCAACAAACACTAGCCGCTTGTCTCTGAGTTTCTCTAGCATCACTTTAGCATCAAATCTGATTCATTTTTACATCATTTAAAACATAAAAGTTTATGATACAATCGCTGACTTCTCTTTTCACAGAGAAAATATACATTATAAAATTTCAACCAAAACCTATTTGATTTTCTTTAAATTACTGTGCCAGAAATTTCTAGATAACAAACATGATTTGATTTTTAATGTCAAAGCCAATCCTTGCAGAACAAGGAAGAAACTTAAAAAGCTCTGATTTCTCTAAGATTCAGTAACATTCAAAATGTATTTTCTAAAGAACCAAGTGGCAGAAACTGTGTAATAACAGAGAAATTAAAACATCGAATTTGTCCCCATATATAATTTTTCGGTTATAAAAAGAGAGAAACTGGAAAAACATGTGTCCTACCTGGGCAAGTCACAGTGTCTTGGTTGCCATCGCCAATGAGTATAGGACAAATTAGACCTTCCAAACTCACTACATCTAAAACCTATATCGAGAAATCTGCAATCTTTGGATTGATACAGTGGATATGATTCATCCCAAACCCAATCTCCATCAAACACGTCACAATCATTTCCACTTTCTTCCAGAAACCCAACTCTCTTGGAACTGATGTTGTTATTGTTGCTGCTGCTGTTGTTGCTATTGTCGCTGCTGTTGTTGCTGTTGCTGTTGTTGTTGTTGTTGTTTTTGTTGTTGTTGTTATTGTCAAGTTGGAGCCCAACGAATGTCTCTGATTTATTCAAAAGGCTATTGTTCTTGTTGTTGTTGCTGTTGTTGCTGTTGTTGTCAAGTTTGAGCCCAACGAATGTCTCTGATTTATCATCCAAAAGGCTATAACTTTTAGCCAGGCTTATGTAATCAAAGTAGAAAAGGCTCCATACCAGACACACCCCAACCAAGAAAAACCACAACACGCTTCGAGACGGTTTGAACACGAGCCTTGATCTCTTGAATATCTTCAAAGCCTCACAGGCTGGCTTGACTCCTCCATTTTCTTCTACTTGTGTGTTCTTAGACATCTAAGGAGTTTTTCTAGATTGGAATAAAGATGGTAATGAGAATGCAAGAAATTAGGAAATATAGGCGTACATGATGATGGCGAATGAAGCAGAAATCAAAGAAATAGTCATATAAAAAGCATTAGCCTAAAAACAACATTTTGTTGCATGTTTAAATTTCTTTATCTGCAACTTTAAGATGGATCAATTTTAATCATACTCCTATTATTATTCAATAATGACAATGAAGGTGACTTTTATTTGTTTAGTATACAATTAGAGAGAGAAATATCAGAAACACGTTCTGCCGATCGAGCATATATGTATGTATATATATGTTCAATTATCATCTTTGTAATGGTAAGACACTAAAGAGAGATGAGACCATCTATGCCAGATGAAAGTTATGAGCGCCGGCCCGTGGTCAACTAAAACATTGTTGCCATGTAATAACAAAAAAAAACAAGAACTTTTGCCAAATTACTTTTAGTGCATTTTTTCGATACATATTTGAATAGAGGTAGTTGTTATATGTTTTGCTTATAATTGCTTATGTTATAGTTATTATTGTAAAGCAAAATTTTGGTAATTCTCTTCCTTTTATGTATGAATTACTTGTTTATTTTTAAAAGAACAATAGTTTATTTAATTCTAATTATCAAGCCAATTGTTTCAATTATTAAGTATTGCAGTTATATTGGTCATTGTAGTATTTACATTGATTCATATAAATATTATTCTCCAATTATTCAATGTTTATAATGTAAGTAGAACTCAAACCAAATAAGTATAACATAAGCAGATTATAAGCAAAATGTATGCAAATTATAAGTAAAACATAAAAAAAAATATAAACAGAATATTAGAATAAATAGATAGCCACATATTGTAGAAAAGTAAAGATTAGTGAATTTCTCAACAATGTAGCTGAGTTGTCTACGTCTTTTTTTGTTGAATGTCTCATGTGACTCGGGTAGTTGGGATGAAAAAGGATAAAATGTAGTTGGGATGGTGTGGCGCAGTTGGCTAATTTACTACGCAGTGTAGAATCAATAGATTCATTCTCTTTGCGGAGATCAGCATAGATGCATTAGCTAGTGGATATTTCTTCTTGCCCCATTGATCATTTTTCAGATAGCTTCAAATAGTATAAATGATGTACGAACCTTAAAAGAGTTATTTTTAATCTCATCTATGGTAGATTGTTACTTATGTTTTAGCTTCACGTGTAAAAGAAGAAGTTAAAAAAAAAAAAAAAAAAAAAAAAAAAAAATAAATAAAATGGGAATCTCACTTTGTATTAAAATATCAAGTGAGATTCCCATCCTTTTTTTGTATCACACATTGTGTAGAACCATATCAATGTTGCCATGTTAGTGATTTCAATTCATGTTTTTTAGTTTCGTCTCCATGATTTGAGTTTGATGTTGCTTTTGAATTTGAATAAAGAAGTCTCGTTTTCCTTAATATTTTGCTAATTAAATTCATTGCATAGCGAATAGGTTCGGATAGCACATAATGCTAAGCTTCTTGAATCAAGGAGGCATCATTAAATCTATATTTATTTTCCAGAATTTTTTAGCGCCAGGAAAAAAGATGACATCAACTGAATAGATAAGATAATAGAAGCCTAATACATATAGTGATATAGACATAGTGTACGTAATCTTCATTAATAAAACTCACGGTGTACATGAATTATTGTGCTATGGTATACACTATACACATTCGAACTTCCAACCATACTACACAAAGAAACAGACTAACATATACGATCTTAAGGAAGATTCTTAACTAATCTTCATTATTATTTACCATTCAAACTTTCTCCTTAACCTGATGAATCCTTCTGCTTCTCCCTCATATTTGTTCATGGAGATATAGCTTTCGCAGACATGACCCTTCTCACCAGTAGCTTCCACTTGGTGTCTTTAACCATCTTCTTGTATTGTTCTTCCCTTATCTTGAATTGCTCCCAAGAAGCATGAATATATGCAAGAAGCATGTGAATATGCAAGAAGCATACGAATATATGCAAGAAGCATTCGGATTTGCAAGGAGCATACGATTAAATACAAGGAGCATTCGGATATGCAAGAAGCATATGTATACATGCAAGAAGCATGTGAATATGCAAGAAGCATACGATTATATGCAAGAAGCATGTGAATATGCAAGAAGCACGATTAGATGCAAGAAGCATGAATAAATGCAAGAAGCATTCGGATATGCAAGGAGCATACGAATATGCAAGAAGCATACGATTAAATGCAAGAAGCATCATGAATAAATGCAAGAAGCATTCGGATATGCAAGAAGCATACGATTAAATGCAAGAAGCATCATGAATAAATGCAAGAAGCATTCGGATATGCAAGAAGCATGTGAAAGAGAAAGATAAGGTTTTTGACCTGCCAAGCAAGCGCACCTGTCATGGCAAAGGTCATAAACCCACACACATCCCCTCACTGTTTTCTTTTTCTCTCTCAGTTTGTGCAATAGATTAATCTATAGAGACATATAACGCAATAAGAAGATACCGAGACCGAGATCGCTCCTTTTACCATCAGGATTTATGGTTGTTGATCAACGAGAATTGATCAGATCCATGCGTCTGTTTCCGTTCTCGATGGTTAATCCCTAGGGGAACAGGAATCCGAAAAGTAAAGGTTCCATCAGTAGACCAAAAAGATTCATCAACAGATCACCAAATTCGAGAAACCCTAAGCAAATATAAGAACGTACCTCGAAGACCAACCACAAAACTTGGCAAGGATTCACATCAACCGAATCCAGATGAGCCAACCTAAACCCTAACAAGAAATCATCGTCCGCACAATCGGAAATCAAACCCTAAACAAAAAAAGGAGGCAGAAGCGATTCGAATTCGCTAGATAAAAAAGAGTCTTGCCTATTATGATAAAGAAATCAAAGACTTTCCGCAAATTTTTTTTTAAGTAGGTTTCGGTTAGTTGAGCTTGAAAATGACCATTCCTTCATTGAATAAGTAAAAGAATAAGTAAAAACTGGAATTGCACATTCGCTTGGGTGGTACCAACGAAACCGAGTGCTTACTCCCATCTATTATTGAATTAACCGATCAATTTGCTATCGACGATTTTTTATGTATTCGAAAAATTGCGCAACAAAATTTAACATATTTTTTTTATTATGAGAATAAATCCTACTACTTCGGATCCAGAGGTTTTGCGGGAGATTTGGCGGGTAAAGAATTAATGAAGAGTTTGACCGTTTATAAAGAGGCGAGCTAAACCTAGAAATCAGAGTGAGGTCGGAGCTATTTAGAGATTCTACGGTTGAAGCTATAGACGGTGCCGCTGATACACAATGAGAAAAGGCGGTTAATCTGTTTGCGAATGATTCATCTATTTTCCACGTGTCTTATTCTCTTTAAAAAATAAAATTAAGGTCAAATCTTATATTGGGGAAGGGGATATTCTCACTAAATATATGACTGCAACGAGGGAAATAACGAGTGATATTTCCCTGTTCAAGCTTCCAAGAATCCAAGTCTTTTTTCTGAAAATAGATAATAGACAAGAATCCAAGTCTTACTAGATGTTGAAGATGAAGTGGTTGAGGCCAAAGCTTACTAGATGCTGCAAAATGGCAAATCAGTGATCTGCACCAGAATATAAAAGAAACCATATTATCCTCAAATATAGATATCTTCCCGTACTACAGCAATTAAAAGATAAGACATAAATAAGTTCAGAGATATCAAACATCAAACATCACACACAAACACTTCTTTTTAGTATCAAACATCATACACAAATAGCATAACGGAGACAATGTAAAGAGCATAATATACAATAACAATCTAGTAAGATACAATTCAATCCACAACCTAAAAAACCAAGCTTTGTCTCGAGTTTACATTGAACATTCACACAAAACGGATACGAATCAATAGCACAAAGTCATCTTATTCAGATACAGATCAAAAATCACTAAACTTTTGCTGCGCAATCTCGTTTCAGCATTCTCTATTCCTTCTCGATCTATTATCCATGCACTCACACAAGTCATATAAAGGATCTACATTTATCATGTAATATCCTAACAGAGCAAGTAAAATTCAATCTAAGGAAAAATCAATAAACCACATCCAAATTCAAAAACATAGTCTTCATGCTCCATCTAAGGATCTTAGCATAATATCAAAAGAAGGAATGTAAAGTATGATCTCTAGCTTCATATTCAGTAACAGCATTTAAAACTAATGCATGGACTGCTTAATATCACAGACAAACACACACACACAAACACACACACACACGCACACACACAAAAAGGACAAAAGCACAAGAAACAGATAACGCACCATCTGAAGGAGTAAAAGCCTACACTTCTCAAATCAACTATTCACAGACTCAAGATTCAAATGAAATCTTGCTAGTTTTGAGGAATGCAGAACCTTTTCCTTGATACCAGTTAATCGATTGAACATGACAGCACGATGTCCTCCTTCGCTGACCTTAAGAAGGGCAGAAAGCGCAGGAGATCCAGGGACGTTGGGCACTTTGTTGAAACTCATTTCTTAAGAGCTAAAGAAAATAACAATGAACATGGCAGTGAGATTACACAAGAGAACAGTACACGGATAAAAATTTGATAGGTAGCAGATAAAAGAAAAATCATGTTCCCAAGATCCAGAGCACTTAACACAACATCAGAAATTACGCATAAGGATAGATCAAAGCACGAACCTCCAATAAAATCAAAGAGAACAAACACTGCACTGGAACAAAGCATCAACGGAGAGAAACATGAATTCCAATAGAACAGGTCCAGAAATTTTGAAGCAATGCTAAAATCAATCGACCCTTTGACCAAGTACCATATAGATTCAGTAAAACATAGATCGTGGAAAAGGTACAACAATCAGGCACTGCGTGAATTTAATTGGCATCCAAACAGAGCACACGGTAAATCTTCGGAGATACGAACGGTAGATTCAAAGAGAGAAATATCAACAATCTGACTCGCCGGCGATGTTCGGGTTTAAGGAAGGATCACGATCGGAGCAGCCAAAGAAGATCGAAGAGCAAGGAGACGAACAAGACGGAGAGATCGAAGAATTATTTCAACATAAAACACTAGCACCTATCGCATTGTGACACGTTGTTGTAAGCACCGATCTTATACCACAACCTTGCCACGTCATTATTTTATTTTTATTCCCCTTATTTTTTTTCTCTTAAATGTGGATTAAGGTCAAATATAATGAACTAATCCTTATCTTATTGATCATTTGAATCACAAAAGCATAATGTGACAAATAACCGAAGAAAGCTACTTCATTTCTCACAACATAAAAGGAGCAATCCAAAAGAAAAAAAGACACTACTCGGACAGCGGTATATAGTTCTGATCAAATGGGTATGTTGTGGAGGAACAAAGAAACCACATGATGTTTCATCAACTTAGGTTCTGTGAAAATGTCAGCGTCTTTGTAGAAAACCTCGATGACCCTCGAGAAATTCAGGAATCGCATGACAATAGGGAAAGGAAAAGGGTGAGGTCTCTTCATCAGTTCTTGATTAAGAGTTTTCCATGCATCCAGTGCCATGATTTTGATCTCTTCTTCGGCTTTCTCCCATGAAACACCATATTCCTTCATATACCAATCAATGGATGTCCCTACATGCTTCCTTTTGTGCTCAAACTGCATTAGATAGATCACGAGAGACTGAGTAATATACTTTGCACCAACGTTGCGACTACAAAATGGATTTGTAAGTTTGGTGGGCTCTGCTCGCTTGGTTGGTCATTCCCTTCTGTCTAAACCGCGCGCCATTCCTTTACCCAAAATAAGAAATATCTAGACAAAAGGAATTTACCTCAAGTTTCTGGATTCTCTCTTGTTTTTTTTTTTGTTTTTTTTTTTTTTGCCTTAGTTCATCGTGTTTATTTCACCCGAATTAGTGATTACCTCGCAACTCGCAATGTCACCACAGAGTCGGCCTATTAAGGCAGAAGTCGCCAGCAATGGTGGGAAAGTACTTAACCATTTAAACACATCAAGTGTGCCTTCATCCACCATTCCTAGAAAAGTAACTGTTAACATAACTAAATAACTCGCTGAATATACTCCATTCTCTTTGTACTCCTCAAATGTAGCCACACAGTCTTCGTTCAACCACTTTGCCTCTTGAAGATAGGATTTAGCTGATACCATTATCTGGTCATAATATCCAACCAACGACAACTTAAATATATGGCCTACTTATTATTACTTACTTATATGCTTTTCAATTATATTATATTTTTTTTTGTTGTTATACCCCTTTTTTGGCGAAAATGGCGCATCCTGACTTTCCTTCCTTCTCCATCTCCTCCTCGAGTTTGTCGAAAAATTCCAACACAACGCTGTGAAGGTACCTCATGTTGTCCGGGAGCTCTTCAATACCGCAAAAATTCCACCTTATTAGAGCATCTGTAAATGGCTCGAGTTCCTTGATCGTGCCATAAGCATCATACGTATCATCAAGTAGCGTCAATAACATGACAACTTTGGCCAAGTTAATCCTTGGTTTTGAATAACAAGGCTCAAAGAGCGCTCCAACTGCCCACATGTAGCTTTCAACTATCCTAGTCCTTGCATACGGCAATTTCGAGTCCAGGTTTAGATTTTTGTACCACCTAGAACATATCAAAATTATTCAAAACCATTCTTTTATATGTTTCTCCATAAATTTTAAACAGTTTCTTAAATGCATATATACCTGGAGACTTGGCAAATCTCTTGGCGGTGTAGCATTTGCAGAAGATTGAAATCTAGTTTAGCAAATTCTAGCAAGGTTTGATCGTGAGAAACTTCTTTTTCATAGTATGAGATATATTGTCTTGTCTCAATCCTTGAGATACCCCTAGGGTATGCATGTTTGAGGGCATTCTTGATGCGTACCGTGAGATGGGGGCTAGATTGAGAAGCGAGTTCTTCCAAACGAGACCTAGAGAAAGCGAGAGCTTCATCGAGAATCTCTTCACCATGGGTGCTCCAGTGTGCAGCTTCATAAAGGCATAACATACCCCTTGCATCATTGGCTAGATGCTCCTTGAAATCTCCATCCTTGTTCTTGAACTTATCAAAAACATCTTCAGATGGATCATGTACATAGAAAATTAAGCGAGTCAATACCAAGTTTGACAGTTAACATCTCATTTGATACATTTACTATCATGCACACATTTGTACGTTATCTAACATTTTTATAGATGCATATCATATTCCATTTTTTCTCTGTAGTAATTGTATAAAAAACATGGTAAAATTAATACATTTTAGATAAATATTAGAATGCTAGTTTCAATGTGTATTTTACTTACCGACAAAGAGTTTATAGCCGAACTGCCTAAAAACTTGAAAAACAAGAGAAACGGTATGTAAATCGGATTCATCGTCTCTTATCATCTGCATGAAATCATGACGACAGAACAACGTCTCCAACTGCTTAAAGATTTCATCTTCAAAGTGATAGGAGACACCGAGGCGACACAGAGCATCGATGAAACTAATGCTCTCTACCGGCTTCTCTTTTGAAGCCATAAACGATTCCTTCACAGTTTCCTTCAGTGAGCTCAGCTTCTCTTTGTTTCTCTCAGTTTCCTGTATTTACAAATGGCATGAGAGAGAGAGAGACATAACTTTGTTTTATGAACAAACTTGCATTGAATTCTGTTGAACGTGACTTAAGATTATGTTTTGAACAGAATGTTGATGAATGTAATGATGAGGAAAGATAGGTACGTACCGCATCGGAAATTGAGAAAGATGTCAAAGGATCTTCCCATATATTCACTGGAAAATCAGCCAATGGCCGATCCAATTCCATCTTGGGATCAGCGGACGAACTATTTATCGACTCCATGCTTTTAATTTATACTTTCTAGTTGCGGAACGATACATATTAATATAGACAAGCATAAGATACGTTACATTTTCAGCAACGTCATCTTTCCGGTTTTGGGGTGTTTTCTTGATAGAGGTGTCAAAATGCATGAGTACATATCAGTTCTGGTTCCAATTCATGACAAGTCACACGATAATTTAGTATATCGCTATATATGATCGTCGATCTGTTGAGATTTTATGCATGGTAAACATTAGTTATAAATAGTTTAGTTTTTACAGTGGAAAAAATCCATCGCTATATGTTTCTCGATCTTTTGAGACTTCATGATATATATATAAACAATGTGACTTCATATATATGATGACATTCTCGTCTGTGTATGCAAGATCTGGTTGAGTTGGATGATTCGTGCCGATTTTGGATAAAGAAATTGTATTTTGAGATCAAAAGTCAGCTTTAGAACAAATCTTTGATAATCCTAACATCACAAGCCCCCATCTCAAAATATCCAACAAAAAAACGGATCAAAATATTAATACCAAGAAAAAATGAAAAAAAAAAACATATTCATCATCAGACTTATTGCTTCCTTCCTCTTCCTTTCTTGGCAGGCTGTGTCTCTATCTGTTCTTTCCCGGTGACTTCAGAAAGATCAACTGCATCATACAACCAACATAAGTAAACAATGAACCCGATAGTCGTGTAACTAACACAAAGGAGATTTCCTCTCAAACAATATGAGATTATATGCTGTTTAATCATGAAGTTTTATGCACTCTTTTAGGTTTGGTATGCGAAAAAGAAGATAATTTACCATCAGGTCCTCTAGCCATGAGGGTGAAAAATATGTTATTCAGTTTCTCCATTTTCTTTGCTTCTTGTGCTTGGTCTGTCTTGAACTTGAGACACTAAGTTCAAGAAAAAAAAGTACGATTTTTTTTAATCATATGCTTCACATATAAGAATGCATTACATGAAACAAGAAGCATACAGCAGGGGAGAGCTAATTAAACACAGAAGTTGATGCAGTCACACTCTTTCAAGCTCAACGACGTCTAAAGTATCACACTTTGACTAACAAACACAAAAAAATTGCTCAGAAGAGTGAATTAGATCTCATTGTTTAACCAATCGCCGGTCAAGACATGTTCAATTCATCAAGACGTAAGAAAGCTAAGAAATATCCAAGAAGACCAATCACATTCAAAAAGCCAAAACCAAAGTAACCACATAACTATGACAAATTCCGATGAAACACCAAGCAGAAAAAGATAAGTCTAGTGATCATCATGGAAACCTAAATTACTTTCTCCAAACAAGCATTACACCATCAAACTATCATTCTATTACTTAGATATCAAGTTTCCTACAATTGATTCTGCAGAGTATCTATCCTCGATAAGAACTCAAAGAACAAACAATTAGAAGAAGCGATCACAGAATTACCTCTTTGTTATCAGTAACCTTGAGAACCAACTTGCCGTCGCAGTGTCTATACTTCATGACATACCGAGTCTGCACCACACAAATTGAATCCAATTCATTAGAAACAAAACTCTGCATTCATCAAATCTATCTATAAACGAAACACCTAGAATTTGCAACTATACAGTCGCCAAAATTCGACGAGATTCAAATCAATAATCAAGGTTTATCGAGTGCTCAATAAGAAATCGAGGAATTATAATCTAAATTCCTCTAAAACAACCGTAATGGATGAAATCGAGAAGGAGTTGAGCATAAACAAAATTAAAAGACCTACAGATTCAGGATCAGCTCGGAAAAGCTGGACAGATCGATCAACGAATTCGTCCCAGGAAACGATGTAGACCATCTCGAATTCAGCTGAAACGGCGAACGGAATTGGGTTGATTGAAATCTCCGGGAGGCACAGACTGCGAATTTGCAAAGTAACTTCGACGGAGAAGCAGAGAGCCCAAAGACGGCTTCTTATTGTGTTTCTGGAACAAAAAAGAAAGAAAAAAGGAAATTTTCATTGATAATCAAACCGGAATAAACCTGGTAAATCTGGACCGGTTCGTTAGTGGTTAAGAATTCTAAGTAAAACCCTAACCGTTCTTCCTCGAACGACTGCAACATTTTTTTTTTCCAATCACTGAATCTCTCTCGTTCTTCATCATCATGCTCTCTCGATTATTCCTTAGACCTTCGAATCTCCGTCTCGTAACCCAAGTTTCATCCAAATCAAACTCTCAGATCTTCTCCTCGATTATCCGTCCGCTTTCCACCAACAGTAGCGGCGGCGGAAATGGCAACGGAAATGGGGGTAATCGGAGTGACGTTCCCTGGAGTTTTTCCGGAGTAAACGACGACAAGTCGATTCCTTTCCCTTCCGATGAGTTCTGGGGTTCCTCCGGAGTTGCAGGATCCGGTTCAGCTGGTGGTGGAGAGGGCAAATGGCCGGAGGAGCCTAAGCGATGGAATATGAATGAGGAAGAGGATAAGGTTGTGTTCGATACCGGCGGAGAGGTGCCGGAAGGGATTGAAACTGGCCGCGAGAGGAGAGGCAATGGCTGGGAGGAGAGTAAGCGATGGGATATGAAGGAAGGAGATGAGAAACCCGTGTTCGGTGCCGGAGGTGAGGCTGCGAGTGGTTTCGGAACCAGTGGAGAGGTGAAATTCAATGAATGGGATGCGTCTAAGCCATGGAGTTTAAAGGATGAAGATGACAAGGTTGTGTTTGATACCGGCGGGGAGATTCCGCTGAGCTTTGAACCCAGCTTGGAAGATGCGGAGGAAGAGCGTGCGAAGAAGGAGGCGATGGAGAAGGAGGAGAAAGAGCTCACTGAGATCATCAAAGGTGAGAGATTCCTGAATTTGTTAGCTGATTCTTTAATTTTACTTTGCAATGCACGAGTGGTTAGGAAATGTTTATAGATTTGGAATCAGGAGACATATGTGTAGCTCATAATGACGATTAGATTAGATTCTGATTTGGATCATCATTGGAATAGCAATGTTGTGTAAATAGTGTATTGATAGGCATGTTTGCTGTGTGAATGAGTGCTTAATGTGTGGTTTCTGGCTAATGAGTTTGCTGTTAGTAATGTTCAGTTTTGCTGTTAGTAAAACAGGCACGAAACTGATTTGGAAGTTATACTATTGCAGGGCCTGATCGTGCATTTGGAGACCTTATCGCAAAGTCGGGTATAACAGATGAAATGCTAGATAGTTTGATAGCCTTAAAGGATTTCCAAGGAGTCGAAGGATTGCCTCCTCTGACCGAGATTGAAAACATGCGCCGTGAGAAGAGTTCGAAGAAGTCCTCGAGAGCTGAGATAGAGCTCCAGATGCAAGAGGAAATCGCCAAGTCAAGGGTCAGACAAGTGGATGAAACAGGTAGAGCCTATGGAACGGGGAGAAGAAAATGCAGCATTGCTCGTGTTTGGATCGAACCTGGACAAGGAAAATTCCTTGTGAACGATAAAGAGTTCGATGTTTATTTCCCTATGCTTGATCACCGCGCTGCTCTTCTCCGCCCGCTTGCTGAAACCAAAACCTTAGGAAGTTGGAATATTAAGTGCACTGTTAAAGGCGGTGGTACTACAGGTAAAAAACCCTCAACTATATCACTCAGAGCTCGAATTTCTCTATTTACACAACTAGAAGATATGATTTATACGCTAGAGGTTTTGGTGAAAGCATTTAGTCTGTTTTAAACTGTGGTTAACCGTGAACTCCAATGTTTGGTGTTAAGGTCAAGTTGGAGCTATTCAATTAGGTATCAGCAGGGCATTGCAAAACTGGGAACCAGATATGCGTACAGCACTTCGAGCTGGTAAGCAAGATACTTACTATACGCATCTTCAGCAAAGATGCATCATATCTGTGTGATCGATGTTTCCATTGGGTTTGGTCTTGATCGTTTTTTGAATCTTGTATATGTTTCAGTTGGTTTTTTGACAAGAGACTCTCGAGTTGTGGAGAGGAAGAAACCAGGGAAAGCCAAGGCAAGAAAGAGCTTCCAGTGGGTCAAACGTTAAATCGGAGTACTCGAACAATATCTTCTCTTCGGGGGTCATATTCAATCAATGAGTTGAGAGAATTTTGATATAATGTGATTTGCGGTTTGAGAAGATTTTGCAAATTTCTTGTTAAACGTTTGTTTGAATAATGTGTAATGATCATTTGTTTGAAAACTTTTACCTTTTCTCTCCGAAAATTTAATGATAATTTTTCTTGTAAAGTGTTTGTGTTTGGAGATCAGTAGTGTGCATGATTAACGAAAATATAATATCAAATGTAGATGGTTATCAAATTAACCCATTTTATAGTTCTTATCGATATTATAGAAAAAACTACATAAATAGATTTTGTTTTTTTTTTCTTTCAGATGTGTGAAAAGTTGACATGAATGTTACAAGAAAATAAAAAAGGAAAAAAATAATCAATTTTTATCACTCAACATAGTATTTAAATATATTTTGTTGATGAGCTTGGATTAATAATTTATATAAATAATTAATCCAATAACCTTGGATTTTGTAATGATTTTTATAAAAATTAGATCCAGTAAAATTTGATTTGGAAAAGAAAAAAAAATCTCTCAAATCACTAATTCAATAAGCTTTCATTGGTCTCTTTCTTCAGATTTATTGGAAAAGAATCGCATGCAAATAACTTGTTCTTTATTGTATGAGTAAAAAATGTGGGTTTCGTGGGGTTTCCGAGTCATGACACATTGATGTTTAAACTTAGTCATTACTAACCAAAACTATATTATCACACATAAATTTATTAGCATACGTATCAAACCCATTAAATTACTTTTATTTCAAAATTATTTTCAATAAATAGTTTATATTGCTTATTCCGTGCACAAAGCACAGTTTACCATCTAGTCTTAATTCATTTTTGTTCAAATATGCTGAATTCGACTTATCTGATAATCTGTCAAGATGAGTCGAATTCAGCAGTTACACATGCATCCATATATAAGGATGGAGGGTATATACTTGTTATCAGATTATCAGATGATTCCAATTGGTATGAGTATCTCTCGTAGTATAGTCAAACAAGAATGTATGTCATTTGGTTTATATATTTTTCCAATTTCAAAAACCAAAAGATGTTACTGAAAACCAAACTAGATAAACTCTCTAATCACACCATCCAAATTTGGCAAACATGGACTATGAGTTTTTCTTTTTTTGTAAAATGATATGGACTATGAGTTTGTGTAAAGACTTTCCATAAAAGGGCAAGAGATAGATTTTGACATTTTGTTTATAACATTTTTTCAGCCACTTATTATAATGGTCTTGTTTCATATTACGTACAAGCATCCACACATTTTTTTTTCTCAACATTTCTTCACTCCCACTACAAGTAGTAACAAAATTAACAATTTCCCAACAAAATCCTTGGATATCCTTTTTTCTAGCGAGGAAAAAACAAAATGATTTATCTGATTTTCATTATAACAATAAATATTTCGCATGAAGAACTATATAATAAAAGGAAAACTTCTTGTTGTTCTCATTTTCTTCTCCCAACATCTTGAACCAAAAGCTCTTCAATTCGATAAAACAGTTCCTGTAGAGGATACATACATTTTAATACGTCCAAGATCTGGAGGATGGGTGTAAAAGTTTCATCTAAGATCAAACGGATTCTCGCATCCACAGGTTTAGGTCCTATAGTCTTTTTCTGTTTACTCTCTAATGCAATTTAATATGTAAACTCACGAAGAAAATAAATATTCGAAGTTGAATTCCTTCTAAAACGTTCTCTATTGATTTCACACAGCTTATTCGGGGAATTCAAGTCCCAAAGATGGTGATGACGTGGATGTCCGGGAAGAATATGCAAACGCCTTCCGTACAGAATCATACAATCAGTTTTGGACACGTGTTATCTACTTAAGCCGCAAAAAGTCCACGACGTCTTCTTCTTCTTCTTCACCCGCCGAATCTTCCTCCACGTCAGCTCGTCTTATGTCATACCGCCTCTTCGCACAAAATCTCCTAGACCCGGACCCGTACACCGTCACACGAATCCTGGATCTAGCCCGGGTCGGACGATCCACCCGAGTTCTTCTCTCTGATTACTTCTTGGAGACGGCAAACACTTTCTTGTTATGCACGTTATTACTTAAAAACATCCATCGTCTCCGTTCTAAATACGAATCCCTGAAACCTACTTTTCAGTCGGAAAATAACGATAATTCGTTGGCTTTAATGGATCATTTTACGGAGCTATCAAGATGGTTTGACCCATTTATCTCGTCGGGCTCTCGGATTCAGTTAATCAGATCCGGGTGTTTAAATCTGTTAAAACGGTTAGAGTCGAACCGAGACAAGACACGAGCCAAGCTCAAGCTCATCAACGGACTAACTCATAGCTCAGGGATTCTCGTTTTGGCTCTAACCACTACATTGATTGTAACCATAGCCTCTCACGCCTTTGCTTTGATCATAGCCGGTCCGACTCTTTTAACCGGTAGATTCAAACCGGCCGGTTTAAGAAACAAGCTAACGAAAACAGCTGCTCGGCTCGACGTGGCTGCAAAAGGTGCTTACATTTTAAGCCGTGACTTGGACACGATAAGCCGGTTAGTGACTCGGATTAACGATGAGGTGGAGCACGTTCGAGCTATGGCTGAGTTTTGGGCTGGGAGAGGGTCCGGTCGGGTTCGAGCCAGTGAAGAGGTGGCTCGAGAGTTGAAGAGATGTGAAGAGAGCTTCAGTGAAGAGCTTGATGAGCTTGAAGAACATATCTACTTGTGTTTCATGACTATTAATCGGGCAAGGAATCTTGTGGTTAGAGAGATTTTGGATCCTGATGATCCACCTGATTGTTCATTCGCTCCCAAATCCAAATAATTAATTTGTATTATAATTCCTTACAATTGTATAATTTCTTAGTATCTTACCTTGTATTAGATTTGTATTTAGTATTTACCATAAACTGTTTGAAGTTTATATACTCTTTGGTTAAAAAAAAATCATATTCTACAAAAATATCCTAAGTCCAGTATATAGTAATCGAATGAACTATCTATGCCAAGATGCGTTCAGAATGGCTTGCCCAGCAAACTTGTTCTTAAGTTCATCTGTTGTAATGTCATATTTAGGCAAAACTTTGCATGCATTATTGTATCTCTCCTCGCTCTCAATTTATTGACTTGCGAAGCTGTCTTTACATATTTTAACCACGAAGACGTGCATACTATTATTATGCTCTGCAATATGTTACTGTATATTCCAAAGAACATATTAAAAGTTTGAACTATATTTAGATACTAAATTATGATTATCAAAGTTTACCAATAAAATTGTGTATCACCGTTATCTCACCTATTAGTTTTTAAATAAATATAATTTCTTTAATAAACATATTTAAAGTTTCATAAGCTTTATGTTAATTAATTAATCGCAAGTTATATTAAAACTAAGTAAAGTCACATTCAACACATCAATTATGCGAGCTTTGTATATGTAGGATATGTTTCAGTATATACTTGTTATAATCAACCTTCTTACGTTATTTTATTTCACATCATGTCATTTTTCTAAATATTCAATGTATTTTAATCTTTAAAATTTATTCTACATAGTATATTCGATAATTATCTTTTAATATTCTTATTTTTGGGGGCAGCATTAATTAGGGTTCAACAAAAAAAGATAAGGTTCAAAGTAAATAAAATAAAAAAAATCGAAATACGCATATAGTAAAAGAAAATACACAGAGATTCACACACTGATTGAAAAAGAAAAGGACAAAAAACGAAATGTAAATGCAAAATTTCTTTTTCTTTCCCTTATTTGATGAAAATATGTTTATCTTGGAAAAGAGTGGAGGAGAGGTATATCTTTGTAACAGCTGCAGCGTACTTTTTTTTTTATCATTTTCACTTAAGATATGTATCGTAGAGAAGACTCTCCAAAGTATCAACAAATTTATCGGTGTAGCCAGTTAACAATCCAGGACTAACCAAAATCTCATTCAATTCGGCGTGGTTCCTCCTCACTCGGCGCCCTATTTCGCTATCTTTATCCATCACAGACATGATGGCATCGCTCAGGTTTTCTTTAGAGAACCATCCTGTTTCTTCTCTCTCCACCTCTACGGAGACCTCAAGCTCCTCTGTGAGCAATCTCGTGTTGAGAACCTGATCAGACAAATACGGAAGCAAGACTATTTGGCAATCACTCATCAGAGACTCCCACATTGACCCGAATCCGCAATGGCTCACAAAGCAACCTACTGATGGATGAGCCAATATCAACGGTTGCTGCACCCATCCTCCCCAAACCACTCCACGTCCCTTCACCCGCTCCTCGAACCCTTCTGGTAACGCTTCTTGAATCGTCTTTGCGCATCTTGGTGGCTTTACCGCTACAAAAAATGGTAAACCTGTGAGCTCCATTCCTAAACAGAGCTCTTGGAACTGGTCTTTCTCGAGAGTGATTTGGCTGCCTAGTGCACAGTACACTACAGAGCCTGGTCGAACCCGCTCAGCCAATGATTCCATTGATCTTCAAGTGGTTTACTCTTGTCTGGCTCAGGAAGCATTGGACCCGTCAAGAGATTTTCTTCTGGTATTGACGAGCCAAATACTCGCAGAATTTACCTTCGATCTCTTCGCAGTTCCTATTCGAATGAAATCGCTGTTCGTAATTGCTGTGGTGACCCGAAGTAAACTTCATTGTAGTAGACGGATAAGGACAACAAGGCGTGAGCATCATGTGCGCGGTACAAGACCTTTGATGAAGGATAACCAGGTGGAGGAACTCCGAGCTCAGCACCAGGGACAAGGTCGTGAGCTATGGTGTTGGCTGATACAATGTTGTACATCATACTCTTGACTATGCTCTCTTGCCACTTCCGGAACCCAGTAAGCAAGATCGAACAAGATCAGGTCCGGTTTCAAGGCACGAACCGCGGCTTCGACCTGGTCGCGTGTCAGATCAAAGGCTTCGGTGAAGAACTTCCACAACGTGACGGGGATATCGGAGACGGTGTCGGTGCCAGCAGGGAGACCATCACATGAGGAACAGTGATAGGTGAAAGACGATGCTGTCTGGGAACAGATTGAGATGTTCCAACTGTTTCTGAGCTTTCTTGGGCAGCAAGAAAGTAACCCTATGACCTTTCTCAGCTAACTTGTTGGCTAGATGCAAGTAAGGAGTCATATGACCAAAAGCGAACATTGGGAACATAAAAGCGTGGAACTTTTGTCGTCCCATTTTTCTTATCAAAGTTTTCGAAACAAAAGCAGAACACAAAAATATAAAGTATTCAAAGGAAGCTAAAATAAGAAATATTTGCTTCTGTTTTTTCTTTCTCTTCTTTTCGGCTTTGAAGTTTTTGCGATCGAGATGCTCTTCCTCTTCCAAAGACATCCGTATATATATATAGTGGAGGTGTGCGAAAATTCCACAGATATTAAGTAAATCACGATTATAATTACTCCTACCACGTCTGGTAACGTCCCAACGGGTCGTCACGAATTACGTCAAAAGTCAGAACGTTGATTTGTTTTTGTTTTTCTTTATGATTAGAATTTAGAGCATGTGTTTAAATGATTATAATAAACTATATGAACAGGTAATCTTCAGTAAATAAATCCCTTAAATCATTTTAAAATGTATTATATCCATATTTTTATGTATATGAAAATCACTGATATCTTTGAAGATATTTCCAATCCAAGTATCAACCCACTCCGTGTAACTTAAACGGGATTCTTGCACTTCTAACCCACAATTTGAAGTCAATGGCAAAAGTAACCTGCTGTTTTTTTCATTTTAGCTTCACCCTGTTTTTCCAGATAATAACGAAAATGCCATTACTTTTTTGGCCGGTGGTCTACGGCTGAGGTCTACGATATCGACCAGAAGACCAACAGAACCTCATCCTCTACACTTATTAACGAAACTGCCACTCTCATCAATGAACTCAACCACCATTTTCAACCAACTCCAAGCTTTTAATGCTTCATACTAGTAATTGTGATACTCCAAACATAATTGCACATCCCATACATTCTAACACTATCATTTTCTCCACATTTTCATCCCAAAAACTCTCTAATTCTACTTTTTCATATTTCAAGTTCTTGATTTTCTCAAAATCGGGTTTGTGGCTTTCCTCACCACCGCCGAACGGTTGTGAAGGCTTAAAGACAAAGTTTCATCCCTCGGCGGCCCTAAAGACGACGGCCAGGTTGTGGTTTACTCCATTTTCGTTTTTTCAGATCTGAGTCGATATCGTAGATCTCAGGGTTAGGTCTATAGGTCAACGCATAGGTTAGTTTTGCAATTGACTAAGACAAATCTGTGGAGTTAGACCGCGTAGAGAGTTCTAAATAATCCCTTTGAAAACAAAAAAAAATATCGTAAACCTCAAGCAGAGGTCTATTTTGAAAACAGGTTAGTTTTGCAATTGACCAAGGGAGGGCTTTTTTTTTTGAGGTCTACAGATGAGGTCTATTGGTCAAAGAGGTTAGTTTTGCAATTGACTGAAATTCTGGTTTTTACCTTAGACCTCTTAATGTGGTCTATAACAACAAATTTTAAGCTGACGTCTACGTCAGAGGTCTACATAGGTTTTAGATCTCAGTCTTAGGTCTACCTTAAAAAGTTGGTCAACGCAAAATAATAGGAGGTCTACGATAGTGGTCTACAGGTGGAAAAAAATTTCAAACAATTGCAAAAGTAACCTGTCTGAGGTCTACAGATTTCGTAGACCTCCCCAGTAGACCGTATAATTTTGCTAGACTACAGGTTGAGGTCTATTTTGTTCGTGAGGTCTACCCAAATTTTTTGGATGAATTGCAAAACTAACCTCTTTTTTTGTAGACCGCATTTGTAGATCTCAAAAAAGTCTTCCCTTGGTCAATTGCAAAACTAACCTTTTTTAGACCTCTTTAGTAGGTTTACGTCTAGATCTGGTTGGAGGTCTACATTTTTTCCGTTTTTTAAAATCGATTTTCTGCGAAATTTATAATTTTTTTGTTAATTTTTTTTCATAAATACTTCTGTTAGCCTAATAACTTGTCCCTATGAGAGTTTTGCATGCTAATGTTATGTAATGAAGGTTGTATTAGATTTTTGGTTAAATTTGGTAACTTGGTTAAACTCTGTAGACCGCATCCCAATGTGGAGGTCTAACGTTTCCGTCTACAGGGCATCCATCAATATATATTAATGTGTTTTCCCTTTGGTTTTCATGCAGATCATGGTTTGTTTGGCATCCGTGTATGGAGTGTGGACTATCAGAGACAGAAAATGGTATTTTGAGGTTGATAAAACGAGAGGAGGTAGAATGTTCTACCTGCAGGATGATTGTAAACATGAAGAGCTGGTTGAAATGGTTGTGAACGACTACATGTTGCAAGTTAATGGCGAGCTGCTGGAGTTGTCATATCCATTACCAGCTGCTATGATGGAGAAATTGCCAACGGATTCACCTCCTATGTATGTGACGAACGACAGACAAGTTGGGAGCTTGGTGGAGTTATGTAAGGAGCATGTGGTCCGTCTTTGCGTCTCGACCCGCGTTGGTATGGGAAGGAACTACAACGAACCAATACATGAGTGTGTCCAAGAAGAAAAGTCTGAAGAGGTGGATAAAGAAGACGTGGAAGAAGAATTCGGTGATGAAGGCTGGGATGATAACGAGTCTGATGATGTAAACTGGAATGACAAAGCATGGGATGTAAATTCAGAAGATGAATCTGATGATACTCATGACAATGATAGTGCTGATGATGTCGACAACCCCGACGATATCGATGCAGATTATAGTAAGTATGGCAAGGTGAAAGATGAGGAAGAGGGTGAAGAGAGTTTGTCTTTCCGTGAAAGGCTCCGTAGAGGTGTTTGGAATGGTGGAAATGGAGGGTTCACAGGCACTTGGTCTGACACTATTCTGGTAAATCACAGCTATGCCTCTAAAGAAGCCCTTCTTTCTGAGTTGCGACTGACGGCTGTGATGGCAAGATTCGCATTTAAAGTCTACAAGTCCACTACGGATTTGTTTGTGGCAAAATGTGTTGTCAATGGATGTGCATGGAAGTTGAGAGCAGCTGTGAAGAATGAACCGGATTGCTTCTGGGTTACCAAGTACGTAAAGGGTCACACTTGTTCAATTATGGACCGTGTAGCTCACCGTAGACGAGCTACTCCAAGATATATTGGACAATTGTTTGTGGAGCGGACTGGACTCATAGATGGAATTGTCCCTCGACAAATTGCAGATTCGATGAGGATCATGTTTGGTCTGAATCTTACCTATACAACGTCATACCGGGCTCTCAAATTCGCTCAAGTATTTGTCAGGGGAACTCCAGAAGATGGATATGCTAACCTTCCTTCCTACCTTAGAAGACTGAAGCAAGCAAACCCTGGCACTATAACACACCTGCTCTGTGATGAAGAAGATCGCTTCAAGTACTGTTTTGTGGCGTTAGCGGCTTCAACAGCGGGATTTCAGTACTTGAAGAGGGTTATTGTGGTTGATGGAACACACCTTACTGGGAAATACGGAGGCACATTACTCGTGGCATGTGGACAAGATGCAAACTTTCAAGTATTTCCTCTAGCATATGGTGTTGTTGATGCGGAGACTAATGAGTCTTGGGGATGGTTTTTTGATAAATTACAGACTTGTTTCTCACCACATCCGATGGTCATTGTTTCAGACAGAGCATTGTCCATTGAAAATGCTTGTGTGAATGTGCTTCCATGGGTCACTAGAGGAATATGCTACTACCATCTTCAGCAAAATATTATCAAGACATATGGTGGTAAGGAGCTTATGTATCTGGTTAAAGGAGCTGCTTATGCCCACACTCTAGCTGAATATAATCGGTGCATGGACTCACTAAGAGCTGCGCACCCAGACCTCGCAGCATACATGGAGTTGGCCGACCCTAATGATGTACTCAATATTTACATCATTTAGACATAGGATTTCATGCATATTTGCATACTTGCATCACTCATTACACTCATTATAGCTCAATTACCTTCCATTGTATGCATTCATACCATTTAGAGCATACATTGCATACATTATGCATTTGGAGTTGTATTTAGGTGTTTTTGAGGAGTTTAGAGCTAGTATGGGAGGTTGGAGATTAAAAGAATACTCAAGAGTTCGCAACCAGGATGTCAAACAGGTTCAGAAACCTTTTTCTCGCCTTTCAGCTGAGTGTTGACCAAGAGGACGAGTTGACCCGTGTTGACTGAGCTTTGACCACTATCCATCTGTACCAAACCGGGATTAAATCACAATCTTTGGAGTCTAAACCAATTGGGAAGCAAGAAAAGTCAAGATAAATGAGTTGACCAAGGGTTTTGGAGTCTCCAAGTATAAATAGATTAAAGTCCTATTATTTTAGGCATCTTGTAATCTCTTTCTCTTAGACTAAAAACTCTTTCCCCTTTGTTCTTAATCAAAATTTGGATCTTTTATGAGTTTAATCTATTTGAGAGTGTTTACTTGATCATTGTTTCTCCCTTCATCTTCCTAATCATGATTATCAACTCCCTTTTCTTTGGGCTAGTTGATTTAATCATGATTAGGGAGTAGTTGTTTTAGGGTTTAGGGATGGGTTAGATTTAGAGAGATTTAATGATTGATTGATGATGCTTAGGCTTAGATTGCTTATATCCTTTCTTGTTTGGTGATCTTAATGCTAGATTAACTTTGAGAAAAGTGATTTAGATCAAAGGACATTTCACACCCACAAGGTGTTTGATGAAATGTCCCAACCAACTAAATCAAGAGATTTACATTCTTAGCTCATGATAATGATTGTTTAAGGTGTTTATTGGCTTGATAGAACTTGTTTATAATGCTTGCTAATTTCGAATTTCACTAATGATGATTAGTTATGAGATTTGTATTTAACAAAGTGATTAGTTCCATGAGAGTGGATTAGTCTTGCTTAATGTGTTCTTGCCTAAGGATTATCATTCACTTGATTGTTTGAGCATCATAGATTAGTCAAAGAGTCTCTCTAGTTCAATGATCCCATCCCAAGACCCATTTGCTTTGCTTGTTTTACTTCTTTAATTTTCGTTTTTGTATTTATCTCTTGAGTTTGGCTTCTTGTTTCAAACTCTTGCTTCAATATTTATGTTTGATTCTCATTTAGGTTGCTAGATAAAAACCTTTCTTTGATTTGGCTTAGCTTAATAAGTTTCATGCATTCCTAGTGTTTTAATCTTGATCCCATTGGATTGACACCTCAAATGCTACAATGACATGAGTAGTGGATTTGAGTAATTGGTAGCAAAAAGCCAACTATCACCTAAGCTTTGGTCAAAAGTACATTTTCCCGGTGATAGGTACAACATCAAGACGAGCAACATTGCTGAATCTATCAACTCGGCTATTAAAAAGGCAAAGGGTTTTCCCATACCCTCTCTACTCCAGTTTATTAGAGAGATGTTAGGGCGGTGGTTCTACAAAAGGCGTGAAGATACTTTAAATCTGCAGACACCATACAGCAAGGGAGTTGAGTATATACTGGCCATCCGTGAACATTACGCTCAGTCAATGGATGTTCAGCGGATAGATGCAACTAGTTTCCATGTTGCTTCTGGACGTTCGCACTATGTAGTTGATCTAGAACAGGGTAAATGTGAGTGTGGAGTGTTCCAAGTCGAGAAAATGCCCTGTACACATGTCCTTGCAGCGCTTGCCTCAGCTGGTGTGCACGTCTCACACCATACATGTGACACATACTCGCAGGAATGCTTGTATACGACCTACGCCCATCCTATATATCCTGAGGAGGAAATTGACAACCACAAGAAGAAGAGCGAGCGGTGCCGACCTCCAAAACCGAAGGATGGGCCTGGTC